TCGTATTTGAGTAGATGGGTGAAATACATTTTTTGAAATGTTTACCTTCGCGTTGACTTTCTTGATTTTGTCGACATTTATCACTGGTGCAGGTAAATGTGTGCATAATATTCTTTTTTTTAATGGCATTGCATCAAATATTTTGTATTTTTCAGCTGCAAAGACAAAATTATAAACGATAAGAGCCGTAGGCAACTTTAGTTCGGCCATTGGTCGATTATCACAAAGATAGCAAATTGAATCAAATATTCAACTAAAACCTTGTCATTTATTAGAGAATAGTAATTAAAGATGATTAGATTGTAATCATGGTTCTCGAATGAGATTCAAAAATGAAAACATAGCTTACACCACCCTCCTTCAATAAGGCTCATGACCATTGGCTGACTTGACATTATTCTGTAGTCTCGTTCTTGTCCAAAGTATAACAATTGTTTTACAATTTCGTTTGTCCAATTTAGTCCTGTAATAAGAGATGGGTAGATGACTGGCTTCAATGTGGATATTTTAAAAACCCATAGAGAATTCGGCCAAGCAACTTGTCTCTCGCCCCTTTTTAATACAAACCCCGACGTGCTTATATATAATCAATTGGGTAACTATGTTAATGTACTATCAAATACGGCAGGAGATCTAATCTTGACTGTCCGATCCAAACAATATGTTTTGTCCCTAGACTATGGTCTGCGACGCAAAAGATGCGCAACAACTAATAGTTGGATAAATATAAAAATTTATATTAGAGTTTAGACGATTTATGTTAAAACTAGTCGTTACCTTTTTTCGCAAACAAGACCTACATCCCACAAGATCTATGGTATCCCAAAAATATTTAATAATACAAGACTACTATAAATTTTATACCTGTTTTAGGATAGGCCACAACGAATACGTCGCCTTCTCTTGGCGTCCAATCTTCATAAGCAAACCGGACGGTTTCAGCTTTGAATGAAGGTTGCATTTTATGCCCTTTCCAGTCTTCAATGGGTAAAGTCTTTTTCTTGACAGTAAAAAATTCTGACATATCAATGCTCATCATTTTATCCCAAATGGGAACGCATTCTGGGGTAACAAGGCTCGTATTTCAGCAAAATTCTCTTCCATTTGGGCTGTTTCTGCGTTTTATCGATTTTAACTAAAACGTTTCTTATTGTAACGCACTGATACGACATAAAGTAAAAAATAAATACAAATTAGTGTGGGAGGACATGACTTATTTGATCTAATCTTAATTAATTTGCAATTTGTTCTTCCAATGTATATTTGTTTTGTATAATAACTACACAAAACGCAGCAGCTCAATTCCTTCGTGGACGACGTAGTATATATCACAACACGTCAGAAAGTACTACAAAACTCGGCAGAAATAATCATTTTCTCAATACTAAGCTAATTCATATATATACGTGCCTATATGTAGGTGACTAGTACTACACGTATCTCGTAGTAGCACCAAAGTAAATAAACAGACGATATTTGCCGGTTTGTGGCGTTCTACTCATGAATCCCAATCTTACAAGGATATGCTGAATCGTCGAGGCAAAATTTTTGCAGTAGCGACTATCACCGACGTGCTCGAATAGCATAGTACGCTGCCATAACGACAGCTTGTTTTTATGCTGCTTGTCTGCCGCTCAAAAATGCTGCTGTTTTACTGTGTCATAATCGCATACATTTCGAATGTCGCTGTAATTGTATCAGTAGTGACTTATTCCTAGGATTTATTCATTTTATCCCTCATTTAATTATATTTATTCTAACCTGTAGCGCTGTAGGTGTCGCTGCTTGAAGACCTTCTTAGGTGCCTCGCGACTCCAGTCACGCAAAAACATGATTAGTACTGTAATTTATTCATTGTGTCACTTTATGTTTGAACGTGTTTTTTTGTGATGACAAAATAAACGATTGATTGATTGATTGATTGCGTCGCATGACGTATAGGTATAGTTTGCCATATTAGGCATGTAGTACTGCGGCGTCTAAAACGGATACTCGATATGACCACAACGGTTCCATTACATTTGAACCCATGTACACTTGAACCCATGACAATTGCACCTGTATGCTATTGCACCTATGGAATTTTTTTTGTTTCACGGATAGTTAAACCCATACTAACCCTAACCCATGGGTTTTAGCACCCGCATATAGATTGAACCCGTGGATATACGCATGGGTTCAAATGTACATGGGTTCAAATGTACGGTCACCGACCACAACAAGCAGCGCTTAGTTATTGCAACAGCCTGACGGCTGTTTGTGCAACAATTTGTTGGCTGTTTATCTTCCAAACAAGGCATGGTTAACCTATAGCTATTTCGCGACATGCGCACTGTAAGTAATTGGTATATATCTAACGCCCAAGGCTTGAGAGGGTATGTTGCGATATATTTGTGAAAGTCCTCGTCGAGAAGTCTATTTACTTTGTTTGGGCTCAGAATGGTGACGTCATATGACATGACGTCTACTACGCTATTACCTGGCATCCACCTCAAAGCTACAGCTAGTCTAGTACTATGGCATGAGTTCTACCGCTGCATTTCTATCATTATTAATAAAAAAAAATGGGGCCAAAAAAAAAAATACAATATTACATATGATATTCTTAACTCCCATCTGACTAAGTCATTCGAAAATTACGTCACTACGACGCCACAGTAACCTTAAGGTCCTCCAAACTATACCAACTGTCATTCAAGACGCGCATGCGATCACCCGAAATCGAGCAAGCTATTTCTCTCGTCGTAACGATCCCGATACCTGGCGTTAATAAGTGAGTTCGATATCGCCGCCGAAGATGCCATTTCGGGCGATTGTAGTTATACTCTGGCAAGCTCTTTGACGTGATTGTGAGGTTGTAGTGACGTAATCTTCGAGTGACAGAGCAAGGTGGGGGTTAGGAATAACACATGCAAAATGGTTGTACCACGCCAAATAAAAGTACTTACGTCGTTTACCGAACATCGGAACATGCGCCAAAAATGAGTCTTCCGTCAAACTTATGCAACATTCTGAATCGCACTTGGTGTTAACTAGTTCAGGCCGTGGAGAAATATAATTTGATTTAGAGGCCCCATTCACTTGCCTTTTATATAAAAGACCTCGCGGTGGTCGACGACATATGGATAGGCGCTATAAGCACCATTTAGTACTTGTTCATAGGTTCGTGTAACGGTGTAAGGCAGGGCAAAATTATTGTGGCCGTATGTAATACCATGGACAGATTTACAATATTCATCACACTACAATTTATTAGGACATTCAGACATTTCTGTATCAACTTGTATAATTATACTTATTATTATCATTCGGTTCATACATGTCAGAAGTCAAACAAAAATAAATGATTCTGCGATTTGGGGTCAGGCAAAAATTAAAAATAATTTTGTTCTGATTCTGGTGGTCCAATTGTATATTTCTCAACCTTTCCAAGCTATTTCATGTATTTATAGCTTTATTCCTAATTCTATATTTATTCCGGGGGGGGGGGGGGGGGGGGGGGGGGGCTATACGACCACGAGGTCATTATAGTTAGCCCCCCAATATTCACTATTTTGTATTATGTATAAGATTGACGGTTATTGTAGGCTACGTGAATGTAAATGTGAAAGAGTTAACTGTTGGAAGGTTGTCTCGTTTTCTACAAGATAATTTTGGGTTCAGCTATATATTCGTCAGATAATTGTAACATATCCCAAATGAAGATGTTCTATAAACTATCCTTCCTGCTGGGGTAAAAATAAATCATAATATTATCTTCACTGACTGACGAGCGTTTACAAAGGGAGTATGGATAAACTAGGATAAAGTTTCTGTGTTAACAAAATCGGGGATTTTATATTCGCGTAACAGTTGTTGTCGGTGAGCATGGCATTAACGAATTAACCAACCAACATCGCTATCTGAAGATTACGGTGAAGGGCCATCATATGCGCAGGGTACTCTCAATAAGATCACAATACGATAAAATTTACATCTTGCACCTGGTCCCCATTTACTTTAATAACAACACCTTATTGCGAATTATAATTTGGCTTTGTGTGTTGTATGATAGTAGAGATGACGTTACATTTTTACTATTTGGTAGGTTGCTTTGTACAATAAAACAAATCTAGTTTACTGAATCTCAAAGGTTGTCCTGTGTATTGGCGAGCAAACATTTCTCCAGATTAAATCAGATTCGTGAGTCGTGACATACTTTCCATTCGAACTCAAACCCAACTGAAAAAATTCAGGTCAATTAGCAGGTCTGTTTTGAACGCTTCAAAAGCTTATATTTTATTCAAATTGTTTACATATATAACAATGCTATATATAAAATACAAAACTATAAGACTAGCAATATCTATCCAACTATCCAAAGGTTTAAATCAGGTGTGGGCAACTTTCTAGTCGGCGGGCCAGATGTGGGAAAATGAAGTCCTCGATTGGTCGGATTCTTACAAAAAATACTTCGGTATCCAATCTTTATTAAATGCTCGACACTCTCTGTCAACTGTACGTTTCTTGGGATATTCCATGGTCAATAAAACCTAATATATATCTATAAAATCTAATTTCTAAAATCTATTTATATTTAGAATTTAAATATAACTGATAACAGTGCTAGGGAATGTTTACAGCGCTCCCTGCTTTGACCTTATATTGTTTAACAAGTGTGCTAACGCAATTGTTTGTTCACTAAAGCAATTGTTTATTTCACCAGCTCGCACTGACAGTGCGGTGGGAGTAGAGCGATCGGCAACTTTCAGGAATGATGCGTCGGACCACATTACAGAGTGTGGTTGGATACAGTCAGCGGGCTAGTCAAAATCTCGTCGCGGGCTGGACCTGGACCGCAGGCCGTATGATGCCCACCCCTGGTTTAAATAAACAGTCATGGGACAGACATTTCTTCAATTTTTCCCACGCCTTTGCGTTGCCTGGTTTTAAGCATTCAACGCAGTCACATCTGACCTCGAACCCATATACTGCGCTGTGATCAAGAGTTTATGCCAAAGTTGAAAAATCACACTTTTATTTGTTAACTGCTATGATTTCGACATTCACAAAGTATTGAGGGCGTACAAAAGCGGTGTTAAAACATGCCGAATTAGCTTGCTTCTCCAAACGTATATAGCATATAATATTGTCGAACCAGCTATAGAAGGAAAACACATGATTTCATATATTTAGGTATATTAATAACTTGTATTTAAACGTGCTTCATTTTCAACTTTTTTCTATCTAACTATAAAGTGTATTTGAATTTTATATCAGTATTTCCAAGTTTGTTCTTCACTTCTTTGTCCATCTGTTCAGATTGAGCAACCGTGAAATGGTCTTTCCAACCACCAACTTCACCTGATAGAAAAAACGTTTTATATTATATATACGATATTTTAAATTATTCTAGAACTTAGCTTGCACAAAAATTCGGTATATATATCTAATATTTCGTTCAAAACAAAGTCAACGAATACTTAAAAGAAAAAGAGAATAACACATTTCTCACGCTCATAAACTTCTTAATTAACAATTCAACAATTAAAAAAAAATTGAAAACGCGTTGATTTAAAAGATTTTTAAAATGGCGAGAACAACTGTTTGGAACTACAACTGTGTGCTGACATTAAAGCAGACTCTGCTATGAATTTACGCCTCACCTTTTCTAAGTATTCCAAGTTGATTTCTCAAATTTTGATCAACATTTTCTTTTCCGCTTTTTTGATCTGATTTTTTCATGCTCGAAAAGGCAACTTTCTCGGCAACTTCTCGTATGTTTTCTTCAGTGAGATTTAAATCCAAAAACTTCGCCATTCTGCTAAATTCTTTTACCGGATTCTATAACATTTGATATATATATATATATATAAACTTAAACATATAGCAATAAATGATAAAATGGCAGAAGATGTGTTGTTATGAGATCTCATTTTTGTACATACCTGTTTCATATCTTCGTAATAGAAAAACATCACATTCTTATCGTCTCTATGCTGTAGCCATCCTAAAATATGGTCCAAATACCATTCCCCGTCACGCATACCGATGGGCATTTTGCCTAAATATAAAAAAAAAAATGTTCTCTGAATTCCGGTAAAAGTGTATCTCAGGCACACAGGAATGACACGATCGTGCATATATTTTTCGAAGAAATCACACACACTAATCCCACAAACACACACACACATATATATACATACATGCTTGACAAAGTCGCCGACAAAAAGTAAAGTCATATACTACTCAAATGGCAAGATAAAAATGTTAAATATATACCCGCAATAAAGCTGTCCAGAAAAGTAGCCCAGTCTGATCCAAATAATTTATCTAGCGGTTCGATTTGTAGATTCGGCAACTTTGGAATGAAGTTAAACCAGGACACTGCTTGATCTTTGGGATTGCGCAACACGTAGACAACCTAAGAAGAAACAGTAAACTTGAAATTTTCGGAGAGCAGCGAAATGGTTTATAATAAATAGAACTCTTTCTTGACAAAAATTTTCCAGGCCCAGGGTAAATATAAAAAACAAATAGTATATATATATATAGTAGTTCGGCACAAAACGGGTGTTTTTAATTCAGAACCAAAATATATATATGAAACACTCCCTAATAATATATATATATATAACAACTGATTTTACTAAAATGTGGAATAAAAGAGTATACTGTGTAAGGACGCCTCTTTAAACTAAAACATAACATATCGTATTTGAGTAGATGGGTGAAATACATTTTTTGAAATGTTTACCTTCGCGTTGACTTTCTTGATTTTGTCGACATTTATCACTGGTGCAGGTAAATGTGTGCATAATATTCTTCTTTTTAATGGCATTGCATCAAATATTTTGTATTTTTCAGCTGCAAAGACAAAATTATAAACGATAAAGAGCCGTAGGCAACTTTAGTTCGGCCATTGGTCGATTATCACAAAGATAGCAAATTGAATCAAATATTCAACTAAAACCTTGTCATTTATTAGAGAATAGTAATTAAAGATGATTAGATTGTAATCATGGTTCTCGAATGAGAATGAAAAAATGAAAACATAGCTTACACCACCCTCCTTCAATAAGGCTCATGACCATTGCCTGACTTGACATTATTCTGTAGTCTCGTTCTTGTCCAAAGTATAACAATTGTTTTACAATTTCGTTTGTCCAATTTAGTCCTGTAATAAGAGATGGGTAGATGACTGGCTTCAATGTGGATATTTTAAAAACCCATAGAGAATTCGGCCAAGCAAAAATGCGAGAAAACATTTTCAAAATTAACTCACTACCATGATCATACCAACACGACTATTTTTAAGCGCCGTCTTGTTAGCGGAAACCTCGGGGGAAATAAGTTTGTTTGAAACATAACTCAGGCAAGTAAATTGGATTTGTTGATATGCTCTTTTGACCAATATCATATATATATTGTTTTCGTGTTGTGTAATGTAGAGGCAGATTGGAGCGGTCCAATTATTTATTAGCTTGATCTCTACCGCACCCTCCATTTTCGATTGCCAGATCCGCATCCCCAACCACCAACATCGAATACAATAATATCAGATTTCACCAGCACACAATTGATATTTTATTGCCGACTTGATCGTCACAGTTCTACAGTATTTTATTATACGCTATTACGTTCTGACTTGTCTCTCGCCCCTTTTTAATACAAACCCCGACGTGCTTATATATAATCAATTGGGTAACTATGTTAATGTACTATCAAATACGGCAGGAGATCTAATCTTGACTGTCCGATCCAAACAATATGTTTTGTCCCTAGACTATGGTCTGCGACGCAAAAGATGCGCAACAACTAATAGTTGGATAAATATAAAAATTTATATTAATTAGAGTTTAGACGATTTATGTTAAAACTAGTCTTTACCTTTTTTCGCAAACAAGACCTACATCCCACAGGATCTATGGTATCCCAAAAATATTTAATAATACAAGACTACTATAAATTTTATACCTGTTTTAGGATAGGCCACAACGAATACGTCGCCTTCTCTTGGCGTCCAATCTTCATAAGCAAACCGGACGGTTTCAGCTTTGAATGAAGGTTGCATTTTATGCCCTTTCCAGTCTTCAATGGGTAAAGTCTTTTTCTTGACAGTAAAAAATTCTGACATATCAATGCTCATCATTTTATCCCAAATGGGAACGCATTCTGGGGGTAACAAGGCTCGTATTTCAGCAAAATTCTCTTCCATTTGGGCTGTTTCTGCGTTTCATCGATTTTAACTAAAACGTTTCTTATTGTAACGCACTGATACGACATAAAGTAAAAAATAAATACAAATTAGTGTGGGAGGACATGACTTATTTGATCTAATCTTAATTAATTTGCAATTTGTTCTTCCAATGTATATTTGTTTTGTATAATAACTACACAAACCGCAGCAGCTCAATTCCTTCGTGGACGACGTAGTATATATCACAACACGTCAGAAAGTACTACAAAACTCGGCAGAAATAATCATTTTCTCAATACTAAGCTAATTCATATATATACGTGCCTATATGTAGGTGACTAGTACTACACGTATCTCGTAGTAGCACCAAAGTAAATAAACAGACAATATTTGCCGGCTTGTGGCGTTCTACTCATTAATCCCAATCTTACAAGGATATGCTGAATCGTCGAGGCAAAATTTTTGCAGTAGCGACTATCACCGACGTGCTCGAATAGCATAGTGCGCTGCCATAACGACAGCTTGTTTATATGCTGCTTGTCTGCCGCTCAAAAATGCTGCGTCGCATGACGTATAAGTATAGTTTGCCATATTAGGCATGTAGTACTGCGGCGTCTAAAACGGATACTCGATATGACCACAACAACCAGCGCTTAGTTCTTGCAACAGCCTGACGGCTGTTTGTGCAACAATTTGTTAGCTGTTTATCTTCCAAACAAGGCATGGTCAACCTATAGCTATTTCGCGACATGCGCACTGTAAGTAATTGGTATATATCTAACGCCCAAGGCTTGAGAGGGTATGTTGCGATATATTTGTGAAAGTCCTCGTCGAGAAGTCTATTTACTTTGTTTGGGCTCAGAATGGCGACGTCATATGACATGACGTCTACTACGCTATTACCTGGCATCCACCTCAAAGCTACAGCTAGTCTAGTACTATGGCATGAGTTCTACCGCTGCATTTCTATCATTATTAATAAAAAAAATGGGGCCAAAAAAAAATACAATATTACATATGATATTCTTAACTCCCATCTGACTACGTCATTCGAAAATTACGTCACTACGACGCCACAGTAACCTTAAGGTCCTCCAAACTATACCAACTGTCATCCAAGACGCGCATGCGATCACCCGAAATCGAGCAAGCTATTTCTCTCGTCGTAACGATCCCGATACCTGGCGTTAATAAGTGAGTTCGATATCGCCGCCGAAGATGCCATTTCGGGCGATTGTAGTTATACTCTGGCAAGCTCTTTGACGTGATTGTGAGGTTGTAGTGACGTAATCTTCGAGTGACAGAGCAAGGTTGGGGTTAGGAATAACACATGCAAAAATGGTTGAAATATAATTTGATCTAGAAGCCCCATTAGCCTTTTATATATATGGATAGGCGCTATAAGCACCATTTAGTACTTGTTCATAGGTTCGTGTAAGGCAGGGCAAAATTATTGTGGCCGTATGTAATACCATGGACAGATTCACAATAAGGATTTTTATTAAGCATTGACGATATTTATGTACGGTTCACATAAACTATATATTAACAAATGAAATTATGAATGAAAATATCACATTGTGCAGTTGCCTGGTACATGCTATTTAACAAAAATTACCAAAATATTTATAGACTTACACCTAAACTCTTGCCCAAAAGAAAAAGTGGTTTTCTCAAAAAGGAAGCGGTCAGCGACTACAGATCAAACTATTCCACAAAAGCACCAGCTTCAGATCAATATTTTTTCAGTTGACTTTACTTTCCTTCGAGCGTTTTAAGATATAAAAGAGCGTATGGTTTCCGTCACCATCTGCCTACACACAGGGCACACTCTGATGTTCCGTTCAGCACAGGTTGCACACGCAGCCAAGTGGGCACATGGCATAAGTACAATAGTCGCTTTTTCACGATGACATAACTTGCAATTTCGACTTTCTTCTAATTGTCGAAGCTGGATTCAGAACTTGAAGATGCACCTTCCCCTTCTCCAGACTGTGAAGTTCCCGCTGCACCCTCTGGTGGTGGGTCAACTGGAGGAGCCGGATTTTCATCCAGTCTTGCAGCTTCTGTCTGGTATTCTGTCAAAGCTTCCACAAAATCTTCAATATTGTCGTATATTCCGCCTCCAGCTCGACACTTGCTGCAAAGTGGGGGTTATTAGTGGGATCATTTTGCCAATATTAACCGATTATACAACGAAATTTAGACGGATGTCCTCATTATTAATAAGTGAAACTCGTCATTGCAAACCAAAACATACTCGAAATACATTGTCCTTGAACTGTACTACTACTACCTAGTGTACTGTACTGTACAATAAGCGTAACGGAAACGTCGCAATTGAATACCCACGACAACTAAATACTCAAGATTACCCAATGCGACTTATTTTCATGATAAAGATATTTGGATGCTCATGATTCCTCATGCGAAGAAACCGAGTGTGTACATAACTTACCTTAACAAAACCACTCGGATTACATCGTCCGTAAAACCCATATTTCGAGCGCTAGTTACAAGAGGTGAATTGGCCATTGCATTATCAACAGTTTGTTGATGTCGTTCAGCATCTTGGCCTGGATCGACGAATTCCGGCGCTTGCCGCTGTTGCTGCCGTCGTCCAAGTCGTCTTCCACCTCCCCCTGTTTGCACTATTCTGACATTATTCGTTCCTCGAACGACTCTATAAAAGGGAAAAGGGGGCGATAAATAAATATATGGACATGAGGGTCAAATAAATAAAAATGGGCTTTGAATGACTGAATAATCGGCATCATAAATTATGACTACGAGAAAATTTGCAAAGAATGTATAAGCTATTAAGATACTGTATTCATTTTTAGGAAATTTACATTCGATTGATCCATCAGTAGCCGAGAAGGGCTATTTTTAACAAGAACAAAACGATCCATGTCCGCTTGGTACAAGCGAGTGAAATCTGACATGTCACATGAAAAATTTAATAGAAAAAAAATAATAATAAACCAAAAAATTAGTCGGAATTACATCAATCGTTTTAGGGGCTTGGATGTAGGCTGAAACAATTTTTAGTCAATATCTGTTACCCCATTTCTACCTATAATCAACCAAATATGTCATTTCCAATAATATTATAAATTGCATGTTTCTGTAAAGCAACTAGAAGACTTCAAATTCGGCGACTAATGCCATATTTTTTCTATGGGTATTATATTATTCCCAGCATTTGGAAACGTCGGCCACCCCAAAGCTTTTCTAGAATCCTGTGCTCGGAAGACCGCGGCAATATTCGAGCATGTTCAAAGAGATAATTTTCTTTGTTCAAAACTAACTTACGTTCTTGTAGCTCCTCCAGCTCCATGTCTGTGTATATTTATTGTAAATCCACCTTCTGGGTTATTGTTGTATACAACATTAGGCGGCATTCCTCCCATTATCTGCCCATTTACGATATTGATAAACGTTGAATTTATTTGGTTACGTCGAGGACCTGGAACACGTCGAGGGCCAACATCGGCAGGTGGTCGAGGCCGAGGAGGCGCAAGGGGGTTGTTTTCGGGTGGAGGTGGTGGGGGTTCAGGTAACGGATTGACCGCGACAGTCGGCTGGTGAGCAGGATCGTTATTCGGTCTCGGAAGATCAGGAAATTGCTCAGCAATTGCACCCACGAAGTCTGGACCTTTGTGACGTAAGAGGAATTCGCAACTGTATAAGTAAAAGAAACGCTTTATTACAAATCTTCGACCTGAATACAACGCATGAATTTATCAAAGGTTTGAGTACATCAAAATGATGAATGATGTAACAGCAATTTGTAAAGTTTCAAATCACGTTTCAAAAGGGAAATAAAATGACAGTAATAATCAATATATACCATTTAGTGAGAAAAAATATCTAAATATGCCTCTTAAAACGGTTCAAGGTGCAACTCAACAACAGAAAGTTTATCTATCTTCAAAGAATGGTATTGTGCAACTGCAAGTCATTGGTTTATTAACTAACAACAGCCGCTTTTAAATTTTAGGTAGATAACGATGCATTCGCCATGAGCTTCAAAAGATCATGACTTTCATTTCCTTTTTCAAATTTCCTCCAGCCTCTCTGAGAAACCATCATGTGGTTTTGATTGGTTCAGGGCCAGTACACGATGTCGGTAATTGCTTAGTTTCAATTTCATATTTGCATTTCTCCTTAGAACCTATGGCTATGCAAACGCAATGGCGATTTTCACAAAACTTATGGAAAATGTCACTTACTGTGGAAACCATTTTGCATGCTCTATCCAAGGATCGTCATCACGTTCCCAATTTTCAAGCCCACCATTGCAGTACCAACATGTCACACGGTCCCTCTCATCTATACGTAAACATATTAGAATTAGATATTAGTTGAAAAGACATCTTTCTAAAGGGAAATAGAACATATTGTGCAGGCGAATTTCTAATCACAATATTGATTTAGTTGCCATTTTAAACCACGTATAATATAGAAGTGAAGTGACGGAGATACATACAAACTGGATAGCTTTGCTTATGACCAACTAATGAAATTTAAGTCGCTTTATACGAATATAAATTTGGGTTAAAGTACTTATTATCATGGATAGAAAATAAAATTTCAATGACGCAAACTCTTCCTGATGATTTGACTATGTTTAATAGTTTTCAAATGTATGTTGAATTGGCGCAATTTAATGACAGTCCATGTGGTTGTCATCATAAGCTGCCCACACAAATTCAAAGTTTCGTCTTCCGTACTGCAGAACCATCAAATCATAGAGTGCCAGGTTTAAAATAGGCTTAACCACAACCTAAGTTGTACCTATATACTGACTCGTGAAATATTATATTGGATATACATGGTGAATGAATAAAAAAAGAATTATACTAAGGGACATCTATATAAATAGGTCCGATATAATAAATACCACGTTGCCCTCTGATTTGATTTCGATACATACTAATATATTTATTTTGCAGAAACATTGCAATTTAGGCTGAAAATTTACGACATTTTATTCGGTAAAATTTTACATAAAATATCTCTCAAAATATAATGAATAAGGATACAATAAATTTTTCGTAAGAACCGTTAGAAACATGGATGTGTCACAGTGAATTTTATATAAGTACTTCCGAAGCAACGTATATCATAACCTACTTGTATAATAGAAACCAGCGTCCGCAATATTCTGCGGAGTCGCGCCTATATTTGCTTGCCAATTTCCTTGAAATGTTCGAAGTCTCTCTCGTGGATCTGCCATGTGAGCATGAAATGGATCCGAACACTCAAAAGCGGGAAATATCTCCTCTTCGGGTGCACTGCTAGAAGCTCCCACTGCTGCGCCTTGAGGTTCTGGATCTGCGGGCTGAAATGGCAGTCAATTTAAATCCCATTAATATGATGCTCATAAATAAATAAATAGTATTAATATAAAAAAGAATAAAACAAAGAGAACAAAATTCAAGAAATTCTAAATTCGATTTATCAAATTGGCTAGCGATGCTACCAAAGATGATAAGCCTGAATTATTTCAGCGTTTGCATTCGGAACCTGAAAAAATACTATTTCGGGGCCCATGTAATGCTCATGCAATATTAATAGTACAGCGGCATAGATCTATTGACCACATCTACTGAATCAGCAGATTATTCTTTGTGGTGTCGATTTCATTGAGAGACATTTCCGATTATTCATAATTGAAATCTTATTGAGTTATTTATTGGCTTATAGTCTGCTTGGTATAAACTTCATTCTGAATTCTCCAACCTTCGTACCATACGATAAATACCCTATAAAGACCAGTAGGGGAGTATAGAAAAATTGCCTGAATATTTAGATATTTTCACACACATTGTTGTAACGATTTCACGTCAGGTTTCCTATGAGCCAGTTTCGATTGTCATAGACTTTTCACGATGGAATATTATTAGAAAATACAATTGATATCTACAGAGGAATACGACTGTCGTCGACAAGATTTCACGCATGGTACGTTGTGGTGTGAGCATGTGACATCAGTGGATTCTGAGCCGGACATGTACTTCCTATTACAAACATATAAAAAACTTGACAGAAGCTCGGCCACGGAAATGTTGCGGTTGTTTCAATTTCAACCATCGTCTACCTACCTTTGAAGGCAGGCATATTTAAGTCTTGATAAATAAAGTTACAATACCTGCTCTTCCGCAGCTTGATCTTGTGGTTCGACGTCACAGCTCGGCTGCGAAGGTTGTTGAGGAATAACAAATATTTCTTCGTCCTGCTGCATTGGTTCAGATATTTCGTTTCTCTCTCTAGTAGGTTGAATTGTGTTTGCCGAAGAACTCAGACCTCCGTTTCTCAAAAAATTATGCAATGGTAACGCGGTAGGTGGATCTGTAGAAAAAGTTAGTTAAAGTAAACCATTTCTACGAAATACTAACACCAACCAATTCGCCAAACAAAAAAAAAACGTCGAATTCGCATATTATCACAGCAAGCAAGAAAAAAAAAAATCAAAAAAGTTTCAATGATATGATACATATCGTTTCCCATAAAGAGTCGCAAATTAAGAATCATCATAGCTATATCATATAGTACCAGTTTTAATCGATGCGAAAGAATGATCAGCGACATTAGATAGAGTACGGGTGGATATATGAAAACAATCGCTAATTGAATTGCCTTTTCTGTATAAGTTTATATGGCTGCCATGTTCGATTTTTGGAGCAACTACGCGAAATGTGTACTGCCAATTAGTGTACATTAGAGGTGATTTAAAGAACACAGCGATTTTCTTTCGTTTCAGCAAATTCGTGAAATAGGAACTTACAAGTTGCAGGTACGTTTCTCTCATCGAGATCATTACGATGTAAACAATCATCTCGATGAAATCTTCTATCTCGTGGATCTTCACGTCTTGTCATACGCTCTACGCAATTTCCACAGCTGCATAAGAAAGTGAATTGATCAGATTTTTAGAAAGACTTTACTACTTCGTTCCGAACGAGGCCGAGGTAGACTCAGTATAGATTAAACCAGAGGCGACTTGGGTAACTGATGGTCTGAGTGGGGTCCGAGAGGGATATCTAATCAACGGTGACCGTACATTAGAACCCATGTACATTTGAACCCATGCGTATATCCACGGGTTCAATCTATATGCGGGTGCTAAAACCCATGGGTTAGGGTTAGTATGGGTTTAACTATCCGTGAAGCAAAAAAAATTTCCTAGGTGCAATAGCATACAGGTGCAATTGTCATGGGTTCAAATGTACGTGGGTTCAAATGTAATGGAACCCTAATCAACGGTCACTTCAGGAGAGCTAAGAAATTTTCCGATTAAAAAAAAAAAATTTTTTCTTGATCAACTTGAAGCATAGAGGAAGGTGAAACTTTAGTTATCTCAATGATGTAAGTCCGATGTCGGCAACCTACGGCCCGCGGAGCAAAATAATCCGGCCCTCGACGCTTCACTGAATTATGTAACAAATTATAGCTGTTTTGTCGAATATAGTCTTTACGCAAACGAATTTACGTGTAGACTAAATTATATTATAACGTAACAAGTATATAATTCACAATTACTCGTTTAATGAGCCTATAATTTATTTATAATTTAAACAAATGGCAACAAAACGCAGAAAAGTTGATGCTAAGTGCAAATGGTTTGATGGCGCAAAAAATATTCAAATGGTCAGTCTTCGCGCGCTGCCTAAAATTTAACTTCTGATCTGTGTGATAAAATTCATTCATCGGTCATCCATTCGATTTTCAACTTTGTTAAAAATATGTGCGCCCGCCAATGACTTGCAACCTTTATTTTTTGCCCGCAAGCGACAACAGGTTGCCGTCCCCTGGTGTAAGTGTTTGTTTATAACGTAGCCTATGTTCGTCCATAGGTGGTACATAACGGAATATTGTCAAACTATAAAATGTTGAAAAACATACGACGTAATGTTGCGATCTACATGAGCTCTGTAACAATTCAACCTGTACTTGATTTTATCCATGATAAGATTTAAAATACCTGCAAGAATATTTATTTCATATTTACAGAAAATTATAGAAAAAAGGCATTAAGTAGAAGACACAAACACGAGTGAGAAAATATATCAATCGGATATATTGCCGAATACAACAAGTTTATAAGCTGCATCAAATACCAATATCATGAGAGACATATGATACAATGGAATAAATTCAATTATAAAAATAAATTATCCACATAAACGCGCGTGAGCCAATATTTCTACTTTTTCAATGACTTCACGTAATTGGCAAATTTTATTCGTGGATTTTTTGTTTCTCTACTTCCATCCAACTTTTTTTTTCTCTTCTTTGTCAATGTGGTGTAACTAATTTTTTGTCTTCTCAACTTGGGAATATACACAAGATTATTGATCAAATATTTCGGGATAAGAGTGACGTAGTTAGCCATATCGTTGTTGTCCCAGTAGTCTATTCCACATTGACTGCAGCAAACGGCAAACTCGGTTTTCTTTGCGTTAAATAACTTTGGCAAAAACAGCCTGAATGCAAAGATGTCAGTTTTCCATTCTGGATCCCCAGGTTTGCTCCAGGTACCATCGACATCAGTCCATGTTTCCCAACTATCGAAAGTTACTCTCGCAAAAACTCGTTTTCCATACACGAAGTTGGCAACTTTAACAACACCTTTAAGGCTCTTTTTAGAACATTCGTAATTTACTAAAACAACTGAGTTCCGCTGTAGTTGACTTCGCTGAAAATTCAATTCATCGGTATCTCTCATGTTGTGGGATTCTATTCTCAAAGTCGGTGCATATCTCCGTCGTCGAAGTGCACAAACAAAAGAGTGAACTGACGATAGGAAAGTAGGTTACCACTTTAATAGCCCAGCACAAGATCAAGCAATTGATCCTACCCAGAAATACTATTAGTCCTTCAGCGTACAATCATCCTGCAATTGGTAGAGAGTTACGTTTTATCTATCACACATGGCAAATCATACTTGATTTTCAACTGCAACTGACTCTAATTGATGTAGTTAAGAAACATCTAAACGGGTCCCACACTTCAGTACCGGTAAAATGTAATGAAATAATAAGTCAATCACTACAGTAATAGTTTTTAGTTTTGTTTTCACGTAATTATTATATGAAAATATAATAACGATGAAATAATGAAGCAATAATCGAGGTATAGACATTCATTTAAGCAAGTGATTAACCGACGCAGATTGCATCACAGCGTACGGATGTACACCAAGGAATCGCAACGTAAATCGTTCGACGCGACGTTTCATTATTACTCGTTTCACAGAGTCACTTACAATGACAAATGGATTGTCTGTAATTAATGGTATCATCACAACAACTCATTAGGTACAGACACACGAAGATTTATGTTAACATTTCGTGATAAATATCAGCGACTAAAATAAATCAACATGACGGCATTTTCCCGCGCAATGATTCAAATGGATAAACAAATAAAAATATTTTCACAACAAAATCAATCATACTTATCATTGCCAGGAAAACGTCACTTATAGATTGTGACTACATATTGTGCGCGTACACGAGAAAAGAATTTAAATTATCCTGTTTGTTTAGATTTAGTTTAACTGTCATGCAATATTGTATTCTAATTCATCGTGTTGAGATTTGATCAGTGAAGCAATATCTTCTGCCGCTCAAACGCTAAGGGAAGCGAAAACCATAACTTTAATGGCGGTATATTGTAAGCAACATTTTGCTTATATATATGGTACAATTTGAAATAGACCAACTGGCAGTATTAACATTCAGTTAGAACAAACAACAATTCAGGGGAAAATCCGAGGAGTTTTGAAGGTGAAGCTAAATATGTTCTTTTAATGACTAACGACCTGACATTGATCAACCGACTGTTCTCTGATGATGTTCAGATTGCCAGCCTGATAACGACAAACAGCTTACTTTAGGAGGCTTATGTAGAGCTTCGAGGTGACGACAATAGAACAGGCACAGCACGCATAAAATGTCCGTAACAGCTATTTGTCATATACCTGTTTTTTATTTTGTTGATATACCGGTATATACAGAACAGTAAATTTGTATTGTCGTTACCTGAAGCATTTCACAACATCTCCCACTCCCGTAAAAAAGAATCCGGCGTTGGCAAGATCGCGTGGTAAAGCAGAATCACGATGTTGTGGAAAGTCTCTGAAAGTTGCAAGGCGATCATCTTCTCTGTCTGGATTTCCTGCGTTGAATATATAAAACTATATTGACACTGAATCTAGTCTGGTCGTTTATAGAATATAATATTCTGTATATAGTAAATGAACACTTCTAGAGTACCAGCTTTTGTCAGATTCTAATCGAGATAGTCAACATATGGTTCAGAACAACACTAAGTAGGTCTGCATAACCGTAAAGTACTTCACAATACAAAATAGAATTGAGTCCACCACCTCGGCAACCGATTTTTGTACCTGACGTGCCACACTAACAGGATACCGGTAACAGCTCAAAGGACGATGACACGTAAAATATCTTGTATGGCCGGAAACGGCAATGTTTTGGTATATGATAGTGATAGTCACTGGTCTGAGATGGATATTCATTGAACTGGCATTGATCTGTGTTGAAAGTGAGTAGCTACTACCTAAATATTTATATGAGGAAGAAGGACACAGCGATATCACAGTCGCAACGATTTCTTACGCGGCTCAATAGTACAAAGATTGCGACTTGGCTGGCGTGTGGTAACTCTATTACTGAGCTAGTTTTATATAGGCTACTGTCGAAATTGTTATTTGGGTCCTTGCTTTGAATAAAGATCAATATTCAACACAAAAAAACAGTCCATGTATACATACCGAAATTTATATACGGTAAATCGTTGTTAACAGCCCGTGGATCGTTACACGTATTTCCATCGTCAGCTATATTTTCATCTCGATGCTGGCTTAAAACTTCATCAGGCATTTCTATGTTTATCCTGGTCAACAAATTAAACTGGTGGCTATGCGTAGAACTACAGATTTTAATAATACTGTATGAGTCATTTACCACATCTGTGCTCGCGCGCGTTGTCAATAAGAATTACTCAATTGCGAAATAGTAATGAAAGTGGTAAAAGAAAATAGTAAACATTACGTGCCTATAGGCTAGATCAACGATTCCATTATGTTTATCGTGATTTCAACTGCCTTCAAATGTTCTGCACTACCAGGGGAATCCCCGCGGTAACCAGCCGGGGTTATAAGCGAGGAGTCGTTTCACACATATGTCTGAGGATTTTCACTATTGAAAGCTATAGAATACGTGTTAAACCTTCTGTAGTGCGACAATAATAAACTGAAGTGTATCAACGACACCTGTATACTTCCATAACTTCCGATACTTATTCACACGATTTCTCTGAGCTTAATCGTACACTTCGATCAATTCACTGAGCCTAACAAATTTGCCACACGCTTCTATACGCGTACAATGGCGACGATCGCGTTATTCGAAAACAGACTTATTTTGTCACGCTTCAGTGAACGATTAATACGTTCCAGTCTGCACCAGGCTCAAAATAAACTCTGCGATTGCAAGAATGCTTGTTTTCGGTGTAGGTTGTAGTCCGCGTGGAAGGATCGACTTTACATTTATAATACAGAAAAACCCACCTTTTTATTGCAGAATGATGATGGATATTCGTCTCGTTAAATTAAAAATCCTACATTGAAGTGTCGTATTGAACTGCTGGAACAAAGTAAGATTTGTATTGTCGTGGAAATATCGCTTGGCGAGGATGATAATTTTCTACCACCTTTTTTCCTAAACTGCCAAGATTAAATTTTTGCGAAAATTCCGATGCCTGCAGTTGAATCAGATTTCCACAGTCGGATGTTCACCACTCTGAATTTGACGGAAACAGTAGATACTGCTTAGTCATAGCTTACCATAATAGCCTGTACAGTGTAGGCTACATCCAGCGCCGGATTAACCATTAAACAATATAAGCACGTGCTTAGGGCACCAAGCAAAGAGGGGCACCACAGAAATTTTAGAGCAGAATTTTATATAGTTTATCGGTATTTATTAAAATATTAGGAGTTCACCAGGCGACTCAAACTTCAAAATGTTCGCCTATTTTTGTCTTCAAGTATCATATTAACCTTCTTTACTAAAAACAAACACTGAAACTTATTTATTGGACACGAAATGGGCCTGTGAGTCGTTTTCTTAAATTGTTGTTGTTTTTTCTTTCTGGTATTCACCTTGTTTCTGCATTTTTATTTTGAAAAAAATTCTATTCTCTTCAACAATTGGACCAATGAACTATTTATCGGTATTTATTAAAATATTAGGAGTTCACCAGGCGACTCAAACTTCAAAATGTTCGCCTATTTTTGTCTTCAAGTATCATATTAACCTTCTTTACTAAAAACAAACACTGAAACTTATTTATTGGACACGAAATGGGCCTGTGAGTCGTTTTCTTAAATTGTTGTTGTTTTTTCTTTCTGGTATTCACCTTGTTTCTGCATTTTTATTTTGAAAAAAATTCTATTCTCTTCAACAATTGGACCAATGAACTATTTACACTATGTGGCGGTTCCACAATCGCATTTCAACGATATATTGGTCAGCAAAGTCGGGAGTTTCCTGATAAGGTAGACCAGGGTGGTCCAAACTCTGTCATGCTGATACATTCCGTGCGGCTCACAAAACAATTTTAGCGTATATTTGTATCTAATGGAGTAACGTTTTTGAGTTTTTTTAGATATTCCAACTGGGGTTGGGATCCCGAATTCAAACCCTTTTTCTAACGCTTTGTGCCTTTATTTTAGTAAAAACACTCCTCTGTTTACAAGCTTCGGCCAATGTGACAGTAGTGGCGAAACGCAGAACCGACTTAACGCCGCGTAATCCATTTTTTTTAGCTAGGTCAGGAAAACCAACTTAGACTGACTTGGTTGGTATTTGACGATGTCACTAGCTTGCTCAGCTGTAAGTTTTTAAATTACTCAATATAACAATTCGTAATAAAATGAGTATCGCAAGAAAGGTGACATAAGAGAACACGGCGGAAATGTATTTTCTTGCCCATCACGCAGTTTCTGGTTTGATTTCAAGTAATATCTGTCACGAAAGAATATAATTTGAGGCTACATTATACGCGAGATGCGCAAAATACAACGGTAATTCTCGGGAATTAACTTTAAAACTAGAATATCGGTTAGAAACCGAAGACTTATCGATCGAAGGTTAGGGGATCCCCAAAACAGTGGTCTTACTCCATAATGACATCATGTGTCCCATCACTAATTAAATAATAACTCGCTAATTATAAGACATAATCCATCTAAAATCAATAGGCCTCCTGATCCGAGCTATGATAAATGCACATGCAAAATTTAGAGCAGATCCAACCTCGCTTTCGTGAGATATCGCGTGCATCTAACATACAGACAAATACCTTAATATCTTAAGATCGATAAGTAATAACTGAAGGCTTTATATATCTTCTTTAAAACGAACGCCAACCATGCAACATATAAGAGTCTGATTAGAACGGTAAACTCTCGTTGTTTATTAAATTTAAAGTAAGTAAACTCGCGATATTTTGATCACTTTTGGTTTCTCCGACTTGCGGCCCGCGAGACCTCCTCAAAAGTTTTTGCGGTCCTTCAACCTAGCAACTTGAACCACTCTGAGGTAGACTACTAGGGTACCGGTAAAATTTCAAACTACAGTTGTGTACTTTATATAACAGTTAAAAAACCTAAGAATGTTCGTAAAAGTTGTTTATTTACTGTTGGTTGTGATTATTTTTAATGGATAATACACTTATGGTGGTTATATTGTTTTTATAATCAAATTACACATGAGGGGGCACCAAATTCTTCAGTGCTTAGGGCACCAAAGGGGCTTAATCCGCCCCTGGCTACATCTACCCTGTACCCTACAGACTCACCAAGCCGCCCATCGTCATAGATGACTACATACTATCATATCCGCTAGATATTTCATTCAGCAGATATCATTATGGAAGCTGTTCTATAAAAGATGTTTTATCCCACAAACTTCAATATATAGGCCTTTGAGAAATTCAGATACCACCAAGTTTGTCAATGTCAACATTTCAAGTTATATATATCCGTAAATATATACTACTAACGATATATCACATCAATTAGGCACAATTTATGTGAAGTCGCAAATTGGGGACCAATCGATATCCCAAGTCTTCAATGCAGTTTAAGCGTTTGACAAGCGCTTGTTGGCGAATTTCTTGAATGCATACCTATGCTAAGTAATGAAATCTTTGGCTGTCCAAGAGCGAGCGTCGAATGTAATGAGTATAGTATATGTGTGTGTGATGTTCATTTATTCAGTGCAAGTTTTAAAATTAGATTTTTATTTCGAAATGGTAAGTTTTAATCAGAAACTGTGTAACTCACATCCCGAAACAATCCAGTCCGGGCTTTTCTTTGACAGGAGAACCTTGCTGTCAAACATTCCATCTGAAAAGAGATGGGTTTATTGTCACTTTCAAAGAATGTAGTTTCAACACCCAAGACTTTCATGGTATAACTATTCAGGTTTCTACAACAAAAACAGATGATTTATGATACTATTTTCATATGAAGAAAGTCGATGATTTCACTTAAGAGCATAATGCAAATAGATAACGAATTAAACAAAATCGACCAAAAACGTTCTTGAACCATGTCCTTTGCGTATATAAGATAAGGTATTCATTCTATAAATAATTTTGTAATTGTTTGCATCGAATAAAATCATAGTCAATGCCTAATTTCCAATTTTTATAATAATTTAGTAAGAATATCACTGCCCATTTTGTGCAAGATATCAGTCTCAACATGGTATGGTGGCCCTTTATGAATTGCTTCAAAATGAAATGAGTTTAACATGTATGAACCACTCTTTTCAAGTATGGATCTCATCATTCAAGATACCTATTTTGGATAAAATCACACTGTACGTAAACAGCATATCATAGTATTACATTTTTACCACCATATGATATATCAGTGATTTCATATATATTTATACAAATAACCAGGAGCGTGCCAAACTTTTCTGCTGCCGGGGCCAGTTTCTGAAAATGATGCCTCTTATATATTTAAACTTAACTTAAACTAACTTGAAAATAATTTGGGGGAAAAACAAATTATAGATGTTATACGTGTGATTGAATGAATTAAAGGTCAAGGAAGAGTCAAATATTTGCAATATTATTATTTAAATCAAAGGGTTCTCAAACTTCTGGTGTTATGGAGCCCCTGAAGCGGTTGACAATTATTTACGGAGATCCACAACAAATTTATTGAAATGGAAAAAATCGCACGGAGCACTCTGAGAAGCTATGAATTAATTCATCAAGCTAACCAACAAACGCACCTCTACAACGTGATGCCCGGGGTGGCTGCCCTCCCCTGTCAATATCTCACATATATCACACTTCCGTGATATGTATATGTCAACGATCAAATATTGTTTTCAAGTATATATATCTCGTTTACCTTGGCCTTTTGGGAGGATAAATTGACGTGAAACTTCCTCTATCCCAAATGACGTCAAATGTACCCAGAACTTGTGCATTTGCATCAAATATATCGCCTTGGAAAATTGTGATATTCAATCCTACAGCCTGAATGATTAAATAGAACCTCCGATACAATACTAATCTGAGTTAAAATCGATTATGAACTTACAGAATTTTACATCAAGGAATTGTGAGTATATATCGGTGTTTTCACGTTTTGTTATAGCTATATGAAAGATGGAAAGCATTTCAAGTCAATAAACATAGAATTTAAACAAACCTTGAAAATCTTTAGTTTGCTGTTGGTATGGTCAGAGCATTCGAAAAGCAAACCATTATCGTCAAAAAAACTTTTCACTGCTATCGGTGAATATTCAAGTCCAACAACATCATGACCTTTGCTTGCCAACCTAAATAACATTAGGATACTTCAATATATTGTGGGATAGCATAAACGAAGCGATAATTTCAGGTCGGAAACTTCGGTTCAACGACTTGAGCAAAAGGAAGGGAAACCACTTTCAACATGGCTACTCATATTTTTCACGAGAAGTTGATGCCTGTTACCATTACAAGCCCAGGTAAACCAACCTTGTTTTTCTGGTCGCGACTACTGTCTCTTGCACAACTAAGTCATGAATCTGCAACGCTAAGAATGCAGTTCTAACTGGATATGTAGGCATTGGATAGTGTGATGTGGGTACCGGTAAGTATTAGTTAAAGAAAAGTACATACCACAACATGCTTTTAGTTTTTCCACATAACGGGACAAATATACGATGTCTTTGTTTCAATCCGAATATAAAATCATAGAATTCAATCAACAACCTGCAATAAAACACTAGAAAGTATAATCGATGAAATGGGCATCTATCGTGTACTCATTGGGGCCCATAACTTCTTGGCTCCAGGCTCTTAAAAAAGTTTTCCCACTTATTCTATTATTTAGTATATATATTACGTGTGAGGTCCGTCGGTTTTGTGGAACGGTGTAAAATCTTTCTTCCAGTAGACGTTTTCCCATTCCTCTAGCGACATTTCTGATCCAATATTCTGGACAGTGCTGGACATTTTTATAATAGCACAAATAAATTAAAATTTCACGTTCTTCTGTAACAAATATGCGAAAATGAGGTCGATACTAAGGATGTTTGCTTACAGATCGATTAAAAACAATTTCCGATTGGGCGTCCGGGGTATCATTATCTAAATTTGAAAGCATATCCTCTCTGCTATAATTGACGAAGTTATTTTTTTTTAAATTCGTTTGTTCCTCGAATCTTAGACTGCAATCAGCAGCTGATGAAGTTTAAGCCAATGAAACCACAGATTATGAAAACAAAAATATGAAATTCTGGAACGAAAAGTTAGGACCACGATCAGTGTTATCGCCCCCGGCCTAACATCAACCTGCCATGTCAAACCTCAAACTTGTAAGTGCACAGATATAAATTGCGACAATCAATAATCCAGGCTGCATTGTGAAATGCGTGACAAAAATAATGGGACGAGAATGATATATAGAAAAACTGACAAAATAACTAGAATCATATAGTATTCAATGCAACTACATGATAGGGCGGGGTTCAATAGTTATCGGGCTTACAGTAAGCACTGATTAAGGGCCAGTTTTGCGAGTAACAAAATGATCGCCTGGTACGTGGATATGATTGGGTGTTACAAATCCTATTTGATCTGACTGCTTTTTTTAGTAGAATATTGTATTGTGACTACAATCCTTGTCATGGCCACGGTACCGGAAGTTCTCATCAATACCCTGATTACCTCAGTCTGCTTACGTAATAAATCGAAAATGAAGGGCGTTACAGGTACGTATTTCTGAATGTGAATAAAACCAAAGAGTTCGACTAGAAACCTTAATAAGCTAGATTTGTGTCCATCTTAAATTATCACCGTAAATGTTTTACAATCCGAAATTTTGTATTCGGCACCCATGGTTGTAAGGGAAGTCTGTATTCCCGATTAAGTATAATAACGTTGAGCAATTTTTTTTTTTTTTTTTTCAATAAAATTAGGATTTTACTTGTTCAAGGCAGTCTAAACCAATACGAGATCGTCCAGTTGGAACTTGAATAACATGTTCGCTCCACTGAATATTCCATGAAATATAATTCGAGTGGAAAATATAAAGATGTTAATTTATCACTTTAATTATCTTTAATTGTATCATGATGTTATAACTTTACAAAAATGTTCTAACAGGAAATCCTCATTTATGATTGAGGCTCATTTCAACTGTAAACATTATTACTTCTTTGCTGGATGATCACAGAATACCAAAGGTCATCGCAACCGGAAATCCATTTGTATCGCAGTCTTAGCTTGGATCTTACATTTATCCCGCTTTGAATATTTGTTTTACATATGTTCAATGATTCAACTTATATTCAGTAAGCAATACAAGTAATATATATACATATGCGGTTCATATTTCCGGCCAAAAATTACATTAAGCATAAGAACTGTGGTAAATGCGTATTGGGATGGTATGACAGCTCTGCCATTTACAAAGAAAAATTGAATCAGGAGTATTGTATGAAGACCGAACTGGTTTTGCAACACCAAGCATTACCGCAATTGCATCAGCGTGAAATTCTACACGAATGTTGGGGGAAGTCGTTGTAGCTTTCATTGGTTTGCAGTTCGATTTTGATACGTACAATACACTACACAATTCTATCAATATATGTGAACGATGAATTTAGTTAAAATAATCAATTCGAATTTCAAAATTATTTCAGGGTTATTCCCTAAATCAAGTATGAAATTCGTAAAAAGTGGGTAAGGAAAAAATAATTTAATTGAATGTAATGTATGGTCAGTTGGTAGCTAAAAAAAACAGTTTTTGGGAGGGATATTAGAAATGCGTAAGTTCGTAATTCTGTCCTAAAAATGACATATACGGGATCATCAGAATTATTCGTTAAATTAGTTCAAACTCCAATTTCAATGACGGATATCCTCCATGGGATATGGATATTATATCTACGGTGCTTGACCAAATTCCATAGTAATTATAATAGCGAGATGTATAAAGTCGGGATGTATTCCAAAGATTCATTTAGTTTAGTTTAGGAGGTTCCAGAATTATGGCACGCATGAAACGATTTGAGATGCTTGCAGTGTTTTTGTAATATTTGAAATCAATTTCGTCACACCTATACCTGTTTACACCAATGAATTTTCATCTCCACCTAAGTTGAGCCCCCAGGTAACTCTGCAAAAAGGAAATGTACTTTGCCATCCCAGGAGGAAATCGATTGGGACAAGGTATCTCAAAAAAACATTTTGAATTTGATATTATCGTTAGAAAAAATGTGAAAAGGTAAAAATCAGATAAATGCGATGCTTTTCATTAAACTTATATATAATCACGCATAATATTAGACAATGTACTGATAGATTTGCATCGGACGTTTAATGTAAAATTAATAGATTTAAGATATTTCGAAATGCATATAAGCGCTGTGGAAATTCGACAAATCAGATAAAAACCGTTGGTATATCAGTATCAGTTGGTGATCAGTATTTATAAAAATTATTAGCTCACACTAACTTTCGAACCGGACTCACCTTCAGAAAGAATAACTAAGCTTTTTTGTGCAAGAACTACGCCAAATTTTTATTTGTGTGAACAGATGATAACACACTTTAAAGTGATGAGTGAAGTATTTTCTCGGTTTTGGGCATTTTCGGCTCATTACTTGAAAAAGACTTCGATATCGCAACGTACTGCAAAAATTGTTTGTTTTTATTTCTGGGAAAGATGTTCTGTTTGAAACAAAGTAATCCATCGTGTTTACCAAAACTCGGTCCTTATTTTCTCATTCTCTGCAGGCTTCAGGCCGATGGTACCAAATTATGTCATCTTTGGAATATCCTGACGACGGAAAATGTTTCGGAATGAATAAAATTAAGGGAGGGAATGAAATGATGGAAGTCGAAATAATTGAATACAATATTGGGTAAGAAAAACGGTACAATAATCTCCTTTAGTACAGAATGTAGTGCGATGACTATATAATAATATATATATATATATAATGATGAGCAACAAACACATAGCACTTTTTCAGTTAAGTAAGATCAATGAGGTCATTTGTTTTTACTTGTATCGTTCTATTGTACATATATTGGAAGATTAAGCAAATCTTAATTGATTGGATATCAATTGGACGCTATTGTCCAAACGAAGGGTATCCTAGTCGTGATTTAGTTATCTAATATGCGGCGGTTTGTTTACCGGATTAAAATGTGATTTGTATAAGACAGTTAATCCACTAGTTGTCGTAGTAAACTCAAATTCAAGTTCGTTGTATTTTGTAGGCAAAAATCTTATCGTAAAATGCGAAATTCGTGGTAAGAAGTATGGATGTAAATATGAATGGGAAGACTTCCAAGGTAAATCATACAAACATATTGTTTTTTGCATAACTTTTCAATATTTTAATCTACGTCGTAAATGTGCTAGAATGCACGTAAAAAAATAGAATGGCAATACTTTTGGCCAATTTCACTTTATCCGAACAAAATAAATTCGATGATTATTGGTGCTTCATTTCAACTTGTGAAGTCTGTACCCTCTAAAATAGCGAAACGGCTTAAACGTTCGGCTCTGAAGTTAGTCAATTCGTTGTATTCACGCCAAGAATTGTTATTGATTATTTCGACCCATTCTTATGTACGACAGGATACGGAAGACAAGGGCCTAATTATGAATATGCAGGACCGGCTTCTAAACCTAGGATTACGCCATATTACGGAAAAGGCAGTGATGACGGGTCCGAGGGAAATTACGGTTCGGGATACGACCTCCTAGGCGGACTCGGGGACATGATGGGTTACATGACTGGCGATGGACCTGGCTACAATTCTGACCCTAGATATGGGTCTGGAGATGGTTATGAAAACCTGGACAATGGCGGGTTCTATTCGCGCAATGGAATGTCGAATTATGGTCCAGAGCAAAGCTTTATTCCAAATACCGGACCTGGCTATCAAGTTGACGACGGACCGAAATATGGATCCGGCTCTGGTACCAGGTGGACAACATTTAGCGGGGATGGCAGTTTTGTTGAGAGAGATAGAGAAAGCAAACGTCGTAAGTGTTTATATTATTATTTTTTGATTACTATATATAATATTATATTGCAGTGAATAACGAGTAATTCATTATTGGTACAGTCGGAAACAAAATTAAAATGACGCTTAGATAGTTGATAAAAAATTATGCATTGAACATACTTGCTCCTCCAATACGGAAACGGAAATCTTAAGATTACCAATTCTATTAAACCATAATAATAAACCCTTAAATATTATCAACCGTTTCATTGGACTATTTGACATACAATATCGACTGAACTGGGCTAAATTTTTTTCCACGTGGTAACTGGAACTGAAAAAAACATACCGCATGCACGAGACGAAGTGATCGTATTTAAACATATATAATATTTAGTTAATTTATTAAATTAAAACTATGCAATACTGTGACAAACTGGTGTTCATCTCCTGTTAACGAGAAGCTACCCCGCCGATAATTTTTTTATTTTCTAGAAATCAGGTTTATCGAAGACATGTTCAATGGAAAATATGTAATGATCACTGACTACGATAATTTTATGATTATGTTGATGCAAGAAAACGGTGAGTCAATTAGACTTCTTTATTATTTTATTGAATCATATTCTTGCAAACACTTCACTATGAAATTTTGTTCAGCAAAAATGTTTGGTTTACTGTCTTGCTGTTTTTATTTTCAGTATTATTTTTAAGCATTACTTAATACTTACTACATGTGAGATATGCTTCAGTGGTATATTACTAAGTTAATATTTTCCACTATGTGTGAAATAATTCATTTATGTTACAGTTCGTAACAAAATTGTAGTGTATTCAAGAGACTCACACGTGTCATCAGAGCAGTTTAAAAGATTGATGGATACTTTATCTGATATCGTGAAGATGGATGAGCTTGCGATGGCATCTTTCTGAATGTGCTGATTTCGAGGATGGTTACGACCCTACCGGGAGCAACCGCCAAAATAGATGTTGTTATAAGCAGTAGATGCATCCCTATCCATTTATGTATTGTGCAATGTATCCAGACAAGATATGTGTAATTTGTGCCAAAACGTTTGAAATATCCACATACATAAATGTAAATCTGATTATATTTCTGCTGTTGAAATGATGCAAGTTAATTTTTATGTTTAAGGATATTAATTTGTAATATGTACTGCCTGCTTAATTATTTATCTCCCATTCTCACTTCTTTATATACTTATACTTGATGCTCTATAGGTTATCAAACACCTATCTACTTCGTAATCATGATTATGAATTTTAATTTGAACTTTGAGGCAGTAAACGTAAATCACAAATGTAAAATAAATCAGGAATTGTAAACAAATAATGTCGAAACATGTGATTACTAAAAATGTAAAGCTGGTTTTGCTATGTTTGTTCATCTTCTCTGATGTACCTTTTTTCAATTTTAGTTTAGGACAAGAACAATGAGAATCTTTAATCATATTTAGAAAAGATAAATGTATTGTAGAACATGATCTTGACATGAAAATATCAAGTTATTTGTCTGATCATTTAATTATATACAAGATATCTTCAAATATTCGCAACCAGATTTATCAGACTAAATTCACTGATATCGCTGTTTATATGTATTCGACAAAGTGTAGAATCTTCTATTGAACCGTTCATGACTTTGAGCATGACTATAAATCCTTCTTTGCAGTAAAAAGTCCCACAAATAAAATATAATTACTTGGTTATATGGAAAATATTTCGCCATAGAGTTATGAATAATATTTACATCGGCCTTGTATTATAACATAATTATGCTGTTGTGACGTTCAGCAGTCGATTCATCACTTAGCTCACGATTACGACGTTTTTTTTTAAATTGATTAGGTTTAGTATTTAAATATCACTCGGGGTTAAATACTCATTATTGATTTATATATCAATATTGTAACCTCGTGGCCGCTGACTCTTTCTTTTATTAGTTGAAATCAGTTCCTTTGAATGATTAATTCAGACTTTACTTTAGTAACTTCTTTAAAAGAATTCCCCAAGAATATTCAAGTTTAATTTAGGTATGTTTCCCAATATTCTTCTCGAGTGTGATGTTATCAAATTTCTGAGGTCATGGACATGGGGGTTAGATGTTTTGAATTTGCTCAGTTGCGGTAAAGATCTTTGTAATTTACGTAAAATGTTCTGTGAATTCAATATTATATATTAGAAATCAGCAATAATCTGAAAATGTCGGGTTACATATAGAAGATGTAAGTTGATAAAATGAGTTGGAATTCAATGATAGCTGAAATAGTATTGAATAACAATATTTTTGTATATGTATGTTCGAAAACTACTTGGCTTGTTCCGCTTACTATTCACACAAGAACTCACAAGAGCTAGGACGTGAAAACGTAGCATGAGTAACAAAAATTGATTTAAGAAAATTCAGTAAAACAATGAACAAATGGCATTGGATTTGAAGTAGAGTGGTGATTTTTGGTATTTCATGGGACGTTCACAGGAAGAAAACCACGAAATTCTTGTATAATTTATATTGCACACGATACTAATAACATGTACATTCATTCTTTATCGCTTACTAAAACAATCCATTAAAATGACGTACCTTTACCTTGAGTGATTCATTTGATATACATCCGAAACATTTTAACAACTACGTGAATAATATATATATAATATATTGATTTTGCAAGACACTTGTCTCGTGGTGTGATTAACAGCCAAACCAAACAAACATCACCCCTAATTTACCCTAAATGTTATTTATTGAAACCAAGTTAATAGATCGTAAACTCCATCTGCAAATAAGATATAGTTGAACTAAGAATGAATCAGAGACCAGAATTAGTCATTATCAAGATTGCTATCGGAAATCAGTATAGATATCAGGGCTTTACCCGGGGGATGGATAACAGGTAGAATGTAGATTATTATATTTGCACAATATTGTAGGGAGAAAGACATTTTACACTTGAGTGAATAAATTATACCGACAAGAGGTTTATAACCATTATGTTATACGACGTATAATGCACGTTTACGAAACTTATAATTCTTGGGTGGATTACTTTAACTATTTTTTTGCAAGCTCAACGAGTTTTCATACACGATAGGTTAAATCGAGTTTTTATTTATATTACAACATCATTTCCAATTAATTTCCAGCTAGATTCCTAATTATAAATACATCAATAAATTTTAACGCAAACTTTTTTAAGAAAATGAAAAATGGTATCTAATATGAGGAAAAAAACTTTAAACTCGAAAAATACAGTGATATATATAATAAGTTTCCCTGAAATAGACGTTGATACTCATAATGACAAAATCGCAGCATAATTTCAGCTCTGTTACTCGAACAGTGTAAATATAAAATATTTATACGTGTTGACAAAAAAGCCTTTCTACGCAAACGGACAAAGCCATGGTAACGGCATGGTATTGAATTCAGTTTCAAAGTACATGAACCGCACATGCTATACCGGTCTCGTGATAGCTCTTTTTAGTTTTTTTTTTAGTTTGAGGAAAACATTATTGTCCCTGGTATTTTTACGCTTTTTATTTATCATATTGATGGTCAGATAAGTTAACGTTGCAATGAACATATACTAACTATGACACAATACATCAGTTCTTGCTCAGGTCAGTTCATGTCTACCGGGCGGGACAGCTTGTCAAAACCGGAAATGCCTGGATAAACCGAGAAGTATGGTAAGACTACATTTGACACATAGAACAAAAGAAGTTCTTATGCAGCCCTTAAGAGATTGAAGGCGCTGGCATTTCTTTAACTATTCTCCAACGCCTATATGGTGGGGATGGTGTAACCTCGGAGTAGCTTCTTGCCCTGCAATGCTAATATAATGCAAGGTTTTTATCCATGGGCCAACAAGTTTGCCCTCATAGACTGGCGGGCCAAATGAGTGTGACGCAGAAGGTTACATTTATGAACAATATTTACAGTGTTACAAAAGTGGAAAACAATAAGCCTCGTGCCAAGACTAAATTTAATCTCAATCGTAACAAATTCCACGAACTTTTTTGAGATAGAAACATCAAAATTCGGTTTTAGTTTGGTTGCTGCAGCATCGGCCGGTCCAGATTGAATACCCATTGGGTCGTATTTGGCCCGCGGTTCGTAGTTTGCCCATGTCAGGTTAACACCCTAACTATTGAACCTTGACAACTGATGGGAAGTTCAATGTACAATAGTGTGATATGCTTTGGTAACGATGGAAGATTCTCCTTTGTTGGTTTATTCGCTTTGAATCGAGATACGATTGCGTGTGATGTTTCGAAATACAAATAGACAGACAACACGTGAGAAAGCACAAGATTCGCACTCATTCTGTACTCGAAAGGAAGGGTCGAGGGAGCAATTCTCGATTATGGATACAAAGGTCGCGCATCGGTAAGTATAGGGTAAGGTACCGAGTTTGCTGGCGGAAACGCGACGAAATAAGAAAATGAATAAAACAGCAAGGTTTAGATTTAGTATTCACTAGTATATACATTGAATTCATAAATTAAAAAAGAAAGGCTTTTTTGCCCAACAACAAGTAAATCACCTTCACAATAGCCAGTAGGCTACCTGGCGAAACAATCAATATGAACACTTCTTGTCCGAAATTGCATTTCTCCCAATCGATTTCAGCGAGATAGCGCTCAACGAACTACATTCCCTTCATTTCGCGCGGATTATATAAAACATGTGGGACGTTAGATACAGCATATCTCATACTTAGATTTGGTCTCGTGTTTTTGAAAAATGCTGTTTGCTTAATCCTAATTCAAGCTCAAACTCACCCCTACGCCCGGTTTACAATTCTTCGACGGTACTGCTCGGTACTGTTTGTTCTAGAATCTATACCAGGGTGGTCCAAGGTTGACGGCTCCGCGGGCCACAAAATTATTTTTGCATTTTTCGCGGGCCACATTAGTGCCAAGTATAGGTAAACAGTGCAAAACAAAACAAACGCTTATATTGTGCAAACACATAGTTATCAGACATAGCTATCCCAGGCTAATAGAATCTGCATTCTATTTTTAGTTTTCTATAATGCCTATATTGTAAGCATATATTCTCGACCAAAAAGATAGAAAGCCAGATAATAATTTAGACTGCCAAGCACCTCATTCAACTTCGCTAGTTGCCTCAGCTAGCCATAACACTAGTCAATTTAGTGACATTTGTGATGTAATAATATGTCAAAAGATTTTCTGATTAATTTTATTACGAAACAACACGAAATGCGATTTTTTGATTACTCTCCGAATGTGACACGGACCATAGATAATGAAGCGGTGGGCCACATGTGTCCCGCGGGCCTGGGTTTGGACCACCCTGATCTATACCATATACCATGGCAATTCTAGGCGTGACTGCTCTTGCATAACTCATTTGGATTGAAATATATGACAGAATACATCTCGAATATTTAATAGAAGGATTCAAATCATGTGTGCTTATATGATTATTAAACAACTTTCTCACAAATCACATGTTGTTACAAATGCCATTAAAAAGAAATTTTACTATGTTACATAGCTGGATTTCAAAACATTATTTTATCGATGGTTAGCGATTGATCGTTAGAAATCAATAATGTCAGAAATTCCCATTTTGTATTTAATTCACTGTTCGTGTCCTAATACGTTTTAAAGTTTTATAAATAAATCTATACCGCACTAAAGTATTTTAGCATTGAAGTAACCACTCTCATGTCATATATTTATCATAAGAAACTCGATAATACCTATCGAGAATATCGAAATAATACTGAGATATTTCCTAAACGGCGTTCAATAGAAACAAATCTTCCTGGCATTTATTTGTCTTGCAAAAAAATACCATTACAAGCCTACGCAACTTACGCACGAGCTGTATGTATCAGGTTTCAATCCATGCGTGGGTCTCGTGTACAGACTACTATTGATAACGCATGGCTTGTTATTCAAAAAAGAGGCTATACAATACAATATTATGCTTTATTCAATTTAAACAAAAACTCGATTTTGACGTCATGTGTATTTGAACTGCGATTATTCGGAAAAATTCCACAGTATATTTCCAATTACGTAACATTGATACATGCCATGCCAATAAAAAAAAACTTTCCGCGAGAAATAATATATTTAATACCCGTCACTGATTTGAAATTGCATGCAAATATGATATCTGAGAATGTACTTCTTGGCTGTCTCCATCATAACTGAAACTCCGATATACCATTTAAGCACTGTATGTATTTTATATATATAGTGTTTTGCCTAATAGATAGATAGATGGTCGTATGTTGTACTAAACCTATTACAAATTTAAAATAAACGCTTAACCTAGTATACTTGAACAAACGCAAATGTTTATCAAAATACTTTTATTAAATAGATTTCAAAAGTAAAATATGATACCAAACATAGCATATTTGAATAAATTGCCGCAAAAAATATTTTATATTTTGTCGTCTTAAATTGTTCACAATGCTGCATACATGTTCTGTGTTCATTTTTTAGACAGTGTCACAATTTGCCCAGTGGGTTAAAGTGTTTAATGCTTTAGTGTCGGAACCCCACCTCACCGTGGCTTGAAAGGATACATATATGAATGGGAGGGAAAATATACATTTATCCAGATGAATTTGCACACAGTTATTCGGCAAGAATGCACACAAAATAAAAATTATATGGCAGATGAGGTTGACTTATTTAAATAAGAAATAATAATAAAATTACATTTTCGACGGTCACCCCAGATATATGAACATATGTATATATGGAAATGTTTCAATGTATAAAAATGAAATTGAAGACAAAAAAGAGACGGAAATGGACCACATTTTTAATTGAAATTTTCCATGCAAAAAAATTACACAGACATTAAATATTATACAAAACGTTCTACAATTTTTTAATATGATTTGATAAAAAAGAGACTTGTGTTAACAAAAATTTTTTTTTTCCAGTGAAAACTGGTTTCAAATATAACACTGTTAGATTTAAATAAATTTCCATAAAAAATAAGTGAAACATATTACAATAATGTTAATAAAAATCTATCAAGAAATGTATGTTTTGATCTTTTGTCGAACGTACGACCGGCATATTGGACAATTTGATACTCTTTGTGCACAAGATACACATGTAGATAAATGTCCACATGGTACGAAAACAACATTTGCTTCTTCATCTAAACATATTTTGCATTTTTTCTCTTCTTCAAGTTGTTTTAATCGATTTTCTCGATCTTCGGGATTACTAGGCATGAGAGTTGTGTTAGTTGAATTTTGATTTGTGGATGGGTGATTTGTTCTCGTTGCAACATGTTCTTCGTCTTCTAAATTGCCAATAGTTACCAGTACTTCGTCAATATTGCAAAAATTTCTCTCTTTGACTTGGTATTGTCTAGAATAGATTTTAAATTATTGGATTGAAAACAAAATATTTAATTTACATTATGGCATTTCCAAAAAATTAATGAGAACTACTTTTTCGTAGTGAAAACATGATCTGACGAATCTCGATGATTTCTCTTTTGTTTTTTTGTTTTTACCAATACGCAATATTCCTAACATAACGTTCATTTCGATATTCCAATATGAAACCGTACAAGATTGTTGATATTACAATTTTATTCAGAACTGTGACTTACTTTTGTAATGCTCTTCGAAGTTTTTCGTTTGTGAATCCCATATCACGTGCTTGTTTAATTAATTCAGAACTACCTAGTGCCGATTCTATCAAAACTTCTCTTTTTTTGTCTTCTTCTCTCGGATCCACAATTTCGGCGCCGCGAGAACGAGAGAATCCATTTCGACGTGGCGGAATCCAACTTCCGTAATTCTGGTATACCACGTGTGCTCCAGGAGGTGGAATATCGTACGAAGTTGTTGTAGACCGAGTTAAGTTTGGAAATTGTGAAGTTACGTCTGTTATAAACGCAGGTCCCTTGTGATGCAATGTAAACTCACAACTATAAAGTAAAAGTAAAAATTGACATGAATTCGTTGACATTTTGGGAATTGAAGTTGTGAAAATGTTCTTTATTAACTTACTGGGGATACCACTTGGCGTGCTCTATCCATGGATCGTCGTTATATTCCCAATCGCACAGACCTCCATTGCAGTAAAAACACTTCACTTTATCTTCTTCACCTGCAAGTTCAAATAAAAAATATTTTCCAAATACTAAATGACATTATCGATAGCCTTAGGTAAGATTTTATTAACTCTCGTCTTGGAATTTTCTTTTAAATCGTTAAAATATGATCAGGTTTAGCGTACTGTATATGCATTCATTGTTATCTATGTTTAAACATTACGGTGCACGAGGCTCAAAGATGTTGCTTACCCAAATAGAAAAAGCCTGCTTTTGCAAGTTGTTCCGGAGTTGCATGTATTCTCCGAACTTGCCAGTTTCCTCTGTCTCGAAAAGTAGACATTCTAACGTCTTCATTTCTCATATGAGGGTTTATTGGATGGTCCAGATTGAACGTCTCAAACAATTGTTCTTGATTTGTTGCTCCCGCACCCGAACTGAACTGTGGATAAATTTGAGTCAAAATGAAATCCCGTAATATTTTTATATAATGCGTGGGTAATCTGTAATGTGTTTCTTATGAAACTAACACAATAAAATTGAATAGGGAAATATATTAAATTTTAGTGACAGCGAATTTAAAATTTTCCCAGTTGCACAATTTCCCGGAAGAGTGATTGAGATTTCGACATGAATCGGAAATTCGGTTATGACCGCATGATCATTTATACTTATAGCATTGGTTATCGAACATGACGCCACAATGAAACTAAAATTCCCTCGGCTTCAAAAAATAAAAAATAACCTCGTGAGCATTCGATTCCATCGCATTCAATGTATTCGTTTGACCCGAATTCGACGAAAGTGTACGAGTAGCAGAAACCGACTGTTGCTCAGCGGTTGGCATATCTAAAATACAAGGAAGTAATTCAAATGTAAAGTTGTACCAACGGATGTTAAGCTTCCAGGAACGCAGTTGATAATAGGCTAGCATTCCAAGGACAATTTCGCAACATACTAAAAAATAGCACCAGTCATGTGCGATGAATGACCTCATAGGCTAGCTTATAATAAGATACTCAATTGCCTGCATTACGCATTTTTTGATTTATTTGCCAAACACTGATCTACGCTATATTCGCCTATTATATATATTTAATATGGTGTGATTTCAAAAACTTATCTAAAGGGGTGAATCTAAAATTATATTTTCAACGACAAATATACCGCGGTAGTACCTATTGGTCTTTGTCTATTTATTGTACAGTCTCGTTCGTGATATTTTGAATCACAGGGATTGTCGTCTTTCTCCCAGTTCCTTACACGTGATCCACATCTAAAGCAACGCGTGATATCGTCTTGTCCCGTGTAGTAAAATCCGGCTTTGGCGAGAATTTTCGGCTGTATTGGTACGTTGAGATATGAAGAAAAACTAGCTAATCTGTAGGTCGCATCATTTGGATCGCCTATAATAATATAAAGCAAAAACTTTATTAGTATTTGTTATTTCGCATTAAGCGCGAAGGTGCGAACAGTGATTATATAAAAAAAGACCTTCAAAGCAGTATTCACATTTGCATTGCAGGAACATAATTTCCAAACAAGGAAAACTACATACCTATTCTCGTTGCAGTTTGCTTGATCTTAGGAAATTCTGACATCATAAGTCCATCTGAGGACGTTTTGTACTTTGGCATAACCGTTTGCGGCATTTTCAGTTTTATTATATCTCTCTCTCGCTTTGTCGATCGATGTAACTAACATCGAGATAGCTCAGCTGTTTTTATACATGATTTTACACGTGACTATATACAGAACGTTCTTTCTTTTTCAAGAATATTCTCTCATTTTCACACAATAACAACTGCCAGTAGTATTTTGGAGAACGTTTGTCGAGCAAGGACGAATTCTTTATCAGAAAGGAAATTGAATGTTTCTGGGCAGGAACTTATACGTTGCGATTGCGTGTAGTATTTCTAATATATTTTAATTATTTATTATTGTATTTGTTATTACATATACGCATACATTATAAACCATTCAAAATGAACAAAAGACAGTTAACTAGTTACACGTATCGCATGCAAAGGTCACGTTAAAAATTGAATGCAAATATGTTTTATGCGTAGTAGGGGAGCTTAATAATATGCCAGGAGAGAAATGCGCCAAAAACAGTTGGGAACCACTGATTTGAGAAATATAATTGCTTGTTGTTCAAGATAGGTGATTCCTGTGGGCGAGGTACCGGTTACTATTCTGTTATTTTCCCATCAATAATTTTATGGTCTAGTTTCTTTGAATATGTTTATCGTGGGTTAGGTTGCAATAATTTCGATTCTATTTCCTCAACTTTCCTAGCCTAAGATAAACAGATCAGAAAATTAGATGCAGGACGACAACAGGATCCTTAATTCTTATCCTTAATGATATCTGGTTTGCGATTCAAGAGCCCTTATGCGAAGAAATTTCTCAGCTGTCATCTGAGTTTTTCGTTCGTTTTTCAGCGAAAACCGCTAGCAAACGTGGGGAGAAAAATTGTCATATTGCAATCAATTCGATATAACTGTTTATTAAATGCCTTGATGGATAGCTCGCGTCTTGTGAATTGAATTGCACTAACAGTATTTTTTTAAATAAAAAACTCCAACCATATGTTACGTTCATCTATGAATGCACTGAATCTATTGCCAAATTAGCCTAAAATAATTTTAGACGAAAAAGTAGTAGAATGAAAACCAGGTTAACGCAATCTGAGTAGAGGTGCATTCCACCTGACACAATTCTGCATTGCTACTGCATTACATCTATATAAGCTAATTTTAAAATTAGACGTAGTTCGTGTTTGGCTAAATGGTATTACCCCAGCTGCACAATGTATTATTCGTGTAACAGCACATTGGAAGCTGTGAATCTGTCAATTGTTTTTTTGTTCAATCAAAATTACACATACGCACACCTATTCTAATACATAGTCTAAACGAAAACTTTTTGTATATAATAGGCGTTAGTATGCAGATTGAATGAATCAATAGTCGCAGTATACGTCACAACAAGCGGATTTTCCGTGACGAAAATAGTAATTTTGATTCAGTAAGAAAGAGGGTGGAAGTATTCTGAAATCCCTGAACCCTATTCTCACTTCTGCACGCGTCAATGGGTTTGAGCTGCTCTTGTTCTCGAAGAGGTTCATGACGCATGCACGCACGTGAGTGGAATTGTACGTCAGATTAGTTCAAAGTCCGTTGCGATGGAATGCAATAAATTCAATAGACACGTATTAAAAATAAAAACAGCAGAAAAAATTTCCCAAACATTTTTTGGTAACTTAACAATAAAATCAAAGCTAAACGCGAAGTAGGACAAACCTAAATACATACCAGTAAAACACAAATAATCACTCAGAATCACTGCATGAATTTGTTTGGAGATCAATTCAAACAAAATCGGTTGAAAAGGCCGAAATTAACATTACTATTTGTAACTGTTTATTAAGAAATACTAAATGTAGTTGAAATGTTGCGCACTACAATAAGAGGGAGATTCCGATAAATATTCAAATATCCAAAATTCCACGGCCATCTGCGAATATAATGATGAGAGAATATATTGCCCGATTATATTCAGCTTTGATACATATTTTTTGCAATCTTGCGAATTTGTTATCGCCGTTAGAAAAATCCTACTATCTGCTTTAAATTTACAGAATGTACAACTCAATTTAGTATTTTTTAAAAATATATTTAAAGTATACTAGTAAATGAAAAATACTTATTCATCGCCTTAAAATTGTCGCTAACAACTTACTTATACTACGGTAGCACTCGAAATTTTGCGATTTGCAATATCTAAAAATGCGTCTTCAATCGGTCGCGGACCGCTTTTCAATTTAGAAAATTTGGGTTACCACCATTTACACCTACCAGAAAAAATTTCTTTCTCGTTGTTCAAACACCACTTAGGTATCTATCGACACGTGTGCCGCCTCTTGTTTTCGTCGAAAATCCGCAAGAGAGTTGTGAAAACTAATCGTTTGATTAAGCGACTCGCAAGTGACCTGTCGCGTCATGTGTTACCTACTTTTCGATAAGTAAATTGCTATTCTAATAGTTGAATATACGATTATATGCCCAGCCATACTCAGTAACCGGTAATTATTGACACGATTAATGTTATGTGAAGAAATTGGCTTTTTATGTTTTATGTAAATTCTGACGTAAATCGTAACTTGGCTGATAGTTAAGAAAGTTTCACAAATACGTTTGCGGCCCGCAGTGAATTTTTGGCTCGTTGCGCACTCAATCAAACGCTCTGCGGACTCATTTGGGACCGCGGACTCGGGTTGGGAAACACTGGTCTAATCCTTTCTCTTTCGTAGTCAATATTTGCAGATCAGTTTTTGCGTGTGTGTAAGAGTAGTTATATTTTTGATGTATTTAAAATTTATTTGCTATGGCACTGCGCTGGACTGTACTCGCATATTCTCTCGTTTACTTTCTTAGGGTCTACTGACTTTTCTAACATAAGATATGCTTTGTTTGATGCTCATTTATATTTCCTAATATGACTAAAAGCTTTGCTACGTTGTGTGATACGTTAATTTAAAAGGTCGTGGGGGGCTAATAACAACAAAAGGGTTATGCTCAAATATATGGACACGAAAAAGTAATAGCCTTCTTGTGAAAATACAATATTCAACCACTGAAAATTAATTTTTAAAGCAATTGGTCTAGTAGAGGAAAATACCATAAGAAGAAAATACCAAAGACAACAACAACATAATAACAAAACGATTCCTAGGTTCACTACGCGTCCAACAAACAGCGCTTGTAGGTTGCAATTCAAATAAAATTTCAAAAGTAATATCTCCAACTCACATTGACAAATAGCAAACGAACATCATAACTCAAATATTTTACCTTTTATTCCATGAACGTACTCAATATACTGTTAAACTTGTCGAAAATTAGTTGAAACGAAAAAGTTAGAAAGAAAAGTATGCGACCTAATCGAAGTACAGATACATTCTCCAGCGGTTATCCAGTATTATTACTGCATTAAAAATTGGAGACATGAATTTCATAAGGGTGTTCGAATATTACTTTAGGATTAGTCTAACATATATATGATATGACCCCACGTGCATACTGCATTATGAGTGAAACGGCTTTGGGAATCTGTTTTTTTACAGTCAAAACTACAAATACGTATTATATCTATCTATTATAGAACGCTTTCTGAACGAAAACTTTTTGTGCATAATATAGTCGCAGTATAGTATACGTCACATCATGCGAACTTCCCGTGACGAAACCAATACTTTTGATTCAGTCGGGAGGAGGGTGGGAATATTCTGAAAATCCCTATCCTCTCATTTGCATGCGTCACTGGGTTTTAGATTTACTTGTTCCCGCAGAACGTGATGACGCATGTGCGCAAGACTGTGGAAATGCACGCCAGGGTCAGTTCAAAGTATGTTGGAATGCAATGCAATGAATTCAATGAACACGAGCAAAAACAAACGATTAGACAAAATTCCCGAACTTTTTTTGGTAACTTAACAATAAAATCGAATCTAAACACGGAGTAGAGCAAACTTGAATACAGGCCCGAAAACACAAATGATTCATATTCTCAGAATCGGAATCGATTGGAAAGTCTAAAATGTACATTCCTATTTGTAACTGTTTATTACGAAATGCTAAATGCTAAGTTGAAATGTTGTTCACTACAAAAATATAAGAGATTTCGGTAAAACGTATAATGATTTTTGTGCTTTGGAGCTCCTAAACCGATGCGAATTTGAGGAGATAAAGCTAGACCCGCGAAAAAAGAATTTTGTTTATTTTTTTGATTAGTTAAAAATAAAGCGTTTTTCGACAAGCAAAGATATGTTTCTAATAGTTGCGTAATAATCGATTATAGGCCGACATGACTGCAGTCATGATTCGATAATCGATTTTAGCCAAACCATAATACCAAATATATGTATAATCATTGTTGCCAGTAATTTGATCTTTATAAATCGAGTAGATAAATCTTGGAGAGTCGATATTTATAACGATTAAATTCTTAAAAATGGTTTTATCACAGAAACGTGCACCAGGTACACCAGGCACCCCTCGGGGAATTAACTTTTTTCGGGACTGGATAAGCACAAATTAGTTGCGATATATCGGTAAACGTGATTTCCTGACATCGTCCGAAAGAATCAATCAACATGTTTTCAATAACTTTGTCAACACGGGGGAGTCGCACAAAAATCCCCACGATAAACAGTTGTTGACGAGTCGCTATCTGCAGACATGGAAATAATTTTAGTGAATCTTTCCCTCATTGTTGTCTACCATTTTCTCTCTCTTTCTTTGTAAACATTTGCAGATCAATTTTCTGTTTCGATTGCAAATTCCTTTGTAAATATGCGTGTCCTTGAAGGCTTAAATAATTTTTTTTTGCTTTGCGTATTTACAATTGACTTACTTACTACCTTGCGATGGACTGTACTCGCGTATTCTCTCGGTCCACGGACTTGTCTGACGTTAGGTACACTTCCTATTATGGAAGAAACAAGTTTGGTCAACATCGGCAGCTGTAGCCGGTTTAGTCTGGTCTGTTCCAAAAGTTACATTGTGGTACGGGGAATAACTAATGAGATCAACGACTAGTTACGCTTAAAAAAGATTCTGGTGTAATGATTGTTTGGTTTGGAGCTCCTTTAAAGTTCAACCAATGCAAAACCTATTTATATGAACTTATTATATTTATATATATTCCATTTTTATATTATATTTATAAAACGCAATACCTATGTACATTTTCCATTTGTTATTTAGGCGCTTTTGCCCACCAAGGATATATTTCTATTATTTGTGTAATGACCTAGTTAGCGTGTCTGCAGTCATGATTCGATCAACGATTATAGCCAACTAATACTACCTTATTCAATACGTAAAACTATTAGAGTCTAGCAAATAACATTTGAATGAGAAACGTGCAGACTGGCACACCTAATGGGGGATCAACCTCGTCGGGACTGGTTGAAAATGAATAAGTTACCACATATTGGTTAACGGGATATCTGACATCACCAGGATTGAATCAACATGTTTACAACAATTTACCAATCGACGTGGGGGAGTCACACAAGAATCACCCAATAAGACATACTGGTTGTTCACAAATCGCGCTTGCTGTGGACATTGGGAGAATTCTATTAAACCTCCCCCCATTGTATTCTACCACATTTTTCTCTCTTTCGTAGTCAGCATTTGCAGATTTATTTCCATGACTATTACAACACTTTTTATAATTATGCAGGATCAACACATTCAATGATTTATTCAAAAATGGTTGTATTCGCGTCATTTGCATTTGGCTACGATACCACGCTGGTCTGCACTCGCACTTTATCTCGTTCACCTTGCTACAGTCTGCTGACTTTAATTACGTCAGCTTTACTGAATTTGTTGCTTACAATCTCTCCTATTATGGCTGAAGCAAGTTTGGTAAACAACGGGAGCGTAACTGCAGCCGGTTCGGTGTAGTTTGATACAACAGTTACAATAAGATAACGGTAAACACTCAGTGAAATCAACATCGGCTTGTTTAGACCAGTTTATAGTATGGTACATATGACGTCAATTTAAAAAGTCGAACGATGATCCAATAACAATAAACAGGACATATACAGTGTGTTAAAAATTAAAAGCAAATCAATTACTTCTCAGAAAATATGAATGAATGAATTCCCATAACTGACTGGTCTACATTGACAACTGACAACTATAAAAAAAAAATACAATAATCTGAAAAAACAAAAATACCATTCGAAATAAACTATCTATTCTCAATCTTTATTCGTTTCAAAATAAATCTATAAACTAAATTTTTCAAATAACTATTTGAAATGTATGAAGTATTTCATTTGTGAACCCTATCAGTTCAACATTTTTCGCGGAATGTCCAATAACTGCCCATCGTGGTTTTTATCAGACAAAACACAACACAACAACACGACCGGGGGTTTTCTTCATGAATGAAATAACTTCATTTTGACACATAACACGACTGTAAAATCTGACATCAAAAATATTTGTATGCTATTTATTATTTTCTTTTCAGACGTTTTGTAGAATATTGTTCATCTGTGATGATTAAGAAGTATTTTATGATGGAAAAACTCCAACCGGGAATTATTGTAATCGGAAATGGTATAATTTAAACAAATTCACATAATATGGTATCTTGGAACTTTCAAGAATTTAATTCAAAATAATGAATTCGATTACTAATTTAAAATAGCGATTTCAATCATCATATAGTCCACATATTTATTCCATTCACGTATCGGAAGTTTATCATTACGGCGACAAATTTAGTTATGACGAATTTCCTGTTAGCGTAGTTTCCTAATTTTTGTTTCCTTATTGGCATTGCCATTTTGCCTGACTTCCTTTAAACATCGATATACGTCACTGAACAACTCTAAGTAATTTGCTTTTCTATGGTTTTCTATTCTTTTAAATGCGTTTGTAATCATTTTGGGTGATTTTTCAGAACTTATTTTTGATCAGCCACTTATGCTAACTTCTGGTAATATACAAAACATATATCCATGTATTGATGTTGTGCAGCTTCCAAAGTCAAAACCGCTGTCTATGTGGCAACTCAATAGCCCTCCATGGAGGGTGTTATTTAAATGATTGGAACAATATATCCATCCATGTTCCTATTTTGGTGAGACTGTCAAATTAATGTCCTACGGCATACGCCATGAGTCAATTAAATTCTCTATTCTAGAAACATATATTACGTGCTGGTTTAGAATTATGTAATGAGGGAAATTTGGAGGTCATTCAGATTTTTGAATTACTTTCAATTTGAATCACGCCGTCTATTCCCCATGTATGTACATTATATCACACATCCTTTTACGTAATAAATAAAGTATGGTAGTTCACATGGTCATTCTAACGTGATTGTAACGTGACACTAAATTTGATTCAAAATTTCTCTTTCAATTCATAGAGTAATGTGTTTAATGACTTCAACGTCATTTGTTCAAACTATCGGCCCTTGGGTCAATCAAATTAACTTTCGCAAATTTGAAGAGTCATTTATTTGATGCCTGATTGCTTACCGTAACTGGCATCATCGGAAATGAATCAGAAGCTGTGTAAATTATCAGTAATATTTTTTTTATTGCGCCATGCTTAGTTTGTGTCGTGTAACGAAGTATATTTAATCAATGTTTCGCGTTAAATAATTAAATAGTGTTCAACATAACAAGCATCACATGCATAACTAAATGACTAAAAGTCATGTGAAAGTATGATCAAAATTTGATAGCTCTTTAAGCCCAAACCACCTCCGAAAAACTGTAGGACATTCAATATACAGAAGAATAATATGTAATAATATTAAACCATTTGAATCATCGTCTCCATGTTCATTCAAAGTAAAACTGAAATCTGGCCCGTATCTAAGATTTCTACAAACAGTTAGTGAGGTTTTAAAATAAATCGGGAAATTGAAAAATATTTGCTTATTCGTGCACAGAGTCAATTCACAACGGTACAAGGTTACAACATTCAAAAAACTTCCCTGCTCTGTGCAAACAACAACAACTTTCCAACTCACTCTCAAAAAATAGATAGCTTATTTTTTCTATTGGTAAATACATCTTCTCGATCGAATGCCCGATTTCATTTTGATAAAAAAATAGATGATGAATTTTCATTATTTATTTTAGATAAAAAACATTCAATCAAATTGAATGTGGCAAATATTGATATTCGATGAATCAAGTTTTTTTTATGAGTTGGGACGTGAAACTTATCAGTAAAGCAAATATTACGCAGTTATCTTACAATAAACTAACTGACGTATGAAAGCAGGATAAGAAGAATTCGTAATATTGATATATACATTATTTTAATGACTGTTGTTGGCAAAACAAATGATTTTACCGATGTTAATTCACATAAAATACATTTCTAGTACATGAGAACAAATACCGCAATAGAATGAAAATTTGTCGATACGATGTGTGATGCCTGATTAATGGTGCACTGTTTCTACACTTTCTTGAAATAGTGTGGAAGAGAGACTGAATTCTCTCGAGTTATTGTTATTCACGAAAATGCAATCTTGACTGTTGATGAAAATTTATGATTAAAATAATGGTGTGAAAATATTTCGTTTGGTAATTTCCAAAAGAGTGCATTACAAGGACGTAAGCGCAGCTGAAAAGTTTGATGGAATTTCGCCCCAAACACCCGATTCTTTGCCCGGTGACAATAGAAAACAGCTAACATTGACAGAATAAACTAGTTTTAGGGAATATTTACGAAAACTGCCATATAAATTTCATATTTTTATTTTCAGCAACAATTCATTATCAGTTCAATACTACAAATATTTGGTATTTTCCCCGAATATTAGAATTCTCGATTTTAGTTGACTGTGGAAATTTTTGTGGTATGCTTTGAAAAGTAAGAAACGATAATAATAAATACCTTCTGCTTCTAGGTCACTTTCGTAGCTTCAATTTCGAGTTAGCTACTCGAGCTTGGGTTACTTCAGGGCATGTTTTGCTTTCACTAGGTTCAGTTACCGGAATACGAGTCCAATTTAAAATAATACATAATATATAAGTTCACTGTTTAAAATTTTTTATTTGTATTTTTCCAACAAAATTTCCACTAGCATATATTGGAAGAACAGGCGAAGAATTTTCAAAATTGGCGATTCTCGGAACTGCGGGAAATCACCTTTCAATTATTCATACAGTCCGGTCTCAATAGTCGGTACAAGATATGTTTCCTTGTAGTTGTGGCTCAAAATATTCAACGACTGCTTTATATTATGTTTAAAGATAAGGTTTTTCATCCATTCATAAAATTTGATCGAAAATGTATTTACATTTACATTTTACCAAGATAACACTACAAAGTCGAATGGTAATTTTTTGAATTGTAAAAAGAGACACATGTACATTTCTGGTTCAGATATAAACGTTTTTCTGATGTCACTAAATCAAAATAAACATGCTTCGAAAAATTCATATTTTTGGCGTTACTTTCAACAATTTTTTTATTACATAAGGAAGCAATTTTAGAAATGTGCGTAGAATGAAAATGAAATCAGATTTTTTATCAATAAATCAAAATCAATCAATCGCCAAGTGTAAAAAATACTTGACCCGAAAATTCTTATTCCTTTATAACATCTTGGACATAAAAATATAGATATCAGAGCATACACGCATCAATAATCAGATAAGACTGTATAATGATCACTGTCCAGGCATTACGCAATCTCAAACTTGTGCCATGCTGCGTATGAATAGACCACAATTTATTTGCTATAGTAGTCGAATGAACTTAAAAAGTGAACCTAAAAAAATATTCACCTTAAAATGTAAGCGATTAGCACTATAGCGCACCACATTTATAGCGCAATTTTTTTTTAAATATGGGAGTCCAGTTTATTTACTTTTTGAAAATATATTCAAAACTATATTTTGATTTTTTTCATATCCAATCAATTATTCCGTCACTTAACAATGAATTACATGTAAATTACATGTAAAACTCATTAAAATTATAATTTAGTCTGGCAGTGACAGTCAACTAAGTATGTACAGTAATAATTAATTAGTAAGTAATTAATAATCCTATATTTTTAGAATGTTTTTATTTTAATCCGAACATTTTATTTTAGCATTTCACACAATGATATAAAAAATCGTTCAAACAGTAGTATATAAGTATTAGAATTTAATATACAAAACAAATGGTGTAGAAGGAAATGGAAAATAACATAAATGCAGTGCGTTAAAGGGAGGCGGCTGAAAGGCAGAGATAGGAAAACAAGAAATTGCATTCGAAAGACAATATGCACACCACTATTCCAATTTATAAAAAAGATATATAGAATTGTAGAAAACAAAACAAAATTGTTATAAATATTTATATACATATTTCACAGTTACTTTAGCTGGGACTCTAGACAGGAAAAATACCAATGTATATAGTACAACTAGCAAGGCAGCATATTCAAAAAGGCTGATCTTTTATTATACCACTATCAGAAAAAAAATACAAAAAGACAGATTGTTATAAAATTAAAAAAAATAGGAATACAAGAAGCAAATTAGGAGGTAAATAAACGTTCGACGAAAACTAAATAAGTATATTTGTTAAATATGTATATTACACACACGGAATGCATTTTGGTAAAATAAAAATGTTTATAAACACATTTGACTGGCACATTAATGATGAGTTTGAAAGGCTTAATATGAAATCAGCTTAGCTAGTATTGTTGAATTAGCAGATCAATAACATGTGACCATATCTTTCCTACACTTGAAATGCAATTAAGAACTAACAAGCTCGACCATGCTTGTACCGGATAAAAAATGATTATTCAGAGGAAGCATTACAACATATTTCCATTTATGTGCGTAATATTACTGATGACTCAAAAGTTTACGTCATTCTCTGATTATAACTATTCGGTTGTCAACAAACTCGAACAACCTCCACGAACTCGTGGAATTTGTTTGTCAATCCAGATTTGCTGGGTTAAGCAAGAGATTACGTAACTATTTACATTTGAACAATTCAGCAAGATGATTCCAAATTTACTATTTTTTTTCATTTTTAAAATATTTTTTGCTACTTTTTTTAACAGTTCAATCACAGTTTTTAATACACAATGTCTCGCACTATTTATTTTGAAAAATAAATACATCTTGTTTATTTATTTTAGATTTTACGAATGAAAAACAAACTATTTTTAATTTTTTTTTTTACTTTTTTTTTTTTACTTCTTTGCTACAATACTGCAATATGGATTTTATAGAAAAAAAAAAGAGGATAAAAAGTCAGATACACTTTGCCGCTTAGAAATGAAAAAAAAACAGAAATATTAGAAAAGAAAAAACATAAATACTATCAAATAAATATATGAAGCTTTAAGCTTAATTTAACAATTTTGAATAATGATCTTACAAGTTTTCCATACAGACGTAATAATTATTCGATCAAATTCCTTGCCAACTACATGCTCAACGTATTTCAAGAATCAATCGAATAAAGGTTTCTTACGCTCTGAAGGTTTTGATTGTATCTTGTATAGTTCTGGCACATAAGGGACATTTCCTCAAGTCTGTAATACATTGGTCACAAGAAGCAAGATGACCGCACGGAATAAAAACAATGTTGGACGGTCGACTCCGACACACTTTGCAATTTCGATCAAGTTCAAGTCTTCGAAGTTCAGAAACTGTGTTACTGGATCCCTGGTTTTCCTCAGAAGGCGGAGAATGACTTCTGCTGCTACTAGTTCGTCGTACGGTGGTTGATGTTTGTGGAAGAGTGTTTGGTTGTGAAACTTGTGTTTGATTCCTATTATCAAGAGTGGATCCAAAAAGCGCTTCCATAAACTCTTCGCCGGTATTGTAAAATTGACCATTCGTTTCGTATTTTCTGAAGGAATAGAGATTTGATTTCAACACGTAAAATTTATACATCAATATAAATATGAAAAGTAAAAATTAAAACAAAGAGATATTGAATACATGTCCATGTTATATATTAATTTATCTAATGTACATATCGATTACACACTTTTGAGGGCAAATAAGCAAAAACAAAAATCCAAGAAAAACTAAAAATACCAGAGATTTTTTATTGATTATGAAAAAAAAATAATTGTTTTATATTGTAGGCATTATATTTGAGATTTATAAAAGAGAAATCTAAAAAAATTATATTTGAGATTTATAAAAGAGAAATCTAAAAAAATTACCTTTTTAGGACAGTCTTAATTGCTTCAACGTCAAATCCCATTTCTCTTGCTTGTTTAACGTATTCCAGTCCTAAAAATCCTTGCTCGACCGCTTCCGATGTACTCAAAACTGGGGGTAGGTTTTCTACTGCTGGGGGAGATGGGGTTCTAGACTGTATCGAAGGCTGTGGTTGGGGCAAGGGTGATGGGGGAATATCCATAGGCAAGGGTGGTGTAGGGGGTTGTCCGGCAACAGCAGCCCTTGGCATTGTTCTAATTATCGGAGCTGGGCGATCAATGTCAGGAAATTCAGCAACGATGTTTTCTACAAATGTTGGTCCTTTAATTCGTAAAACATATTCACAGCTGCAAAAAAAAATAAAAGTGATGTTGATTTAGAGATCTTCAGAAAATCACCAAAAAATATCTGAATTGAAATTATATTTGCTATTTAACCAGAAGGAAAATAATAAATGTCATTTACCTTGGAAACCATTTCGCATGTTCAACAATTGGCGAATCTTCGTATTCCCAATTTTGTAATCCACCGTTACAATACCAGCACTTTACTCGATCTCTTTCCCCTAAAATGAGAAATATCTTACATTTTTATTTTAAAATTTATTTATTGTCAAAATCACATATAAATCAAAGTAGTCGCGCTTCAATATAATCGAAACATGAACTGTTCGTAACTGGCCAAATTACCATGTTCTTTGAACAAAAGCGAGTATTCACTGTAGAATTCCATGAAAAATCCTGTATTTACAACAACAAGTCGGAAGCATTATACCTGATTGACGATAGTGAAACTCAATAGGTAATACGCAGTATTACTTTATTGACATAAGCTAGTAGGAAGCGGAACCGGTGTAAAACCAAACAGCGCGGAAAACACTGGTAAAACCACCAATACGATTTCAAGGAAATTGGATTTCCCTCTATAAGGAAATCCTGAATTTACCGAAAGTGAAATTCATGACTTAAACGAAAAAGCAATTTCCATTTCAAGTTCCTGCAAACTTTTTGTATGAAAATCATTGGTATATATTTACTATATCGCATCCATTGTTCTATTCCTGGACAGAGTTAAATATATAACAGATTCCGATGCCAAAAGTTTCATAACATTTTTGGGGAAAGCACACATATTGACTTTATACTCTATCAAACAATGGGCAGCTGAACACGAATAAAAAACAGTCATGTATAGGCAGGCAACCAGAAGTATAAATATCATTGAATATTTTGTGTGTAGAATTTTTTTTTCTTCATGTGGATGTAACCGGTATTTTTAACTCTCCGTGAACGTAAAATTCACCATATCTAACGTCAAATATTATAAACTCTGTGTTGCACTAAATTGATCAAACGAAAAAAAAAACTTACCCAAATAAAAAAATCCCGCATTCACAAGTTCATCGATGGTTGCTCTTAATTTGTCACTTGGCCATCGACAACCGGGACGAGGTTTAAAAGATTCCAAACGGTTAATAACGGATTCCATATGTGGGTTAACCGGCGCCCTACAAGGGTAAAGTTCGTTTCGTGTTTCTTGTGTTGCATTGGCAGGAATAGATGAAGTTTCTTGAGCAACTGGTAGTCTTGCTTGTACGTAATTTGTGGCATTAGGTGGCGAAGAGGGCAATGAAGTTCGTTGTGAGGTAATCAATGATGGTAAAGGTGACAAGCTGGTTGCGTGTGCAGTATGAGATATGTCATTTGCATTAGTAGGTGTGTGTGTAGTTTCTGCGGGTTCATTTTGTTCTATTTGTGATATATTCAGTGCGTTACGTGCGTTGTTGAACAGGCTTGACCTCGTGGATTCATTGTAATTAGGGCTTCTATTTCTGGGTGGAGACCGCTTCAAAAAATTTGTAAAAGCACCTGTAAACGTGAGAATATGCGCGTATTATATGCTGGGTAATGATAACGAAACCAGATTAGTAACAATAATGACAAGTTGGATTGCGTTGCACAAACTATAACCTTTGAATAGACATAGACTCTAATTAGAAATAAAAAACATAACCTTAATTATAAGACCTTCCGAGTTACAAACCCATATATCACGTGATTAGTTCGTATTAATTTATATTATTAAGTTAGGACTCAATTATCAGACTATTCGAACACTGATCAACTGTTGATTCTTTGTTATTGCTAGCTAATGTATAAGAGTACACGGACTTTTCGGACTTCGGATACTAGTTTAAACCAACAACAAAAAACAAAACGAATAAACAAACACTTACCTAACAAAGGCTGGTTGTTTGTTGGTATTCCGTTAGCAAAGTCGCAATCTGTTTTGTGCCATTTTTTATCTTGTGGATCGTCGCCTATTGACCAGTTTTCGACACAAAGTCCACAACTGGAATAAAGAATGAAATATATTAATACCGTTTAATTTGGGCTGCCTTTCAATCGACTGTCGATGTTTAAGAATAGAACGCACGATCCGGGTTTTGTAAAAGTTAAAAGTAAATTTATACTTAGGCAAAAGTCAAAGTTGTGGGGTCATATGATATGACGTTGCATTTTTAGTCAAGTGAAATAAATTTCGTCACGTGTCGTAATTACGTAATTCAATAAGTTTGAAAAGCGCAATGTTTAATCAAACAAAATAACTTAAGATGAATATTTGGACATAAACCTACTATTGAGACCCCATGACTTGAAATCAGGAAGGGGTATTATGGGACATATGACGAAGCATAAATCACGTGCCTCGACACGTGCAAATTAAAACGTAAACAAATTATATTTTGCTAGATTTCAATTTTAATACTTCTTAGTCAGCATAAATAGCAAATTTGTCTTCATATTATGCACATATTTACGTAATAGCTGAACAAACCAAAATATTTTAAACATTGATAATCACACACTACGAGAAAATTCTGGTAATTGGTGAAATAATGATTTTGTATCGCAATTATGTCTATATCAGGCAACGACCAATACCGACGGGATTGTTGTAATTAGGTGTAATCAGGAAACGTGCAATACGGCGAGCGGTACAGTACAACAACGATCATTATACAAATGTAATGCAAAGCTTACAAACCTAAAGCATTTAACTCTGTCAACAAATCCAGTGTAGTAAAATCCTGAAGCTGCCAGTCGCGTTGGACTGACAGGATAGTGTTCCGGAAATCTTGAAAACGTTGATACTCTATAATTTTCCTTCCATTGGTCACCTGTACAACCAGTGATGAGATGAACATTAAATCTCATATATATTGCACATATATTAATGTATACTTCGTTATGTACTTACCCGGAGTTATATAGAAACTCGATTGTCCTGGAGGGTCTCTGTGTCCAGCGTAGGTCCGACCGTCTACGTCGGTATTGCTAATACTATATACAACCATATATACTTTAGTTTCTGTCTATTCGCTGCTTTACTTCAATCTGTTTATCGTAATAATCTCAAAAGCAGTTCTTCAACAGACAGATCGTTATTTTAGTACGAGAAAAGGATCTGAATCATTTGACGCGTATGAAACGTTCGGAGCTATGCGTCGCGTTTATATTCTCTCGTTCGGGAAAAAAGAACAGACTAGACACGACTGTACTTAACTGGTTTATATAAGATTTACAGCCAATTGTTTAGGAGAAAGTGATACAAGAGAGAGCGTTACGTTACGTTCTTTATTCTTCACAGAAAATGTTTGTTTGACTTATTACTTTCACTAGTGTAGCACATTTCGCGTCTTCGTTAGAATTCTATTACAAAAAATCTTGAGTTTTTACGTTTCTAAGAAAATCAACTATGTACGTTGAAAAGTCGCGTATTTGAACAACGATATACAAGAGTCAGAGTTGTTTTGTACGATTTGTAATTTACAGGAAATCTGGACTGATCTCTAACTGGACTCGACTTCACCGCTTGTGACTAAACGCCAAACGCACAGTTGAACAGTATTCCAGGGTTCTTTTTCCGAGTGGAGCTTTAGACTGCCCATAGATTCACTGCCGGTGTTACAAAACTGTCCATTCGTTTCGAATTTTTTAAAATTCAAACCTATGATATATTGATAAATAATCAGTGCAAGTCTGCCAAGAGTACTATTGTACTAAACTACTTTTTATACACATTTTGACAACTTGATAACTAATCAACAAATAAATATATGCATATAATAAATATATATATATATATATACTGTATGTTCCCAAGTAACAAAAGCAACATCGGATTGAGCCATTGAAATAAATAGTTTGCAATAGTTATCTCTGGTAATATTAAAACTTGAAACCTTAATCTTATGAGGTGACCAGACAGGCAGTTTAGGGTACTCGGTTATTGGACGCGGAGTACAACCATAGAACGTTTTGTTATTAAGATGTTCTTGTTGAACACCTATGGATCGTTTTGTGTTATTATGTTGCTGTTGTACTTGTTCTTTAACATAAAATGTTATCGTTATGAAAAAGTTGATTACTGGACGAATTGCTTCGGAATTTCAAGTAGTCAAAAGATGGAAATTTTTCTCTATAAGGCTGTTACTCTTATTTATTTCAAATGTTTCTCTATTGGATTCGTTTTATGTGTGCTATGGCGTCACCAAAATTTGCCACCTTGTGGCGGCTCCTCGAACGCATATCAGCCAATACATGCTTAATAGAGCTGGGAATGGTTAACCGGTTAACCGATTTTAGATGGTTAACGGTCAAGATTTATTTTAACCGTTAACTTACATCTCAGGTAAAATCATCTTTATAATGTACAATTCATTCAAAAATAAAATGATTACGTCATCGCAAATTTATTTCCTGTGGCGTTTAATCCAAAAGAATATCATTAAGTGTATGGGTAAAAACCCAATAAATGTGAAAAAAAAATTGAAGTACCAATATAGCTGATTATGAAAATCAATATATTGCGGCGCACTTATCAACTCGGCGTTGCTATATGGGATTATTGCGATGATGTGGTGCTATACACGATTATATAACGACCCATATATTGCCCACTGTTTACACAGAATTTAAAACGTATTATAATTCTTGATACTCAGGATGAATTGGCAAAATGTTTCATTGCCCTGTTCAAACTGGTTGATAAAAATAAAAGGAAGTTATGCTGATTGAAAAAATATATTTTCAACATTTTCATGTTCTTTTCTGAATTTAGTTTTCAATTTGAATTTGATTATAAATATTTATCTCAGTTAAGACTAATATCAAGAATTTTGAGAAGTTTGATGGTAGGTTGTGCATATATCCGTTATTTTTTTAAAATTTACACATCTATGTTTTATTGTCATACAAATCATTTAAGAAGTTGATTGTAACGCAATTTTCAATCCGACGCATGATATATTCACTACTTGAAGTTCAATTCGCAAATATAAAAAGACACCTCCGTTAAGTAAACACTGAAAACGACTAGGTATATATATAAATTCAAAAATCAAAAAGTTAAAACTAACAAATGTTACATTGCGAAAAAACACTTCACATGTTAATTGTCTAATTTGCTTCTCCAGTGAGTGGCACATACAGACATACCATTTTGTTACAATTTGTATACCCGGATTACCGTGGAAGTAAGACGTGTATGACATTGTAAGGTATGACTTGTTGCGATGTTCGAAAGATATAAAATGATGTCGTATTCTATATACGGTATATTACTACATCATCCACATATATGTATGGGCGAATATGAAGCTAACGAAATCCGTCGCCATGTTACGATGCAAACAATGTCTCAATAGCAAACTGACAATACGGAGAGAATGACGCGTCGTATCACCTGGTGTGACGCCTAAACCGCACACATGTTTAAATTGTTTGCTTTTAAAGGCATCTAAACGTGTTTCATAATATGAACATAAACGTGGATAAGTTCACGAATGGTGATCATTTGCTCACCAAATAGACAGGCAGCTAGTTGAAACTTTTTCAGTTGCATCAGTTGTTTCATGTATTATTTTTTTTTGACCTTTCGTACTGTCGGATGCCCGTTCGCTTATATTCATCTGTGTAGTCTACATTCAGACATCAGTACATTGTCCAAGTAAACTGGGAAGAAACTCAACAGTACAATATCAATACTGAAAACATATGCATAACTTCATAGTTAAACATGAAAAACATTTAACAATTCATATTTGATTGATTTATCTGTGTTCCGAGTCTAACTTAGCTGACGATCTGTTTAGAATTTTATGTTAAAGTAATTGAATATTGATTTCATACTCAAACTACGATAAGGAATCGTAATTCAAGATTTTGAAGTTTTCAGAATAAAGTATTCCAAGTGAGTATAGAATATTATTTAAACAGTTTGCTAGGCTTCAATGGAATTTGAGTATAGTACGTTTAGTAGAGTTTAATGTAGAAACAAGAAAAAGCTTCAAATCAGTAAAATGTTAAACTTGTGAAGACTGAAAACATGGATAATACGGTATTTAAGATGGATTCATATAAAATTTGCCTATGCAGTCGTGGGCGTAATGGTTTGTTTCATAAAACATCAAAATTATATGCTTTTATCAGTTCAGGTGTTGCCTTCGCCATCCCATCGAAATTAGCCGTATTCGCTATATCCTCATTATTGAAATTTCAAATATATATTTACAGCTTATAAGTTCAGAAGCTGCCTGTCGCTTATTTCATGGTCGATCGAAAATTACTAAAGCTTTTTTATAGTGGTTTTAGCTTTGTATAATTTGGCCTGAATAAATCTATAAGCAGGTTCCGGCGTAACAGTGATCACTTAAGAAACATTCTTTGAACAAACTCTCACGAAATAAACAAATATCTAATGTGTGTATATGTTTCATGGCGATGTTTAATCGTTAAAGAAGACCGCAACAAACTCTCGATCAATGGAGGGTGTTATGAGCTGAGGTTTCGGCAACGTTGACAATGGTCTCACCACGCCACCTTGTGGTTGACATGTGGCTATTGCTGGTACTTTCATAATGCGACTCTCGTGATTGGACAGGAAGTGGACTTTTGCTGAACTGTTGTTTGATCTTGCTGTTGGGGTTATTGTTTTTGTTTGGAAAAAATTGCCTCCCTCTAGTGAATCGGTTTTAATTTTCAAGGCTCAAAGATGGAAGAAGTTGCTAAGAGCCCATTACTTTTTCCCATTTCCCATTCATGAGACCTAATATTTCACCTAAATTTCTTGTTAATCCTAATTGAAGCGGGTACACTCATTCTGCCATGCTTTCACTCCACCGCCACGATTGTCCGCTGATCTTTTTAATCAAATCGTTGCTTATAAGCCTTACTCGCACGTACCTATGCGACTTTCGTGGTTATATACCGTATTTGAGCATTTTCTAATTTCACAAAATTATTGTTACATACATACGATTTTGAATATATATGCACATTGGTGTCTATAATACGTACTGGCCCCATCAATAATTCCATTGGTATATAATCATATCACAATATAATCATATGCTCATCATAACTTCTACAGATGTAAATCAACACAAAAAAGATAAATGGATCGTAGCGAAAAAGTGCGAAAGAACTGGAATTCGAACTCGATTTGAATATTTAAATTTATCTGATATTAATAATCACCACACAGCACAAGTTCAATCTCCTGGTCACATTTCCAATATGTCGCCCTTTTCGACGTTCGCAGTGATAGAGCACGTGGGCTTAAGATACAGACAAGTACGTTTCAAATCAGGTGCAAATATTCTTGGGATATTGCGTAACATACATGATTTCCAGGCAGCTGCAACTTAAGCTACCAGTTAGTCAACTAACTAACACATTTACAATGTACTGATTATTCTGTAGCTTTCAGTGTTAGAGGGTGTAAGGTTGTAGGCAGTGTTCGCTCTAATAACATATTACATTGCGCATGTGTTTTTTTAATGAGCATGAACATTTTAAGCTTGAGCAGAGTCCTAAATCAGGGGTCGGCAACCTTTTGTCGCTCGCGGGTTAAATCTAAGGGTTGCAAGTCATTGGCGGGCCGCACATCTTTTTAGAAAGTTGAAAACCGAACGGATGATACTTTTTATAATAAAAATCAAGCAGCCATACATCTCTCGAATAGAATATAGATTTATTAACTCCTTGCATTTCAAAAAATTCCACTTGAATATTTTCAGCGCCATTAAACCCTTTGCACTTAGCATCCACTTTTTTGCGTTTTGTTGCCATTTGTCTAATTATAATTAAATTATAGTCTCATTAAACGAGTAATTGTGAATTATATATATACTTGTTAGGTTATAATATAATTTAGTTTGAAAAATATAATTGTCAAAACGACTGTTTTGTTACTATAATTCAGTGAAGCTTCACGGGCCGGATTATAATATATACTTCGCGGGACGGATGCAGCAAGTCAAAAATATGTGAGAGCCGCATAATTCTTGAAATTATTAATATTGGAAAACCGTGAACAGAAAAGAATTTTACAAACACGTCTGATTACAATAAATAATATTTAAAGTATATTGGCAGGACATATTATAAGTAGTTGACCTGTGTGTTTCCATCCTATCTGTAAGTTTTTGAAAGTCTGGACAATACGTAGTCAATGCAGTGCGGGACATAACGCACTGTAACTGGGACTAATTACAATCAAGCTGCAATAATACCAACGCAACAACAAACATTCCACCATTGTGAAGTAAGGTTTGTTGCTCGACTGATTTAAATTTAAAATTCCACGCTACAACGATTTTCATACTAAAACACAATTTGTATTAATCATTGATGAAAACTTCTTCAATCGCTTAATAAATTATAAAACTGTTACACTATAGTTTCTCTTATTTAAATTTGGATGATAATGTTAGCGAGAAGAGCCGCATAAAAACTCTCGCGAGCCGCATGAGGCCCGCGAGCCGCGGTCCGCCCATCGTTGGCCTAGATCAGCGTTTCCCAACCTTTTTTGGTCGCGGACTATTTTCTCCACGACGGAAGTCTTTGCGGACTCAAGTCGCGTTATTGTGTAACTGAACTTTGTGTGAAGAAGCAATAAAACCAAAAACAACAGAATTTTAACGAAGTCCGTTTATTAACCACCTTTACAAATTTGAATGGGAACCTTGTCCTTTAACTTGCACCACTAGTTTGTCGGAATCAGGGTCTATATTCGTCAATGCACATCAAATGTCATCTTCTGGTTGCAGTTGATTGCGACTCATTTAAGACCGCGGACTCGGGTTGGAAAACACTGTCCTAGATGAAACCCAAATGTCACGCCCCCAAAAAATATTCTTCTTATGTTGATTACCTTTATTAAATAAAAAAATATACAACAAGAGTGTAATAATAACAAACAGATATAATTGCTGTGATACGTACATATGGCTGGAATAGAGTCGTTACTAGTTCTTAAAATTCAAACACAATCTCATTTTAAATTAACAATTGAGGTTAGCAAAATCCACCTGCTGTGTAACTGCCCCCCCAACCAGGAAACACATTCTGACGCCAAGTAACAGAGCCAATTAACGCCAATTCCAGGGCATAAATAACATGTGTTAGTGTGTTTTCGTTCAATTTTAAATTGTTATTATTGGACACGTCAGTGTACATAACGATCGTTTCAATATTATATTGTTGTTCTTGTTCATATTCTTCTTCTTCGTCATGATAAAATCGCTTTTCTCTTCGAATACTGGACCAATTGCTTTGAAATTTCAGTGGTTCAGCCAGAAGACTATTACTTTTACCTATTTCAAAAATTTCTGTGGACTTCAAGAGATTCGTTTTTTATGTGTCATCATGCGACGCCTTGTGACGTGTATGTTGGCAATCCTCTTCATGTTCTTTTGATCACGTGCCATCGAACGTCGGTGGTTCGTAACGAAATCCTTGCTTTGCTAAGATTTGAGGAATGGTGAATGGCGAATAGTGGTACTTGGTGTTATATTACAGTAGTGACTCGGATCGTTGGTGCTACTACAGTTGTGAGTCAGACCATCTTGCAATTTCAATTCACGCTGTCGCAAGACAGAAACTTCTAAAGATAGAGCAGTTCCGGTACCGTAACACAGAGCGGTGACGGTGACACTGAAATAACTCGAAACTGTCTGGTAAAAGCGGGGCTTGCATTCACTGTTATAACTGGTGTCTTTAAATGTCGATAAACGTGTCCATATATTTGAGCATAGCTCTCTTGTTTTCAAGTAGAACCAAGCCATTTTATCTAAAATTGCTTCGAATTGATGTTGATTCGATTCGCTTCGATTCCAAATTTACATCCCTAGGCACGGGTCATCCGGCTCTTGCGTCGAGTCCGAAGTCGATTCAATGACGGATTCAAATGTCACTGCCATATAAGTTGAAAACCAGTCTGATCCATTTTATTCAACCGTCCAGTTATATTGAATGTTTGATAAATGGCGCCCCTAGTCCAACTCGAGTCGAAACAATCCTAAGTGCCTCCCCAACATTGAATGCCCATTTATAAAAGCGTAATGGATCCACATCGAATGGGTGTATATACTTTGTTATTATACGCTTACCAAGAGTTATATAGAAGCTTGTTTGTCCTGGAGGGTCTTTGTGTCCAGCGTAGGTCTTACCGTCCACGTCGGTAATAATATACATGACCATAATTACTTTATTTTCTGTCGATTTGCTACTTATTCAACTTTTTTTTTTTGCGATATTTATAATCTTGCAAAAGTAGTTCCTCTACAGATATCTTGTTAGTTATTACCGAGCGACGGATCTGAATTTTTATAATAGAAATAGGACGACTACTTTAATCCAATGCCATTTGTTCGTTGTTTTACAGCATTTTTATGGCCATGCATAAGGTCAAGAACGAAAGTTTCAATATTCTGTGTAAATTTGCTTAGATCAAATTTGGAAATAGCACGAATAATAGGATCACTGTTTTCATATCTCATTTGCGTGCATTTGAATTTGTTGCTTTAACCTTCTTTGGCGATGTCTAGTTTAGGTTGTTTTGGCGATTACACAATAGGTATAAGTGGAAACAATTGTTTTTGATTGGTATCATTAAACGCAATAATTTCACTGGAGATATTTCACCAAAGATGATCCCGCAAAACGAAGAACTGGAACCTTTTAGCGTTTCATACTTGATAAGAAGCAAATCAAGATCAGGCGTATATTCAGGCGTGTTGGCCACTCCTTTTATATATGAAAAGTTGATCATATCTATATTTTAAATTTCAGATTACAATTTGTATTCATCTTACGTAGTTAAGCCAGCCAAACAGAACAGACACGATGTAAGTTTTTGGCACCGTATGGTTGTACTTATACCAACTTTCCAATAGTAAGCAGTGGTACTGGAAGACAACGCCCTCCTCCCTAGACAGATTGCCACACCGTACAATGTACATAACTGTATGACCTGCGGACTGCCCTTTTAATTTAACAGTCCAATCCGTACCACGGTTTGTTTGAGATGGGTAGTTGTGCACGAAGGTATTGAAAACCGGATATCGTATCTTATTTAATCAGCATAGTTTGTAGCGTGACTTAAAACTTAGAGATATTACTGACACATAGATATACCCGATCTAGTAGTACACGACTGGTGCAACATAATATGCAAATCATATTTTGCCCCTTTTTTACTTCACTTCTTAATCAGCATAAATGGGCAAAATTGTCTCCATATTATGCGCAAAATTACGTAATAGCTGAACAAACCAAAATATTTTAAACAGTGAAAATCACACACTACGAGAAAATTCTGGTGATTGTTGAAATGATGATTTTGTATCGCAATTACGCGTAATCAGGAAACGACCATTACCGGGATTGTAGCAATTATGTGTAATCAAGAAACGTGCAATACAGCGAGCGGTACAGTACAACAACGATCATTATTCAAATGTACTGAAAAGCTTACAAACTTAAAGCATTTAACTCTGTCAACAAATCCAGTGTAGTAAAATCCAGAAGATGCCAGTCGTGTTGGGCTGACAGGATAGTGTTCCGGAAATCTTGAAAACGTTGAAACTCTGTAATTTTCTTTCCATTGATCACCTGTATAATAACAATGAAAGATGCCAGCGATGACATGAACAAAATCTGATATACTGGATATTGCACATATATTAATGTATACTTCGATATGCACTTACCCGGAGTTATATAGAAACTCGATTGTCCTGGAGGGTCTCTGTGTCCAGCGTAGGTCCGACCGTCCACGTCGGTAATGTTAACACTATACACAACCATAAATACTTTGCTTTCTGTCTATTCGCTACTTCCCTTCAATCTGTAGTTTATCGTGTAATAATAATATTGCAAGAGTAGTTCTTAACAGACAAGTCGTTAGTTATTGCCTTGCGCGAGATTCGAATTATTTGGTATGTATGAGACGCATCACGCTATCTACGCGTTCATATACTTTTCTCGCGTTTAGGGAGAAATCCCGGGAACATACCAAAAGAACGCACCGTGCATTATCCAGAAAAGCTATATATAAAAGCTTTAATTGAAGACTCAAAGTCGAAATAGATTTTGTCGTGTCAACCTTTGCGCGTATATTGTAGATTGTAACCGTATTAGTGGTAGCATAAAAATCATATAACGGAGTTGACGAAATATGAGAGATGGCGAAATAGGGATGGCAAACTACGGTCGGTGTATGTCAAAATAGGGATGACGAAATGCGGTCGCTGCATGTCACCCGCATTTCGCAATCCTCATTTTCACTCATCGACCGCATATCGCCATCCCTATTTTGACATCCCCCATCTGACTTTTATGCTACGCCTTTTAAATTCGAGTTCCGACTTTTCAGAATCGGAAGTTTAGCGGAATAAGGTTTTGAAAGCCAATCAACAATCACACAATGCTTCCACAACCAAGTGTATGCTAATTCTAAAAACGTGTTTGAATTTGAATTCCATCTATCCCGTGTATAACAGTATGTAATATTATGTTGTAAAACTCCATCTGTCGCGATATTGGTTTTCTTAATGAGAAAATTATAATCAAGGTAATCAGGTTGTCATTGAGGAGGTACCTATCGTCTTTCTATAATATGTTTAACTTACTACTTTTACGAATGCGGTACATTGCGTATTTTTTTACAAACATCTTGAGTATTTAAGTTTATAAAGACAACAACGCACGTTTGAAGTTAGATCCCGTGTTACCATTGCTTTTCACTGTCATTTTCATCTTCTGAATAAAAAGGACGGTGGATAAAAATTTTGTGGCTCCGGCCAAAGATAGAAGATTTCAGATTTCAACGAGACATTTTGAATCGAAATCAAACGAGATATGTCTTTGTAGTAGTTCGCCATCTACACTCTATGACGTCACAACCATCTTTCAATGTGCATTGCGTGTTTATAATAACACCATGGTTCGTTTAGAATACCATAAAGTCCCTTCCTTCTACGTAAACACTATTTCCTTGTGTAAATATAAACAGTGACACATCTGCAGGTTGTGGGATATAACTTAGATACATTTTCTCTGCACATAGCAAAGATTTTTTCATACTAAAACCCATTGTATGAATTCAAAGCGTGTATATAAACTTCAGAATCACTGCTTTCTTTTCTTTCATCACGTGGTCGAATGTAGAGCTTACCAATTATTACGAAATCAAACCTGTTATGGGCATAAGTAATAATCGCCAACGCACTGTAATCAGGCCTGGTCAACACACAGAAAAAATTCTCAATAATCTCAATAATAAATTTTGTAAAGCCGACGGCTTAGGGCTGCAACAACAATTTAGAAGCATGCGATTAGCACTTTAGGATCAGTTATGACTCTGGGGTAAGGGGGGGTCCTCTATATTTCACCGTTAGGAGGGAAAAAGGTTAATGAGAAAACTATAATCAAAGTAATCAGGTTGTCATTAAGGAGGTACCTATCATCTTTCTATAATATGTTTAACTTTCTACTTTTACGAATGCGGAACATTGCGTATTTTATTACAAACATCTTGCATTGCTTTTCACTGTCATTTTTATCTTCTGAATTAAAATGACCGTGGATAAAAATTTTGCGGCTCCAGCCACAGATAGAAGCAAATTTCGACTCACTGATGTACGCAAATTCAAAAGCTAATTTGAACTTGGGAATGGTATTTTCATAAATGAATTCACCTATCGCATTTAAAACAATATAATGCATTATTGAGATGTTGTGTTACGTGTTTCTTCTTTGAGGGCCACGGGAATATTTCTAAAAATAGAGTGGCAAAAAGTTCGTAAAGCCTCATTGGAGTATAATAAGACTTGTTTTGACAGTATTAATAAGAGGCCTGTTTCCCGGACGTTATCTCTTTTTGAATGCATTGGAGGTTAGCTTTACATTACGTGATCTATTTCAGGAAATGATATTGGTAAAATTTGAGTCCAAGAGATGTTCTGGTATTTTCGAAGCTATGTATTATTTATTAAATATCAAATTATGTAGTTATGCGATGGTGTGAAGCAATCCACGATTATAAAACAAGTGTCACTGTTCACACAATATATTAAAACGCATTAAATTTCGTGACATCAAAATAACCTGGAAAACAATTTCATCGGCTAATTGTAATTTAATCGTGTGCTTGTGCAAAATTGTAATTGGTTGAGAAAAATTAAATAAAACTCTTTTTTTTGATCGATGAAATATATTTTCAGCAACATTTCTTTCTTTCTGAATTCAATTTCCATGGTCAATTTAGCTATAGAAATTTATACCTGCATCGTGCATAGGAATATCTGCCATATTAAGTAAATTAAAGGATAAAAACGAGGTTGATAGGAACCATGACAGAAATCATTACTGTAAGAAATATTAGAGGTATTCATGGGCTGATAAAACTGTTTATTTCCTTTCTACATGAACAACTTTTGAAGTAAAAATAATACTAACTGCCGTACAGTCCATATATAAGATTCAAACCAATGTCAATATTAAAATCAAGTAGGTATATATATATAAAACAGATATTTTTTATTATTCCTATACCAATCAATTGTAGAGCTGATAGTGACACAAGTTCTTATACAACGCAAGATAACAGCATTCAATACTTAGCGACCATTTTGGAATGTTAAAACGTAAAATATTCTGCAATGATCAAATTTACTTCCGATAACAAACATTGAGGTTGAAAGGAACTAATACTTAAAAAAAAACCGGATCAATTTCTAATCACTTCTACGAAAATAAAGACAATTTATTTAATTTTGTTCTCACTTGAACTCTCGTTTTATATGACTTTACCAAAAAGTTCCAATATTCTAGGACGCTTTGTATAATTGAAATTTATAATTTAATATATTTAAAACTAGCAAAAGTTTATGTTGTCTCTATACCTACCTAACCTTATACATGCAAACTTTACAGCCGCTGTGGCTAGTTTCTTCTACAGAAAAGTGTACAGGTAATCAGACCTGGGACGATGACTACCTATTTCAATTACAATCTGTATATGCAGTTTTGTGATGATACTTTCAATAAATAAGACATGTATAACAATGTAAGGTATGAGTTGTTGCGACATGTCGAATAGATAAAGTGATATCATTTTTATATACGGTATATAAATATGTATATATGAGCATTTATAAACACAAAGCTTAAGAAATCCACCGACATATTATTTCGCCAAACAAAAGAACTACAAGCAGACAATGTCTCAATAGTAAACATGAGAAGTCCATGAATGACGTGTAGTCATCACCTGATTTGATGTCGAAGTTGATATCTATATCAAATGTTTCCTATTTAAGGTATCAAAAGGCGTTACATAATATGAACATAACCACCACATGACCCATCGAAAATAGCGGTATCAGTTATATCCGAAGTGTTGATATTTTAAAATATATAATATAATGTTTACGGCGTATAAGGTTATTAGCTCTCTGTCGCTGATTTTATGACTAATTAAAAATTACTTTATCAGAGTTATGGTGGTTACACACGATTGAACAAATTATATTTTTGTACAGTATGTCAGACCTTCTTTCAGTCTCGGTTCGCAAACACGCCCTGAACAAATATTTATTAATGTGTATATAAATGTTACATAGTGACGTGCATGTGAAACCTCAATATTACTCGACCAATGAAAGGTAATATGAGCCGAAGTTAGGCAAAGTTTACAACGGTATCACCGCGCCACCTTGTGGTTGATATGTGGACTTTATCGGCACTTTCATATTGCGACCCCAAACTCGTGACTGGGCAGAAGTTGATCTATGGATCGATTTACTCGATTGTTGTTTAAACTTGCTGTTGGGGTTTTTGTTTTTGTAATTTGAGTAAAATTCTCCTCATCTTATGAATCGGTTTTGAATTTTCAATATCTAAATACGGAAGAAGTTGCTCATGGGCACTCATGGGCACCTCCCTTCCGCTGTGACAGCTATCACAAAAAGAAATAGATAAAATAATTTAGAACTTTTGACCACTTGTGAAATTGTATTTTCGGTTATATGGTGATGATTTCCACTTCAGTATCCTGAGATGACTGCTCACACGTAAGGGTATTATCGAATGGCAGACCCAAAATGTACATTCGACTAAATCAGGCTGACATCTGAAAAAGTTTCAAAAAATAACTAACTACAAAAAAATATTAGGCGAACACCAATATTATACAATTCGATATATACAAAACAGGGTGCCACTGTAGTATGTAATATACCTAGATGTTTAGTATGCGATATTTAGTATTTATCTGAATTAATAACAACAAAGTCAATTACATGTAAGATTGATATATTATTTTATATTAAAAACGAATCCATCATCTAAAAAAGTTTTGTGTTTTACTTCATAATTTGGATGAAATGTTTTTTGAACTTCTCACTATCTGTTTTTTGCTTTTGGGACCTTCAATTTGCACAGCTGTCGCACATCTTAGTCTTCCACACATCGCCGTTTTAGGGTAACGGGAGTGTCCAGTGGGGGACACATAACAAGGCCCGTTCGTACGGTATCTTCATCAACGCGGGGACGTTCACATCCCAGACGTGGAGTGGGAATCACATCATAACGCTGACAAATTGAGATCAGAAAGATGAAGAGTTCCATTTCTGCTAGTCGACGTCCAATACACAAGCGAGGTCCTATACACAATTGTATGGTTATTATTTTGGAATCCTTAACTAACCACTAATAAAGGAATAATCAAATGTCAATATAGCTTTTGGGGGTTATTATTTTCGTTTTCATTGTGTTACCTTAAACGTCTTGGTGTTAGAGCAAATATTTATAGCTAATATTGTTCTAAAATAACCAAACGAAAATGGTTTCAGTATATATTTGAAGAATTTTTCATACACTCTCGAATAAAGTACTGTTATTTTGTCACAGTTTACTCACCTAGACCAAAAGGCATGAAATATTTTGAAATATTTATATTTCCTTCTGAATCGAGATGTCTCTCTGGCTTAAATTTTTCTGGTTCATCCCACAGTTCAGGATCGTGGTGAATCGCATATATATTAGGAAGAACGGTTGTTCCCTGTAGATGTAGTAACATATTCACGACTATTTCTCACGCATACACTCTGAACAAGCAACTAGATTAGATTTATGAGAAGGGGATAATTGATGAGAAAATGAAGACTGCAGAATCGACATTGCCGAACAAATTCGTTTCCTCCTTGCTTGGGGAAGTTGTAGTTATGGGAAACTTGTGGTTCAACATGCTTGAGTCTCTCACCACTGCACCACCTTACCCACGGAGTCCACAACCCTTTTTTAATGGCTGCTTTATAGTATATATATTGCAATGAAATCATAATTCACACTGACCTACGCCATATTTTCATTTGGAAACTTCTCATTTAGTCCAAAATTATCTTCCTATACCTTTCAAACTGTAACTGTGTATAACGTTTGCTTCAAAATGTAAGTGACTGTGAAAATGTGGAATATTACTTACCTTCGGGATTGTGTATCCACGAAATGTTATCGTTTCTGACGTGCAATGAGGAACAGCGAGTGGTACGTTTGATTTGAATCTTAGAACTTCTTTTAGGAATACCCGACAAAACGGCATCTTCTCTCTCAAGTTGTAGTGAGGCAAACCTTCACTTCCAATAACATCGTCAATTTCTTCTTGTATCTGGTTAGAATACAAAATGTTGGTATTGGTCATATTTAGGACTTCTTTGTGCACAGTGTGGGGCTATAGTTTTCTGCAAGTTAGTGAAAAAATAATTAGCAAGACCCAAAATATGAGAACAGGGGTATGTTTTATTAATACTATATGAAGAAACAAAATTGGTTATCAATTAGTTCGAATCATATTTCTCCAAATCATCAAATTACAAAATTCTGCGTTGGCATGCTTAAGCATTGTTGCTATTAGGGCAAATTTTACCATACTTTGTAATTATGCAAAAAAAATTATATATATATTTATATAATTATTATATTTACTTTTTTCAATATTTCAGGACGGTTTGCAAGTAATATGAAACTGAATATTAATGTTCCATGCACCGTCTCCATTCCTGCGCCGTATAAGTCACGAATTATGTCAGTCAGCATAAACTCTGAAAAGGGATTTATAAGATAAGCTGCATCAAAAATTATTGCCAAATTTATTGTCAGAATGTCATTCAGTTTTGAAAAGTCCAGGCAAAATACGTGCATAAATTTTCTCAAACTAATAATGCGAATTGACACATAGCTGGGTTTCATCTACATCCAATAAAAAACGTCAAAAACACGATTCACCAATAGCCAGTAATTGACATCGAAACATCCATGAGTAAGATGAATTATATGGATGAATTATATGGAAAATTACTTTGATCTATTGTAAATGCACTGAAACGCAGTAGGTACATAAAATTTGGGAACGTTAGTCAGACAAACTCCGTTATAGCATAGGACTGTTTATGTTAATTTGTTTGGTATCCAAATTGTGTTAAGATGCAATTATGATTTAAATACTAAATACTCACTCGAATAAAGTCCTCTCTTCGAATTACCATCACGTTTCATCTCTACTAAATACTCGTCGATAAAATCTCTCATGTCCAATTCATTCACAGATTTTTCATGTTCGTCTATTTTTTGAATCATTATATTTTTAACCTGAAACAGAGTGATAAAATAAACCTTGTAGAAGGTAATTTGTAGATATTATGTACAAACTCATTTATATAAAAAATACTTTAGTACCTTTGCAAGACCCTCAATGATAGCTAGGACACTTCCTTTGACAGGTTCAATGTAACGTGTCCATGGTATTAGCGTCGTTAGCTGTAAAAAAGTTTGTGAATATATGAAATGATATAAAAATAATATAATATTATGGTTAACGAATACCTTGATGAACTTATGTTAGTGCAAACCTTCTATACCTGATAAGCGAGAGTTCCTTTCTTGAAGAAGGCATCGTATCCGCCGAGCAATGTTAATAGTTCGGGATCATCATAGTCGTATCTTTTTCCAAAAACAAATTGCCCTACTACGTTTCCAACACAATTCATCATGTTATTCTAAGTGAGAGTACAGTGATATATATTAGAAGAACAAAATGAATTTTAGATAGGTATATAAAATATAAAAATAACTATAAATTGGTTGAAAAAACAGTCATTGATTAATACGTTGCCGTTATTCCAAAATTATTTTTTGACGTAAATAAATCTAATAATCATTAACGATAAAAGTTTATTTTGAAGCAATACCTTAATGGTAGCGTCAAGTTGAACGTCTTTATCTCCAAAATGCTTCATCAGTTGTTGAATCTCATCCTGAAATTATCATGCCAAGTGTATCGAAAATTGACCCCGATAAAATAAGAAAAACAGAATCAAGATCCTAATTAATTTTATTCACGGATTGAATAATCGGGATATCAGTTAAGAATTTCGATGTCCTCCATGACTGAGAAAATGTTTATCGAAACAAAACGAATATAAATAAAAAAACAATGGTATTTGAGTATGTATTGCATTTAATACTTTTTAAAATAAGTTAATGTTTATGATGTGAGCAAATATTCTTGTAATTAAAGCACCATGTTTTTAATGGTGTTCGAAATTTAACATATGCTAATTTTCAGGGTCCCCATTTGAGATAGTTAACGATATAAAATAAATTCTGTGCAAACTTATTGTTTTATTTTTGTTAATAAACTCTCTAGCTAGATCTTACCAAAATAGCAGACTCAATCACCGCTTTTCCAAAGCCAAGTTTACTCAGTAGAGTTTGTGTGAATTTTCTTTCAATAATGAAATTTGGTGTATAATCGTGTGATGTAATACCTGAAATTTTAATAAATATACAAATAAAATTCTAGACAAAATTGTCTGACAATTACCTACAAGGAACTGCTCAACGATTCTTTTCTGACTGAAAAAAGCTACAATACATTTAATCTACATCGGTATTATTCGTGATTGATATCATAAGTAGGTTCATACCTAATAACAAAAAATACAAAGAAGAACGAATTCAGGCATTCAAGTCTTGATGCCCCATAACTAGAGAATACGTTCGAGAAAGTAACCTATTTCTAGATAATTCATAATGGTTCTTGTCCATTCTGCGTCCTCAACTGGCTTGTGAGTTAAGAAATTTTTATAACTTTTTGTTATATTTCATATCACAAAATAATACATAACCATTTTTAAACAGGATGTCTTTGAACATATAGTTGTCAGGTCTGTGGCTAAACGAAGATCCATGTTTGACCAAGGCTTCTTGTATCAACTCATAATTATTCAAAACCACTGTATGTGACATTCCAAGCCTAAAACCAATGATGTCACCGTACGTTTTGCGCCATTCCTGAAAGAAGAAATTAGATTAAAATGAAAGATTTTTTACCAAAACCGCATTTCTTGTTAATCTATTTTGCATTGCTAAATCGATATTAAAATCACCAAGAACAGCGAGACACAATCCATAATAATTTATTTTTTCTCGATAGATAAACCAAGTTGATGCAGGAGTCCCAAGATAGTTCGTGGGTAAAAAAGGTCCATAAATTGTGGTAGAAAAATTTCCTTTCGTGAATTTGGATTCTAGATATTTCAAAAACCATTGTTTATTTGTCCAATGGACTGTATTTCTAGAAAACCAAATACCACATAAGCATAGACGAAAACAAACATGTAAATTAAATGCACAGAGACTAATTGAAAATGAACAAATATAAAATAATAACTAATTTTGCTCACCGAAAATGTTATTTCCGGTCGGTTGCCAATTAGCGGTGCTGCACCTAGAAACGGAATACCCCTGGGTCCAGGAGGAAAATTTTTTGGCCTCTTCGAAAGTTGATAAAACAGTATAATTGTCAAAATAGAACATAGTAATATACCTAAATAGTTCCATTCGCCGAAAACAAATTCGCTTAAAAAGCTCATTTTTATAGAGAGCAAGAGTTCGTAAATGTTGGAACAACAACTATACTCTGTTCAAACTGAAAAAATAGTATTACATAAAAAACATACAAAGTAAAGTTAGGTAATTTATTTTTATTTGGTAAATTCATACCGATAATATAATGATAGATACATAGAGGGATGCAGTCAAATCTCATACTCAACTTAACAAGCCTATTGTAACGTCGTTAATTTGCCTTCCAATCATTCATTTATTGCTGATCTCTCGATAATTTACTAATGTCACTCAAGTAATTTGCTGAATTCCACCGTAAACAACTTCCCACTGTAATGTTGCAATACATTTATTGCGTAGAATCTTTCCTTGTTGTTGTAAACCAGATCTCTGACTAACCGTTCTAATAAACAAATGTTTATTTGCATTGAAACTATGCGGAGAAAGCAGATGATCAAGTAATATATTGAACATATATAGGACACAGCAAGCAAACAACATTATTTACTGAGTAGAACGTGACTTATTTTGTATCGGCACAGAACCTCATTAATTCAAAACAGTGTTTCATAACATTGATTCCATTAAATGTAGTTCAGGCGTGGTGGGCTCATACAACTAAAATAGCACAGTAAATAAGAGTTATCAATTATGACGCCAATCATACAAAGTTAAAACCAAGCAGCAATATGTTGGCCAGAAGGCATACAAGCTGAAACAAAATGATACTAATGAACACTGTAGTTCATATTACAATACTGTATTTATAACAGAAAACGACCATAGCCTACATATCCTTAGTAGTCCTATAGCCGACAATGAACGGACTTGTAATTTCGTGCTGCAATTAATGCTTTCTGACTGGGACTGAAACGGCAACATTTCAGTCATTCTGTTCGTGTTCTTGAATATGAATATATCGTATGAAGATAGACTTGACTCAATATATGTTTGCACAAGAACTGCTCGTGGACTTATTTAAACACAGTAAAAGGCTTATCACTTTTGATGGCGTGTGACATCTTGCTTTCTAAAGGTAAAGCTCTTTAATTGTTCTTTAAAGCAATGTCAGATGCTCAGATTTACAACTATTTTTGCACTATTGATGTGTGGTCGATGGTAAGCGTACCTAATAAACATGTAATAAACATTATTGAAGCTAATGTTTGTAATTCTTTACCTGAAGGCAAGTAGCCCAAACATTGCATTAAATTCTAATTTGTTGCATAACGGCTCCTCAAACTTTACTTGCATAATAATTTATGTAAACTACAGTCAACTTAAAGTTGGACTATTGATCTTTCATACTTAACGGATAGCCGTTGCGTGTTACATCTGCTGATTTGACGAATGTTTGCATTGTCTATCATTTTTGTTACATAACCATTTAGTGTTACCAGAGGCCATATTGTTATACCGCTCTCGATTTTTTTGTGTCACGATTATGCCGAGTCAAAATTTAACTGATTACATAAAGTGAAAATTATTGGACCCGATAAGGACCTATGGATCGGTTTGTAATTATGATTTTGTTGGTATTCCATTTTTTGTTGTTTTGTGTTGTTGAGAAAGAGATTGCTTTTCTCTTAAACTACTGCACCAAATGATTTGAAATTTTTAGGGAATAAAGATTGTTGGTGTCACCAAAATGTGATTCGTTTTTCACTTTTGAAATTTTTTGAGGGGACGTCAAGAAATTACCAATCAATTGTGATTCCGCGACTACGGATCCGGTGCTACCCGAAAGTCGTAATTTTTTGCGGTGCCGTACAGTGACTGAATGATGTGAGGTACCTGTACTGTAAAAGGTTTGATGCTATAGTTGTGAATTGAATCATTTGGTGTTTCGATTCACACTGAGACTAGAGTACTGCGAGGACAGTCCAGTTATCGGTACCGGCAGTGGTGGGATTCAATTTTTTGGCAGCCGATTCCATCACAAAAGTCATTTTTTTCGGACGTGCTGTTACATGTTTTTGTTAGTAATGCTAACTGGTTCGATGACCTCATAAAATTCCGTGAAACGGTTCTATAGAACCGGTGCAAACCGGCTAAATCAGGTAATAAAAATAAATTATGAATATTTCGATTTGGTCTTCGTGTCCATATATTTGAGCATTGCTCTCTTGTTTAAATGCGACTTTTTAATTAAATATGCCTTGTTTAAATCAAAACATCTTCGTAGGCACGTACTGTTCCAAATCGCACCTGTCGGTTCTTAAAAGCAAATGAATACTCATGTATGAGAATACTACTCGAAGTTTCCGATTTTACTGAAAGTTGACTACTGGACCAATTGCTCTGAAATTACCAATTGCTCTGAAATATATATATATATATATTTGAACATCATTATCTTGTTTATTCTACAATTTGTTTCCCATTCGATAGTGAACACAAAGTGTACTTGTGGATCGTTGTGCCAAGTTATTGAAGATGATGTATATATATTTATGATTATTAGCAAAATTCATTGACTTTCAACGCAACATGTACAAAACGATACCGAATTGTCAGTACTTATAAAAGGGCTGAAGCCCCAAGCATGTCATTATTATTTTTTTTTTCAAATTTCGTTTGAGTCTCATAGGACCTGATTTATTAAAATTTTTTACCATTTTTGCGAATATTGCGTCACCTTGTGGTGATACCTCATACCAGTCCGACATCTTTTCGAAAAAGTCGGTGCTCACTGCTGAGCTACAGTCTCATCCATACTTTCCCGAATTGCTACATCAGTAGGATTTGATTTGCAATTTTAATCTGAAGATTTTGAATTACCAAAAAAAGGATTTCAGAGTGAGTCGAATCGGTTATGTGAATACATTTCGTCAATGACCTTGTGTCCAAATATTTGAGAATTGCTCTCATGCTTTTTTAATGTAAAAGTTGAATTTATCTTCAACTAATTGACTGATCCATTTAAAAGTTATGTATTCAAGGAGAGCTGGAAGGTCATCATTTTCATTGCAGTGACCATATTGGTTATTTGTATCCATATGTTCGTGTATTGTTTCCGTATTTTAAATTTTTATCGATTATGATCTTCAAATAAAAAGTTATATTGCGCAACATTTAATTTACTACTATGACTTTTTATTTAATAATCTGTTCTACTCATCTCCACTCTTTACCAAAGATAATATTTGCTTTAGTTTTGCTAAAATAAATTGTTGCAGCTCCTGTCACGACTCAGGTGAGCAAATGTACATTAAGTACAAAAACATTTTGCACAGTCATTTTTCCATATGTTGCACAAACTTATATTGCTAGTGATAATTTATTCTAATATCACGTACTTGGGAGGAAAAGAAGGAATTTCCTCTGATAATGAGATAATTGAATCAAAGTGCACCAAAAAAGGGTAAAAAATCAAAGTAAAACAAGAAGTATATGACGGGTATGAAATCTCTGACAGAAAATTGTCGCAATCTTCACGACTAACGTAACCGCCACATGGTGCGCTATGACGTTATTGCACACAAAAAACAAATTCTACAAAGCCTACGGGAATTTTTGGAATAAATGAACGTGAAAGCTTACTAGCAAAAAATGCAATCTTCAACCACTGAAAATTTCAAAGCAATTTGCCCAGCATTTTTTCCATAACGATAGCAAGAAAAATACTAACAAGAATAAGAACAACAACATAATAACAAAACGATTCATAGGTACATTTCGTGTCCAATAAATGTCAAAGGAATTGCAGGAAATTGTAATAAACTTTATTTCTTTACTATCTGTCTACATAACTATTTTAAATAAAATATAACACAAAACATATACAATTTTTTTTTATAAAAACTGCCGAAACATGCCAAATGTACATCAAGCATCAACACGTCGTTTTAAAGTTACTGGCGTGTATGGTGGGGGGCACATTGCGAGTCCAGTTCTTATAGCATTTTCATTGACGTGAGGTCTTTTGCATCCTGATTTATTAGTTGGAACCACTTTGTATTTTTGGAAGATTGTCACAAAAAATATGAAAAGCTCCATTTCTCCCAGACGTCGTCCAATACACATACGCGGACCTGAAATGTAGAAAAATTGGATAAGTTTATGGATAAATGGTTTTCGATCAGGATCCCATCAACTGAGGATAGTCGGGAGTTGGAAAAATCTAACGTTCAGATGAAAGTTAGTTACATTATGACTGAGCCCCGTGAATTTTTCAACGATTGATCAACAGTGCCTTAATGCTAATTTCAACAGACCAGCACTGTTTATGCTAATGTTTTGCTCTCTTGTTCGTAATTTTTCAGCACAACAGTAATACGTGGACGATAATGAAATGCCAAACTAAACATTTTTCATAATCTCGGAAATGAAAATATTAACAAAACTTATTACCCATTCCAAACGGCATAAAATATTTAGAAATTTTCACTCGGCCTTGAGCATTTATATGTCGATCTGGATTGAATTTTTCAGGATTTTCCCAATTCTTCGAGTCGTTATGGACAGCATATAAGTTTGGAAAGATTGTGGTTCCCTGTAATAAAATCACAATTTTCAAATGCTTAAATGACTTTTCCAAATTGATGGGGGGTAAAGCTCTGGATGATTTCATGATCAAGTCACACCGTTTGTGCTTTGTGTATGTTCTTCTCACCTTAGGTATTTCATATCCACGAAATTGTATATTTTTTGAAGTGCAATGTGGTATACAAAGTGGTGCGAACGTTTTATATCTCATAACTTCTTTCAAGAATGCATGGCATAAAGGCATCTTATCTCGTAACGAATATTGAGGTATTCCTTGAATTCCAATGATGTCGTCAATTTCTTCATGAATCTGCAGCAGTAAATGTCAAAATGAATGTTATTCTCTTTATTCTCTTAATCCACAGGTGCGAACCAAGTATTTATGTTTTACGTGTTTTAGAACAGTAATAAATATCGGCAGGATAGCTTAGTTTTATGTGTGTCATAAAAAGCGGCAAACTTAGTAGACTATGTATATAGTAGCAACACGTGGCGAACACAAATCCCAGACACGATGTTGGGGGAAATGAAATACTGTATGTAGGGAATATCTTATAAATGTAAAATGAAAGATGCGTTTTCTGCCCTAATATACCAGTTCCACTAGTTTTCTTACCCTTTCCATCAAATGAGGTCTATTTGCTAAAATAAGGCAACTGAATATCAATGTCCCTTGTACAGTTTCCATTCCAGCTCCAAATAAATCGCGTATCATGCAATCCAACATTTTTTCTAAAATTAAAAATAACGTGAAGTCAGTTATTTAACTTAATTAGACAACTTAGGTAATGGTTAACAGTAAAAGTGCATTTTCAAAACTTATTGATAAAATATTTTTATTGTGGGTTTTATTCTCTACATGCTAATTTTAAATCTCTAGATAAATGGTAAATTTCTATATTTCTATATTTTTTGTTGTATAATTTTAAGCATTTGATTTCATTTTGAATTACAATCACTAAAATGCCTTTGCATCAATTGTAATATCATTAATATCACTTACTGCTATAAGGTCCATGATTCGATTTGTTTTCTCTTTTCTTCATTTCTACCAAATATTCATCAACAAAATCTCGTACATTTGATTTATCCATCGTTCTTTCATGTTCATCTATTTTTCGAGTCATTATTTTACTAACCTGTAACAATCCAGAAGGAGACTGACTTAATCCGAATGCAAACCGTTTAAACACTCTTGAATAAGAATTATGGATGTAATAGTTAGGGATAATAATTACGATGTTTTAACTAATAATCAATGACATAGTGTAAAACATTCCAGAATTTCACCATTTTTTGACTTTCCATTTGAAAACTTCATCAACGGACGGGCATTTATGAACAACGTATTAGTACCAGTATCGATTTGTAGCGGACGGGCATTTTTTAGTTTAATAAACAAAAAAAAAATTAAACCTTCGACAAACTTGAGTTGGACAAATGTGCATTATGGATAATGCAAAAGAATACAAGGCTTAAATGATCCTGATGCAAAAAATAGGCGCTTCAGAAGTATCTGTACCAATATGGAGGTCATTAACTTTGTTCGCCTACTTTACATCAAGTTGTGTGAAAGGATTGAAGCTTATGGGCGGGGGATATATTCAATTGACTAACAAACAGTCTCCGAACTTGTAATAAAACTAAAATAAGGAAAATCGGAATAAAATCATGGCCTAACCTTAACCTGGTACACATACTACGGGAGTATCAAAAATTGTTCATAAATGTCGAGCGTGTAGAAGAATAGAAGAGACAAATTTTGACTACACTTCGCATTATAATGTACATGTATACATGTCCATCAAGTTCGACGACGAAATAGATATATATTTGGGTAATGGTATGTGCTTATTTTCAACAACTTACTGCCTCCATTCCTTTTCTGATCGCCATTGCACTTCCTCTTACTGGTGGAATTTGACTTAACCAAGGCATAACCATCGTCATCTGCAGAAATAAATAACGAATCAATATAAATGACAATGATGGCAGCGATTGAAACGGAATACGTAATTTTCGAAGGTACAAATCATAACTATCAGTATTCGAAAAAGTCAATAATCATTCATAGTTTTGGGCACTACACAAAAATACTGTAGTTGCGTTTGAAATAAATATATTCAATTGTATATATTCAATTGTATATTTCCGAAATAAATGAGATGTGATATTTTTTACCAATTGCGTACTAACGATCTAAAGATTAACTATATAACCCCATAGAAAGTAGATGCTTAGTGCAAGTGATCGTTCGTCAATTTTGGTCTGGTATTAGTATACTGTATAGTTAATTTTATTGATATGTCACTTACATCATAAATTTAACATGTTCATGTTTAAATCAAACTTGACTAAAGGAATTTTATAGATTTGCATTCCTTATAATGACAAATGTATTTCTGTAGCGTTTCGTCGAATCCACTTGTGCAAAAGAATAGGGCATGAAAAGAAATTGCCACTAATAACACCAAGCTCGAAAATGCAGACGGTAGAGAAATTTAGTGATTTGCAAAAAACAACAATATAATTTCTGTGATACCTGGTAAGCCAAAGAACCTTTCTTGAAAAACATATCAAATCCATCTGCAATTTGTTTAAATTCATCATCTTCATATTCAAAACGTTTTCCTATTACAACTTGGGCGATTATGTTTCCGCTACAGTTTAGGATAATTTTCTGTGAAAAAAAAATTAGGAAATGATCTATAAAAACAATAGCAACACAGATAGCTAAACATGAACCAGTTTTGAATATCGTTGATCAACGACGATATATAGCAGGGATGGCGGACCTTTTTCAATGAATGGGTCAAAAATTATATTTTTATCGCGGAACAGAAGTGAGTGGGTCACAGATATTTAATCAATGCTTGTATCATTAAGAAACTTCTGAAACAAATCTTATAAGTTTCTGGTGTTTTGAGCTTAAGAGCTTTACTTATGCGGCACTTCTATGAGGGACTTATTATGGCACTCGAATATATTGAATTAGTGTAAGAAAACACACATATGAATTACCAAAAACGTTTAGGATGATGCGGCAAATTATTTTACGGTTCCAAAGAGTTCGGGATGGAATTCCACTCTGATAGTGTTATATTTTTCGATCGGTTTTCAACAACATTAGGGCACTTTTAAACTGCCCCATTGTTATTTCAGATTTCTAGGTTTTTAATTTCAAGTCTGAAAGATTTTATTTTCTCAATGGCATTATAGGCTAAAAACTAATGAAATGCGAAGTAACATCTAGTTCTCGTATAACCCCTAAGTCAGTCTGCAGAAGCATTTCCAAAAGAGACAAGACGTTGCGAGAAATGAACGTATCAATTGCATTGTTATGTCATAGACGATGTCAGAGTCAATAGCTGATTAACGCGTACGAGATTAGGGGTTTTGATAATTCCCATACCTGTCCAGAAATTAATTTGAATATTAGCGATCGCAGCCCTGACGGTACATTATAATATTTTAGTTATTGTTAGATTCATTTAAGGCCGGTTTCATCAATGTTTATAGGTTAGCATTTTTTTAAACTTATTCGTGCCTTGGGTCACGAATAAAACGCAGTGGTTCGCCATCCCTGATATATAGTAACGTGCGTATACCGACTAAGCAAGTGCACTTATTAGCACTGGTTGCAATATTGAGTTATACATTATGGTCAGCAAGTTACTGCAATGATTTATCTGCATTGATTACTTCTGTGAAATGATAAATAAATTAGGATGAATGAATACCTTTTACCTGAAAAAAAATAATAAAAAATACAAAAAGAAAAAGTTAGAAAATAAAATAAAATTACTTTTATATAATCGTTCAGTTCAACGTCATTGTTTCCAAATAATTTCATAAGCCGTTTTGCTTCGTCCTGAAATTACAAATGACGTATTTTTCAAACTGAATAAAAAATAATAAAATTAAAAACGATAAGCTTTTTGTGGGCATCTTTGTTAGTCCGAGCTATTGCTACGAGGTGTATAATAAATCAGAGTAAAAAAACGGGCCCCTTCATCGATGGAATAAAATTAGGTGTACGAAACCGTGTACTTTGGTATACGAACCCAGATCCATAAAACATATTGGTGACATTCTTATAGAATTCAGCTTCAACCATTACTCCATCATCGATTGGGTTAGAGTTAGGTTAAAATCACTGAGATTACACAACCGCTGAGATCGCATACCGAAGTGAATCCAAAACTATTCAGTATATCATTTGGACATCTATATATTGTAGCAATTCCATGAAATCATAAAGATTAACCAAAAGCACCAAGCTTTCGCGACCAGAAACACCATACTGTCTAACTTGTTTTATTATTAATTAAAAAAAGATTCGTATTCGAGCTAACACATGTTACAATGAAACATTATTTTGCTTCTCAAATTTTGTCTTACCAAAATGGAGTTTTCAATCGCTGATTTCCCAAATCCAAGTTTGCTAAGAGATGTTTGTGCAAATTTTCTTTCGATGATGTAATCAGGTGTATAATCATTCATCGTTATTCCTTGGAACAAAATTAGGATTGATTTCATTTACAATACCAAAGTAAGTGATGTGATAATACGTAATACATTTATGTAATTGATAAGAGTAGTTGCCAGCCCCGAGCTGCTATTAACACGAGCTTAAACAGACAACAAACTTCAAGCAATAATTATGTGGTCGTATATGATTGGTCAGATTATCGGAATACCTTCATAAGCATATCCTGGAAGACAGCTAAAATACGTTCTCGACCCCAGAAACAAAATAAAGCTCAAATGCGAACAAAATATTTCAATATACAGGCTACACCGACGTTTCCCAACCGGATTGGGGAAGTCCTCCCCAAGGAAGAATTCCGCCTTTTTTGCGAAGAAAATTTTATTTATAATAGCTGCAGTATTACTATTCTTTAGGTCATTATTATTAATACAGTACTTATTCATGTACACATAATAATGTACTCCCGTAGAGTGTGTACCAGGTTAGGGTTAGGCCATAATTTTAAATGTACTCCCGTAATATGTGTACCAGGTTACGGTTAGGCCATAATTTTAAATGTACTCCCGTAATATGTGTACCAGGTTAGGGTTAGGCCATAATTTTAAATCTACTCCCGTAGTATGTGTACCAGGTTAGGGTTAGGCCATAATTTCAAATGTACTCCGTAGTATGTGTACCAGGTTAGGGTTAGGTCATAATTTTATTCCGATTTTCCTTATTTTAGTTCTATTACGAGTTCGGGGACTGCCTGTGTTAGCCAAGTGAATATACTATACCCCTGCCCATATGTTTCAGTCCATTTACACAACTTGATGTAAAATAGGCGAACAAAATTAGCGCCGATCAAACAAATAAAGTAGTTTTATGGATAGCGATGGAGAAATAAAGAGTTATAAGATGGGCGTAAGAAGGTCGGTAACCACTGAGCTACACAAAGTTACCAAAGCGCTGTCCAGTCATGTCTTACTTGAAATGAAAAAAACAACCTTGAACGTTTATTTAATGTTAGTTGGAAACTGAACGCTTAAAATAACATAGTTCAACATATCACATGGGTGGCTTTGTAATGATCACAGTACATAACCGATTTATCAAAGATTAGTCGAAAACAACGTTCTATATCCCTCAAATTTCGATTAAAAATAGCAATATATTGACTGATTGAAGTCTGTATAAACCAAGTATAGAGCATAAAAAATGATGGAAAGATTTTACCTTTCTTATGCAAAACTTCAGTTATAATGAAATTATCTGGTCTGTTATTGAACACGGATGAATTTTTAACCAGAGCTTCTTGTATCGCGTCGTAACTGTTCAAAACAACTGTGTAATCGCTTCCCAGTTTAAAACCAATGATATCTCCGTATGTTTCGCTCCATTTCTACAAAATACAAAGTTCTAATATTATTGCATTAAATATAAAACTTTCAAAAAAGTATTTTGTAATTTTATTATCAGTAATAAAATGTATTAATGATGACAAACGTTATTCAATCGCTTGATTTGGTTTTGGTAAAGCATCAGGGTTTCGAAAAAATGCACTGGTATTATATTTAAAATGGGAGTCCGTTTAATACGACGAAACTAAACATTCTCATGCAATTACATAATAGCACTGCCAATACTCACCGCAAAAGTAACTTCTGGTCTACTCCCTACGAACGGTGCAACTCCTAAAATAGGAATTCCTCTTGGACCAGGTGGAAAATTTCTTGGTCTTTTTATGAACGTGTATAACGAATATACAGTGCTCGTTATAAGACACAGAATTATACTCCAATTGTTTAGTATTATCCAAGTAACGTCGGGAAGAATCAGCATATTTGTGACACCTTTTCACGAGAACTATACAGCAATTTTAAAGATAGCAGCTACAAAATTATACTGTTGTGAAGTTAAGACGCTAGGTATTAAAGCAAAAATGAATTAAAAATAATACATAGTCACTGATTTTTTATGATGAGTGATGATGGGTGTCGATTTACTATAATTTCAAAAATAACATTTTCGCTTCCATAACTAATCTTAATTACCATAATATGTTGAGCATATTTTGCTGCAATATGCTTCGCTACACACTCAATCATAGATTATTTACGGATGATTCATGATTTAGGAAGTTTTGTCCTAGACAAAATTTTAACATATATCATTGGGTATTAAATATAGTCGAATTTTCTGAAAAAAAGGAAAAACAACAATCAATATAGTTGGTTTTTCCATTCTATGATTGACATCAAAATCGAAGTTACGCCACTGCTTTTCTTATATTCATGCGCCAATTCTTCATTGATCAGTGCAGCGTTCATTCCATGTAATTACGTATATATTCACTTTCTGCTACTGCACATAGTGCTACCTATGATATAATATATATATATTCGAGTCATTAGTTTTCTCGAAATACTTCCAAAGTCTAAATATTTCCGAATTCGATATATTTCCAACGTCTCTCAATCCTGACAAACAGAAAAGAACACCAATGTAATGCCTCTATTATCTCAAGTTCAGCGGGTGTAAAATATTACACGCCTTTGCGTAAATAATCATTCAATATTGCAGGGATACCTCATTGCCTACGACTGAGTAACACATGCATGTTATTCCAGTAATTATAAACAACGCCTTGAGGTGGTTCCATAAATTAAAAATTGTAGCAATAAAATCGACATATATGGCAAGCAATTTACTTAACGAGGCCAGGGGCCGCGGGCAGAATCACATTACATTTAACTACCTTATGGCTGGCTAAGTATTCCTTGCTCCGATTATCTCCGGTCGAATTTCTGCATTGCGACATCATTTCATATTGAGCTGGTATAGGTGTTGACAATATACTTTTCCCGACGCTTGATTTAAAATTCTTTCCATACTTCACCATTTAAAAAATTTCAATGCCTATTTTGCCGTGAAAACTGGTTTGAAAAATCATTATTCCATCTTAAAATATTAAAGCAACTGTCATTCAAAAGTACTAACAGACTGGTATAGTGTTAACTGGAAGAGTTTGATTACAGCAACTAAATAAAACACTCAAGAAGACAAATGACAATCGAGTAATGTGATATATACCTCAATTTTGGAAACTAACTAGAAACTAACAAATAACATTCAAAACGACAAAAACGAGCCAATGTTCACAATCGAAAATACGTTAGAGGGAAAAGGTCTGAGTGTTAGCTCGAATACTCTATCAAAAAGCGCAACCCCGATTAGACAAAAAAAAAATGTTGAAACTTTTGTGAAGATTGCATCACAAGCGATTCATATATGTTGTTTATGCGGCGCCCCCCCGAAGTATGTGCACCAGGATGACGCACAACCGTGACTCTAACCTGGTACACATACTATGTTCAGGATGTGCGCCATCTTGGTGCACATACTTCTGGAGGTCGGGAAATTTTCCTTTAGCCGAAATTGTTCGTGAATAATCAAGAAAGCTGGTACTCGGTCAAGATTATAAGATTTGGTGGAATATTTTATTTTAGAAGAATACAATATTATACTCATGCGATTATTAAACATCGGTGGCACAAATCGACCAGAGTCCACAATATGCGGTAACAATGAAACAACACCTTTCTGTATACAGGTCATGTTAATATTCTCTCATTAATTAGCCAAAACACCAATGATCAATGATAGCGTATTAAACAACAACGATTCGAGTAATTTACTATTAACAGACGTTTTGTATCAAATATCCCAATCAAAATCTATTAAAAAACAAAAATTTAATGTCAAAATATAAAATCTCTTTTTCAAAATGCATTTTATTTAATGAAATTTAGGATTACGATTTGATTTATTTGAAGCATTTAGAGTTGTTGTATATCTGTCTTTAATAAAAAAAACTTTATCCTAATTATATGCATTTTTGAAAATAAATTCCGATCTACTAATTCAATCATACCTAATTTGTTTATTACCGCAGACGATGCACTGAAAATCTTTTATTCCGATACACGGGATTATAATTTTGATAGATATATTTTCTGCCCGAATTTATGGTGGAAAAGGATATGATTTAGACATATCGTTTGTGGGAACGGATTTCCAGCTACTAATTTCAATGGATGTTAATTTTTTGAGTGTGAATATTATACACTGGGGATCTTTTAATCTCAAAAGGAATTACAATGTTGATAGATGGGTTTGTGAAAAAGGTCAGATCTCAAATAATCATATTGTTTTTAGAAACCTATTTCGAGCTTTCAAATTTATCATTTGTAATCTGTTTGTTCACTCCAAATATGCACGGTTAACCTATTTTTTCTAAAAATGGGGTTACAATGTTGATGGATAGGATTATTTTGACTTAATATACATTAAATGATAAGCGCTTTTAGTAAAAAGCAGTTTATATATTCGCCGGTAGGCTGCGAAAATGTTGTCATTCGTAGAAAGGCAGTGAAATAGTAACAGTGTAATCTTACAGAATATGAACTGAAATAATGATATAATCAATGAATCTTCAAAAATAACTTTTCTATATATTTCAAATAACAAACAAACCAGCAACGCCAAAAACCTTTTTAGCAAATGAGGTTTTTGATAATATTTTTGAAAATTGGGATAGCACCTATGTATAGTCAGGATTCTAAATATCTATCTCCGATTAATTTTTGTTTCTTTTTTCTCGGCAGATTTGTACAGTGTAAACCCTTAAACTGTAAAATGAAAATTCTCGAGATCATCACTGCCGTTGTTTTATTTACTGGTGTAGATGCAAATCGATCATGCCCAGGTCTTGGCCATGCCTTTTCTCGCTTGGAAGAAGGCTGGGCTGTGGCAGGGAACCAATACCGTTACCTTGTAAGCCGGGAGGGAATGTCTTGGACCGATGCCGATGAGTTATGTAAATCCAAGGGAGCAACGTTGGCTACAGTAGGAATCAGAGATGAAGTTATCTTCGAATATTTGCACAAGAACTTCTTGCCACAAGGTGAAAGCATGTGGGTTGGACTCACCGACGTCAGAGATGAAGGAACGTGGGAGTGGACTGATGGTGTCACTGCTACATCAAGCAACACTCCGTGGGGGGATGGTCAGCCAGATGATTATAAGCCAGGCCAAGATTGTGCGTGCATGAGAAAGACCGTGTCAGCGTCAAATCATGGATGGCAGCGTCTAGATGACTGCGTGTGTTGGTCGACCTATCGAGCCTTGTGTGAGCTTCCACCAAACCGATTTATTTAAAAACAAACGTTTATAGAAAGCTACTATCGCCTAATTTTTTGTATTTGGAAAACTATTTTCTCAATGAAATGGGCACTCATAATTATATCAAAATGATTGTTTGCTGATTTTGTATACAATGCTTGATTTATACTACAACATTGTTGCAAATTCGTTAGTTGCAAGTTGCAAATTTAATAAAATAAAATTTCCGTGCATGTTATTCCCGTTAATTTGCAATGGGTACGGTCAAAGACATTCAATGAAATATGTAAAAATGCCACAAAAGCAAAGTCACAAAGCAGTTGCGATGAAAGTATAAAAGTATCATGTTAACGTGCCAGCCTTACGTTAGAACTGAACCATTCCCAGTTGAGACCTTAAATGCCTCCGGTATACAAAACTAATGTATCATGTAAAAATATTTTGACATAAAAGTATTCCTGACTGATTGGTACATTGGTCGTAAACGTCTAGGACACGTTGATAACGTTCACGCGTAAAATGTTTCATGGAAGGCTCGTGACTGTAGAGTTTAGGACGCCAGTCGACGTTGGCAGGATTTCATGGTGATAAACAAAGTTAAAATCAAAAAGTTAGGTTTACTAAATGGTCTCAACAATCTACAAAGAAGGGCTTGAATATGACAAATTTTTTGTTGCAAATATTCAACTTCCTCGTGAAGCCGGGCGGACTCGAGAGTCGGAAACCTGGGTTGGCAAAGGTTCCAATATGTTTTTGAACACAAGTGGACCAACGGAGCATGTTGCCAGTTGCCACACTATTGTTTTTGTTCCAGTTTCCGGGTTGTTATTGTGAACTTTTTGTAGACTTATCCACCACCAAACACTGCGCTTGATTCACAAATCAGAACTTGTGTGGCTGCCCTAACGAACAAAGTCATTAGAAATGCAATGTACCTCTAAATTTACCAAATAAAATATATTTTCGTTTTGGCAGTCTGATCGTTGCCTTAAACCAGAAACTGTTGTTTGACCACTCTCCAGGACTGGGTTCAGAAACCGTAAAGTCTATGTTGTAAGTGCTGGTTTCTCATTATAATTCGGGTCTTACCCGACCTCAATAATACACGCTAAAATCTGCCCTGATAAAGATAGTTATTTCTTGAACTTTTATAATGGATGTATTATATATAGAAATGACCAAATTACGATAATATAATTTGTATTAAATGCTTTGAAATTATTTTGAATTTGAAATTATCACTCTGACTGTTCTTTGATGAAAGTATAAGTTTTATATAACTTTTTATTATCAAATTTAGCACACAACCTCGTTAGTATATAACGTAGGTTTCTTGTTTCTCATTCCGTAAAATCGTGGAAAACAAAACAGGTAGACCTGACTTTTTCCCTCCCTATCCGAGGGCGTTTTTTTTTTGGATGCTCATGGTCTGAACATGTCCGGATATAAAATTTGGTCACTCCGGAATCAAATGATATTTTTAGTCCTTTCAAATATTTATCTAGTTTGAGGTTACTAGTTTCATGAAGTTTAGTCAGTAATTATCCATGTAAGTTTCTGCACAATGCTCGTATTCATGGACACATATATCACAAACATGAGTGGTTTTTGTTGAATTAGAATTATAGTTTAATTCGTTCACTTTAAAAGATACACGATTTTTAGATATAGTCAACGTTCAAATCCTTCTTCACCAAGATACTAAAGAAATATAACAAAATAAAAACAATTTTTTCACTTGTCAAATCATGTTTGTACATTCGAAAATTTGAATCACAAAATTCAAAGGGTCTAATGATATGTAAATAAACGTATTCACTCAAAACACAGTTCCGTTCAATTGAATAATACTAATGTTATTGGAGTCTATGGGAATTGTATACAATGCATTGTATCAAATACATTTCCAAGATTTGTAGTTATATTTGGCAAACAACCCCGCTTTGGTAACTTGTTGGGGCATTGTTTCTCATTCCATAAAATCCGGGCGACGAAAACAGAAACACTTGAGTGCTTTTCTCTCCCTTGAATGGTGCGTTATATCCCCATGAATGGAACACATCAGGATCGGGGTAGGTGATTTGTCCACTCTAAAAAAATTAATTGTTTGTACGTCATATCATAAGAATGCATTTGAAATGTCAATGAATATTTCTAGCTGAACGTACAGTCAAGGAACATTATTTCTATGAAACATTGTTCTATGAAAAATGTAGCCAGATCGTACAAACGGCTGTTGGTTTTACCGATGTTGCGCTATAGTCTACTGAGTAAAATAAATATATGACATGCAAACAAATATTCTCACCCTTGGATCAACCCTGATTCCAAGCCATGCATCTACATATCCTGCCCGTACTTTCGGTATTCTTTTGTTCAGACTGGCACGAACATCATCGTAAACAGATCGGTCAGGTATGATAGCTACAGTAGAATTTTTCCTTTACAAATTTCCACCGCTGCTGAGTATGTTAGGGTGTGAGAATAGGTAGCATATGTCCAGTAACATGCATCATCGCGACGTACTTCACAAAGTTCTGGAAAAACAATAACATTTTCTAGTTCATCGTGAAATAAACAGATGTTTTAAAAACCATATCATAAAACAAAAGCATTGTTGCTCAACGCAGTAATATATAGCCAAAATATGGAGTTATAGTCAAATTAATAAACTTATTGAAGTTAATACTTATTGAATTTAAATACAGCTTTCAGAATTACTAACATTCTAGAGTAGAAGTTGAATTGTATGGTATATATATGAGCTTGACGACCCTGATTCAATTGAAGATATGTCATAATGTCGAAGAAGTAATTTTCCCAGTGGCCCTAAACGACTAAAATAACACTGCAGAAAAACTAATTTTGGTATTTGGCGAGAATATTTTGTTATCCATGCTGGTATAGAAGTCGATATTTTGGTTGATGAAGAGACTTTTTCATTTACGAAATTAGAATGAAACCAACTCGATCGTTCACTGAAATTTTTGTATAAAAGATATGTATCATCTTTGATTACTATTATTTACTATGAAAATGAATTGTAAAAACTCTAATGTAATAAAAGTTACCGCCAGAAAATTTATCAGTTCGAACTGGACAGTCTTTTGTTTTGTTGAAAAGAATAACTTCTTCCAATTTCTCTTTCATTGCTGTTGTTGCATTTTTAAACTGCTGTTTTAATATTTTTCCTCGATCCTCAAAACGATGTCGCATTTCAACGCGCCATTCCCTCATAACTGGGGAGAAAAATATCATTATGTATTACAAAGAAAAACGATCCAAACTAGTTTTGAACCCAAATTTGATATGACGAATAATATCTTGCATGAGTGCTTTTCGTTTCATCAAAATGAACCCACTTATTTTATGCCGCAATAACATACCTTTGTACACCACACAAAAATTCTATTACTTGATTCTAACGAGTTTATTTACTATTTGTTTTACTAAGTCCAGTAATAACAATTGAAGTTCACCTCAAAAATGTGAGCATTCGATGTCTATTCAAAAAATAAATATAAAATATGCATCTCCATATATTACCGAAAACAGTTATCAGTAAAGTCTATAAACAAACCAATAAAATACCTTGATCAATATGTCTGCTAACAATTTTATCAATTTTGTCATAGTTCACAGAAACTCGAACTTCGTCGTTCAATGGCGAGTCTGGCACTTCGAAGCAAATACGCTGTTCACAGTCAACGCTTCGTAATAGCAGCAACGTCATTATAGGTAGGAGTGGAACAACGTAAGATTTCACGGATGAACACATATTTTAACTTAGATCAGAATTATTGTGATGGTATAGAAATATCTAATCTAAATCTGCAACAATAATCTGAAATAATACCATGTTTTATTTTATTTTTTATTTGTCGCCTAAATTTGTAAAATTGTTGGATAAGCGTTGGAAGTCTTTTTCTATTCTCCTGTTTTTCATTCTTTCAACTATTGTAGTAATGTAGACATACTCGATATGAAAGCTGCATATCTTGATTCTAATGAATTAGCTATGACCATAGTCTCCAGTAACTAGGCTACAATGAAGTTAATATCAATCTAACAACTTATTTAAGCATTTAATGAAGACGTGATCAGATGTGATGTATCTCCAATGTTACAAAACCCTATTTCTTATTCCAATCGTTGTTCACGCACTGAAACGGTGCTTGAGGGTTTTTCCATCAGATCGAACTTTTTCTGTAAATTTTTGTGAATATCAGATTGCAATAAATGCGCCAATATAGGCCAATCATGTGAAATCGGAAACTATAGCAATTGCTCCGTGATACTATTTTGGGAAAATTCATTCATCGAGCTGTAGAACAGACTTTAGTATATTTTAACAAATTACTTAATTCCAGCATTACGAATTTTCAAAATGCACGATGCTTTTACACCCGTGTCCTTGTTCGTATCAGTTGAGCTTACAAACAAACTAACGCGTGGTAACCATTCTACGCTTTTATAATTATTTGTGTACCAATAATATTCTATTTATTTTTACTAAACAAGCATGAACATGAATAGACGTAAGTAGTATCATGCTAAACTATACGTGTACCTATTATAAAAGGTCCTTTGAGTGTTTTCGATAATTGCAAGATCGCGGAGATTTTGATAGTTTCCGATTTCACTAATCGAGCATTTTGAGGGTAACAAAGCACCAAAAGTATATACAGCAAAATACAGTTTCAAATTTATTGTTTGCACATAAATGAGAATAAAAAATATAAGATGTTCGCTTTTGGGAAATTTTTGTATAATATTGATTGCATGAGATTTGATGAAAAAAAGTCATATTTTACAGTAAAATACTAATTACATAACACAGGAAACTATCAAAACCAGCAAGGTACATTTGCAGCTATTTGCAACTTTATAACTTTGTTGAATCAGGTACAAATTAAGCGATTTCCGTCTACTCATTTTCCTATTGAGGTACTCTTACATTTGTTATGAATCTGTATAAATTGATGTTCCAATAAACGAATTTTCCTTAAAACTAAAATAGTATGTATAATAATTTTATTTGTCTTTCCACTTGGATTGTATTGTAAAGTTGAAAGAAGGTACACTTTGTCGATGTCTGATATAATTGCCTCCTGAATAGGGTTATTTCCATAAGAAGACCTTAAACTATCTCTGCCGCATTATTTCATATCATATTGCATCAAATGCTGCCAATATGAAATAATAATTTGAAATTGGAAACTATTATTCGTCTCCGGGACCCTACCGCGAGGGAATTTTTCAGATAAACGTGATAGCAAGAGCACTATATAGTTTGCAAGCGTTTGAATGTAGAATCGACGATTTGCAGCTATTATCGCTGTGAGTATAATCCAAATCTAATGCCCAACACAATACGAACGCATTTTATTGCGCCACATATGCTTTCAGATACAGCGTTATTGTGTAATCTTCAAATAGCTCTTCGGTTTTGTGAGGTTAGATAGCCTGTAAATCTCTTGGTCAGGTAACTATTTAACATATTGTTAAATAATTATCTCCTGTTATGTTCGTTGGGTGATTTGCCAAAACTATACGGTTTTCACTGACAATAAAAGCACTTCCGAAGCTAAATTTCTAGTACTCCCTTAGTATAAGTACCAGGTTATGGTTAGGCCATAATTTCATTCCGATTTTCTTTATGTCAGTTCTATTACGAGTTCGGGGACTGTCTGTATTAGCCACGTGAAAAGGTTTCAGTCCCTTTACACAACTCGATGTAAAACAGGCGAACAAAATTAGTTACCCCACATACTTCTAGAGCGCAAATTTTTTTCGATCTTTTGAACCTTGGATGTCGCTGCTTGACAACCAGCTTTGAGTCACCGCGGCTTATAGGGAAAAAATGGTATCAACCCGTAATAGTGTCAATAATCTTTTTTTTTAATTTAGTTCATCTTGTTGTTGACTCGTATTAGGCTGGAATAAGCTAGGATATCCTAAGTCATTGTCGTATTTCTGAGTTATCCAAAAAAAAAAAAAAAACAGATCAAAAAATTTGTGACGAGGACATTGACAAAATTAAATACGTAATACGTAGAATACTTAAAATATATACGTAATACATAATCACTTGATAACTTTTGGGTTTTCTCCGACTGCGGCCATACAAATACATGATAGTATGGTAATTTTATAGTAATTTTTGTGCAATATTACAACTAGGCCATACAAATACAGAATAGAAGCTTTTCTAATATCTTCGAATTTATATATGGAAAAAGTTATACAAAAATATTCAGTTGTCAGTCTTATCTCTATACGACACCGAGGAGAAATGTGAACTCATTCATCATAAAAAAAAAATAACGAACAAATAGTATCAATATACATGATATTGCGTGGCAACGCGGGTCTCAATCACAGAGTTGCTGAACAAAATGAATTAAAGAATTTATAGCAACATCTTCGCAGAATCTCGTTCTACAAACTAAACACAAATATTTTTATATAAGATAGTCATCAGGTCGAACAATTGGAGACTGAATACCATATTTGTCATGATATATTTAGATTTTATATATTTAGATATGTTTAGATTTAGATATATTTAAACTTTATTTTTGTTATGAAGGAATGGCGCATTGAAATGCGACATCGATTTGAGGATCGAAGAAAAATATTAAAAGAGCAGTTTGAAAATGGGACAACAGCAATAGAAGAGAAATTGAAAGAGGTTGTTCTTTTTAACAAAACGAAAGATTGTCCAGTTAGAAAAGATAAATTTCCTGACGGTAAAGTTTGATAAAATAGTATTTATTCGTCCTATCATTGTGAAGCATCCTGAGATTCAGAAGTTCCACTATTTCACAATCAAATTATGTATTCGTCTTCTTGCTGATCTGATACAAATTAAGACCTAGCCGATGATTCACGCCTGACGAACAACTCCCATGAATGACAGCACATATACGTGCAAGCAGGGGCATGCTAATCTTTTTTGCTGCCCGGGGCGAGTTTCTGATAATGATGCCCCTCATACTCATAAACAAATTGTAGTTGTTGTTATATATACATTAAATTGAACAAACTAGTCAACTAACTCACTAACTAAAACGTTCTTCCCAGAAGGGCTGCCGCTATTCCCCAAATGCATGCGTACGGGTCACACTGGTACGAAAGGAATGGAAATCACTTCGTTATTTACCGCCTAATATATTTACTTTTGGTAGAATGGGTGAACCGTCTATTCCTAACTTGTGATATCTACATAGATGAATCCTATGCCCTGATTGCTCACAAAAATCGACGCGTATAATATAACTCATAACAAACAATTTTCAGTAGTTCATCACATTCACTTGACCTCATCGATACATCTTACGTAGCCTTAGATGATGCTGTAAAAGGATTAAATTTACCTGATATATATATCCTGGTGAAAATTTTATTTTGACAATGATTACTTTATCTTTAAAACTCTGTGAAGTGCGTCGGGATGATGCTTGTTATTGGACATATTCAACCCGTTATCACAGCCTTACATATCATGCAGCGGAGGAAATATGTAAAAGCAAGAATTCTACTGTAGCTATCATACCTGATCGATCTGTTTACGATGATGTTTGTGCCAATCTAAACAAAAGAATACCGAGCGTATGGGCAGGATATATAGATGGATGGCTTGGAATGAGAGTCGATCTAAGAGTAAGAATACCAATAATTCACTCTATATACCTAATTTTATTATTAAAATCGGAATGGAGTTTTTGAAACATTTTTTGGATATTGTGAAAAATTCTCGATAAATTTGTTGGTTGGAACCGAATCTGTAAAAAAATTCTAATGTTTCAAAATATGTTATTGCTTTGCTTTCAAGTAATTGAACGCTACCTATTGGTGGGCAGCCGTACGGGATTGTGATTTTGTGAAGTACTTTCACATTTGTGGACAGAATAAAAGTACAATTATTTTTATTTTAAAGTGAAAATGTATTTCTGATTCAACAAAAATCACTCATTTTTGTGACATACGTGTCCATGTATTTGAGCATTGTTCTCTTGTACAAAACCTAAGATGAATAACCAACTAACTACTGGCTCAACTCCATGAGACTAGGGAAATCCGATTAGATATACGTTCTAGCTATAAATATTCAAAAAATTACTAAAAATATCATTTGATTCCAGAGTGGCCAAATTACATATCCGGATCCGGAAATGTTCAGATCATGGGCATACAAAAAAACACCGCCCTCGGAAGGGAAGAAAAAACTTACATCTACCTGTTTTCGTCTCCACGTTTTTACGGAATGAGAAACAAGAAACCTATACGTCATATACTGACGGTGTTGAGTGTCAGATTAAAAATGTGATAATGAAGACCTAAATAAAACTTTAATCAAATAACAGTCAGGATGATACTTTCAATTCAAATTTTTTTAAAGCATTCAAAATTAATGACACAAACACCCTTAATTTGTCGATTTTAGTATATAATACATACATCATGAAAGTTCAAAGCGAATAATTAACTTTTTTCGGGCAGATATTTGCGTGTATTATTGAAGACTAGAATTATAATGAGAAACTACATACAACATAGTATTTACGTTACTGAAACCAGTGGTCAAACACCAGTTTATGGTTTAAGGCAACGATCAGACTTCCAAAACGAAAAGACATTTTATCATGAGGTTCATGAATTTGGAGGTAAATTGCATTTCTAATGACTTGTTTAGCAGGGCAGCCCCACAGGTCGCGATTTGCGAGTTAAGCGCAAGTGTTTGGTGGTGGATAAGTCTAGTAAAATTTCACAATAACAACCCAAAAACTGAAACAAAAAACAACTGTGTTGCAAAATGCTCCGTATGTCCACTTGTGTTTCAAAAACACATTTGAAACTTTGTCCTCCCAGAGTTCCAAACTCCCGAGTCCGACCGGCCTCTCGAGGAAATTAAATATTTGCAACAAAAACATTTAACATACTCAAGCCTTCCTTTGTAGATTGTTTAGGACCATTTAGTAAACTTAATTTTTTTTTTCAACTTGAACCATGAAAACCTGGAAACCCGCCAACGTCGACTTGCGTCTAAAACTCTACAAGCACGAACCTTTCACGAAACATTCAACGTGTCCCAGACGTTCGCGCCAACGTACCAATCAGTCAGGAATACTTTTATGTCAAAAGTGTTTTTATACGATACTTTAGTTATGTATGTATTCCGGAAGTCTTGCAAACTAGCATTTCAGGTCTCAACTAGGAATGGTTCATTTTTAACGTTATGCTAATACGTTAACATGATACTTCATACGTTCATCGCAACTGCTTTGCTACTTTTCTTACATGACATTTTTTCACATTTTATTTATTATCTTTGACCGTGCCCATCGCAAATTAACGGGAATAACATGCACTGGAATTTTATTCAATTTGCGACTTCAATGTTGTAATATAAATCAAGCATTGTACACAAAATTAGTAAACAATCATTTTGATATAATATGAGTGCCCATTTCATTGAGAAAATAGTTTTCCAAATGCAAAAAATTAGGCGATGGTAGCCTTCTATAAACGTTTGTTTTTAAACAAATCGTTTGGTGGAAGCTCACACAAGGCTCGATAGGTCGACCAACACACGCAGTCATCTAGACGCTGCAATCTATAATTAGTCGATGACACGGTCTTTCTCATGCACGCACAGTCTCGGCCTGGCTTATAATCATCTGGCTGACCATCCCCCACGGAAGTGTTGCTTGATGTAGCAGTGACACCATCAGTCCACTTCCAAGACCCTTCATTTTCGATGTCTGTGAGTCCAACCCACATGCTTTCACCTCGTGGCAAGAAGTTCTTGTGCAAATATTCGAAGATAACTTCATCTCTGATTCCTACTGTAGCCAACGAGGCTCCCATGGATTTACATAACTCATCGGCATCACTCCAAGTCATTCCTTTCCTGCTAACAAGGTAACGGTATTGGTTTCCCTGCCACAGCCCAACCTTCGTCCAAACGGGAAAAAGCATGGCCTGGGCATGATTGATTTGCATCTACACCAGTAAGTAATACAACGGCAGTTGATGATCTCGAGAATTTTCATTTTACGGTTTAAGAGCTTACACTGTATAAATCTGCAGAGGAAAAATAACTTGTTTTATTATCATATTGTGTCTTCACTATCGTCTCTTATTTCGAATATTAGAGAAGTAACTTAAAATGCCCTGTACAACAAATGTCATATGAACAAATAGCCACATCGTGTGGGCCACAGAGGCAAAGTTGAATGCTTTGTGTTTAGGAACAATACTCCAATCTAACAATTAAAGCGTTTTTATTAATATTAATTAGTTTTCATATTCATTTGCGCCGCAATATTAAAGTCACTAATGATGTATTTCGAAATGATGATGGGATATTTAGAAATTCTGAACTATTCCCAGTGGAAAATGTTTTTTAAAGAAAAAAATAACTACCATTTTGTGACATTTTCCATTTTTTCAGTGAAATTATGATTTATAGTGAATATGGCTTGCTCAATGAATGCATAAAATAAATATAATGATTTTATTACTAAAAACCTATTTAGATCACATGGGACAAAATTTAATCGAGAATTGGATTTTCAGAATCCTGACTATACATAGCTGCAATCCCAATTTTGAACAATATCATCAAAAAAACTCACTTCCTACAAAGGTTTCAGCGTTATTATTGTATTTGTATTTTTTTATATGTAGAAAATCAATTTTTGAAGGCACATTTGATTATCTCAGTATTTCAGTTCATATTCTGTAAGATTACACTGTAAGTATTTCACTGCCATTCCACAAATAACAACATTATCACGGCCGACGGCGAATATATAATTTGCTTACGAACAGAAGCGCTTATCTAAACCGCTTGAACCCGTCAAGCCGGTTTTCGGCTTGCTTTTCGTGCCAGGAGCAATCAAATTTATAATCTCATATTTCAAGAACCATAATGAGTATTTAATAAATTTTAAATTGCATGAAAGCTAGTTATTGAGGATATTTACACTGTAGATATTTAGGCTCTATTATACGATATTTTAGTAAATTTGGCAAATCAAAGTGCGTATAAAATTGTTATATGACAACAAATATTAAATATCAAAAATATTCGAATTCTTTTTGAATAGACACATATGCAATCAACAATATATCTGGAGTATTTGATGTCTTTCTATAGGGACTTTCGAGACGATTGTATGATGATGTATTCAAATTTCATAGCCAAATATATAATTCTGTAGCTTTGACTGCATCGCTACGCCAACCTGACGTTTTCATCGACGTAACGCTTCGTCTCGTCACGCACGCTTATTATGTGGAGAAGAGACTGCTACACATTCTAAACCCGATATTGCACTTTGTTATGCTAATTGTACCAATGATTGTTGTTTCATTCTCCATGCATGGATATTCATCGCAGTATCGTCTTGCATTGTTTGGGCGACTCTTTGTCTTTAGCGACAGGCTTGACTTTTTTCGCTATTTTGCTAATTTTGCGGCACACGACGCACGCATCTGTTCTTAGAGATGGCATTTCATGGTTTATACACGTCATGGCGTACATTTAGTTGAAGTATTTTTATATTAGTCAATACTTCCTGATGTTGAACAATCTTGCATTTTTTGGCGTCAACATTTTGCTTTCTCCAGCGAGCTCTTCAATAATTGCTCGAGAAAATTGTGGAAAGTGAATAGACTCTCATGTTGTGAGGCTCAACAAAATTCATTAGCACGTATGAGTTGTAGGTCGCCCACACGAAAAACTCATAACCAGTCGTCTCGTCCATATTAGTGCCTTCTGCACTTTTGGAGACATGTCATTTGACCATTTTTGTTCGTTCCTCCATGAACGAATTGTGAGCTTTAATGCTACTGGAACATGTAATTTAACCGTTTCCGTTGCGCTGGCTCATATCTTCGGATCTGCGTGTTCGGCAAATTTAAAATGCCGTTGTAATAAAATATATTGTTTTTTTGTCTTGCCGTGCAATTGCACCGACACTGCTATTGTATAAACGTCTGATTCTCCTTTTTCCATTTCATTCTTCTCTTTTTTATTAATTTTTGAAAAATGTCTTCTGTTAGTCATTGTTGGGCCACATAGTCTGGTATCTTCGTTACACAACAAGTAGCTGGAGTGTAAAATCGGTTCATGAATATGATGTGATTTTGACTAGAAAACGGCTTACATCAGTGTTTCTGAACCTGGGTTCGGTGGGGCTGTACCATGGGTTCGGCGAAGGATTTGTGAATTTGTTGTGTTATATGTATTTCTATTTCGAAGCCGATTAAATATGTAAAAATAACTATAATTTAAGGCAGATATCAAAATTTAAAAATTCAGACCAGGGGTCTCAAACTCGCGGCCCGCGGGCCAATTGCGGCCCGCGGGATGATAGTTTGTGGCCCCCGCCTTGGTATTAAAGTTTAATGTGAGTGCGGCCCGCAAGTCAGTTAGCATGAATAATGCTTTTAATATAACAGCGTTTCCCAAACTGTGTTCCGCGGAACACTAATGTTCCGCGAGCATCTCCCGAGTGTTGCGTGGAATAGGAATCAAAAATACATCTAAATTAGTCGTCATTGCGATCTGAGAATCATGAAGTTGTTGCCCAACTGCGCATTTAAAATCACGTCCCCGTCGGCCTAAAGTGGACTAACTAAGTTAGGGTAGTGGAATTCTCGTTAACCGTCGGTTTTAGCTTTTTGACTGTTAACCTTTGACTTTGGTTTTGTTAGAGACAAACAAGTAAGTCTAAAGAACAAAGGCAAAAGGTCAACCGTTCTTCCCCCATCTCTACCTGGCTTTATTTGAAAAGCTGAAAGTTATCGCGCATTTGCAACTCGCCACGCCAAACAATTGGGGAACAGCTACTTGCACCGTTTTTCTTTATTAATTTAACCCTTTCATTTTTTGGTGTTCCACGAGGAGATATAAAAAGTGTAAGTGTTTCGTGACTGAAAAAAGGAAACTCTCACGTAGGGCAAAACAAAATATTTTATCATCTATCCCCTGAAAGGAATATGCGGCGCAGTAACCTACCAGTACCATATCTGTTGGCGTGATATTCGATCGCGGGACCGCATAAAATAATTTAAAAACAGTGTTCTATGATTTTGACGCCACAATCACTAACGTTTAGATTTATCTTGATAAATTGTAACCATGTTTCCCATGTGGCCAAACATCACTGTCCATCGACTAAATGCTTGATTGAAACATCAGCGCAACAGTTATTACAAGATGGAATTTTATAATTTCGCACATCCCTAAACGTGTCGTTGGAAGTGAAGTTTCAGTAAACAGAAAGGTTGGTAATGAGCACAGACAGTTTCAAAAAACTGGGAAATGCAACATTTCTTTGTTAAGCATAGGAGCATCCCGACATGTTTTATCTGCACAGTTGAAGTTGAAGTGCACAAAGAATACAATTTAAACGAGTTGCTGAGCTTTTATTGTGGAAAACTTGATGCGGCCCGAACTCATCCAGACTCTGCCCCAGCGGCCCCCAAGTAAATTGAGTTTGAGACCCCTGATTCAGACTATTCATAGAATAGCTTATTTATGTGTAGTATTGCGCAGATAAAATGTTTTATAGGACCTGTCAATGAGAGACGTCACGCGCTTGGATGTACCTCCGTATGACCTTATTTTTAGACGCTTTTGACTTCCAAGTATCTGAAGTTGTCATTACAAACCTCGGGGTTTTGAACCTGAATATTTGCTTGAACGGTATTTTATGTATCATCTACTAATAAAACGTAGCTCATTTTTCCGAAAAGTTGAATATAATAATGAACATAAATGAATGAGAAAATCAGGGCACGTTAAATTTCACAGACAGATAATATTTCATGGCGGAGTAAAAATATCATCACCCGTCGACGACTTTAACATAGCGCTTTACCGCTTTTACATATCGTATCACTGTTTCTGTAACACACTGGGCAAATGCTTTTATACTGGGTAGGTTGAACTGACAGCAGGTTGAAATCTATGATTTTATGACTTGAGCCACTAATGTTTTCGATACAGTATCTCAAATTCTGGATCACCAATGTTGCTATTTTACCTTCACCGTTTCGCCCTTTCCATCGGCACAACTTTTATAACAAAACAACATCTTTTTGCCAACGAGTAGGGTTGGGCAATTTAAATCGAATTATTTGCGAATAAATAAATTCGAAGTCTAATATTTGAATCTATAAATATTCGAAGCTGGTTCAGAGAAAAGTGTTTCGAATCGCCGCCATTCTTGGTTTTTACGTTTCCGCCATTGGTCGAGGTGAAATTGTCCAATTTTTTATTATTTGTGAGCCATTAGTTGTCAATGCAATATTGACATATGTCTATCTTCTGTAGCGAGTTAATGATAAATATTTATTTTGTTTATTGTGTGTGAACGCTCCGCAATTAGTCCTAATAGCACAAAGCACTGTACACTGCAAAATTGCAACATACGGTATTTCCGCTGGCACTGAAGATTAAGCTTTTCTGTAAATGTTTGTGAATATCTGATTGTAATAAATGCACCAATATCGTTGAATCATGTAAAATCGAAAACTTATAGCGATTGCTCCGTGACATTATTTGGGAAAATTCATTCACCGAGCTGCAGAAGAGACTTCAATCTTTCAATGCGTGCGTGTATAATGTCAAGAAGAAATAAGATTTTTTAACATTGGGTTTTGAATTACATCAGGTCAAGTCTTCATTCAATGCTTATAGTTATTTGTTAGAACTAGTAATATAGCAAGCTTTTGCAAGGTATAAAGACGCGGGATTGTAGTCATGGTTAATTTATTAGATTGAAGTTACGTCTTGTTTAATATTCCTACGTACGCTTAAAGGGTACTTAGCATCAGCTGCATTACTAGAATAGTTGAAAAGATGGAAATTATCTGAAATAATAAGAGAA